TTAACAGGAAAATTACTTCCCACTTTTTTTACCATTATTCCTTCGTACCCATTTCCTAGGTGCAGTTCTGCTATTTAAAATCAGGTCAGTTGTTCCTTAGGGAAGTAAAGCTAAAACCTTCAAAGTATGCTAATATTATAAAGCTGTAGAGTTTGTTCGTTTGTTTGTTTTCGCTAATCTCATTCACTTCTAGTTCGAATTGAAAAATTATTTTTGCGTTGGTTAGAGCATTTATCGAGGAAGGCTTTGATTAGACGCAGAAAAAATTGGAAAATGATTAATCTTTAATATGGTTTTAGACATTTATTAAAGAATGTACACATTCACTTATTACTAAGTTAACTAATATGTATGTTCTTCTTTAAATACTTTGAAAAATGTCCGACTGTCATACTGTATATGTCTATCTTAAGATTATCACACCAGAATCGTTTTTATGGTACTTATTATATTATATTTGGTACAAAATACTTCGGCGAAAGAACGTTTGCAGGTCAGTAGAATATACTCTTTATTCGAGACTAAAACCTTTGCAAGGATGCTAATTGTATGCATTCATTTGTTTTCTAAGATTAGCAGCTCCAACTAACATTAATAACACAAAGCTTTGCAAAACGAGTTCGGGGCTAGTAATAAAATATTCTTCGCCGCCATTTCGCGTTTATAATATAACAAAATAAATGAAGAATAACAAAGTTGCGACCCAGTTGTAGGCACATGAATAATGGATGTGCCTGAATACTTTTTATTACGAAAATCAGTTATAACTTCGTGTGTTTGATACGGTTTTTGACTGACTTCAGAAGAGGATGATGACAATCGTATAATAATCATTTAATATTAGACTTATACATTTAATATTAGACTTATAAAAAATGTTTAAATTTTTCGCACTGACATGACTGTGATGTTATGTTAATACGCAAGTGTTAAGGTAGAAATTACATTGCGCGAGAGGTGCATGTATCAATAAGTTGAAAAAATTCGACGATGAGGTGTAGGACTCGGTAGCTCAATTGGTAGAGCAACAGCACGGAAAGCTGACGATGCCGGTTCAAGTCCTGCCCGAGTCGAAAATTTTTTTTTTTCAATTTATTTTCGATTTTTAAATTATATAGTGCCTTCATGTGCAATAACATGTGAAAAATATTAATGTTTTCAAATGACTGTGATGACATACTGAAAATTAGCGCTTAGTTTTAACCATGCTGAGCACAAGCTAGGACTGGCATAATGTTTAAAATATTATTTTTTTTCATTTTGATTATTTATTTTAATTGTTAGTTATTTACGAGCACTGTGTCAATAAACGGATTATTTATATTACTTACGTATATGACGTCACGTTGCTGGTATGGGCATCAACTTTTCGATCATCGGTAGTTCGAACCACGGTTGTGCACCAAGAATTTTGTTGTTGTCTGACATGTGATCTTCGATAAAGACCTTCCTGTCAAAAGTATAATGATTGTCATTTGTCAATATGTATAGTCATTTGTCAATATGTATTTAGCCTGCGCGATAGACAAGTATCTGTCCTTGAGTTTCTGATTTGTTTAGTCGTAGTAGTAGTAGAGAGAAGATACTGAGATATTTGGTATTCGGTGTTACCTGGAAGAGCTGCTCCGAGTTTACATCAATACCCACTAATATCTATATACCATCGACGTATGGCAAGCCACCCTTTTCTTTTATTTAAGGTAAAACGCTTAATATATATATGTTAAAGGTATAAGCCATTTATAACCATATAAAAAATTATGTGAATAAAAACGCCTCAATAAACTCACGAAATGAACATAGTAAAGCTTTTATCGTGCTATGGCTCAGGCATATTTATTCATATTAGTACATGAAACTTAATAAGACGTCTACAGCTAAATCGCGCTTTGTAGGCAATTTATTATTACGAACACAAATCGCGACGTTTTCGCGTTTCTAGTACTTATGTGTGAATAAAATACTGCCTATAGTTAACGCGAGTAGTACACATTAAAATTAAACTTTTAAAAGTTAGAAACGAACTAAATGTATAATTTAAACTTATTTGAAAATTATGTGACAGTCTCACCGTGACCACGGCTGCTGCTAAGTATCCGAAACACTTTATACGATTAAAAACGCGATATATTATGCGATGTAGCATTTGAAATGTCTGGTCGTTGTTTAAAATATTGTAAATAAGCTAACTAATACATGCCGCGTTTTAAACGGTTTAAAAATCAATATATTATGCGCTGCAGCACCCGAAACGTCGCATAGTAGTAGAAATTTAGCAAATACGTTTCGCGTTTAACCGTTAAAAATGTTTTATTTAAACTACCGACTTTTTAGAGAGTCAGTTATCGAATTTTTTGTCTACATATGTAATTAGTTTTCATTGCCTATTTCGTTACATAAACAATATTAAATGATCACAATAAAATTTCAATCGAAACCTATTAATAATGCCATTTTGTACTGCTGAAAATGACGTCACAGTTCCAAGAAATATTAACTGCTTACAGTTTTAAATCGTATGAAAACCAAATACAACATATGTTATACAATTTAAATATAATAATTACATTCTTTAAATTAATAATTCCTTGTCTAAAGCGAAATATATTATACTAGCTGAGTCAGCGATATCGTCCGCATAGCAAAGTGTTTTCGGGCATAACAAAACAAACAATTGTTCTGGAAAACTACAAAGATAATCATGAGAAAAGTGGACCATGATATATAATTGATCTAACCGACAAAAACATATTTTTTCAATTCGTACCAGTAGTTCCAGAGTAGCGCGTTCAAACAAACAAACTCTTCAGCCTTCATATTAGTATAGACACCTAGAGCCTTGATTTTGGTTGAGAATAAAAAATTACTTTGGTCCAAATTACTATTTCATACGCATTGCCTATTGTTAAACTTAATAGGATTTAGTGAACGAAAATTCAACACGCGAATATTTTACAGTTAAAAAGCTGAAATATTAATTGGAATCTGTCAGAACCAATGCAATCATTAAAATGTTTTATAGATTATTCAATACTACAGTGTGTTAAAATTCACACTTGCTGACAATGTTTTAGTGGATATCGATAAAAAGGTATGAGAAAAACTATTCATTGCTATATATCTATATAACTAATATATATCGTGTTTTAAACCGTTAAAGTGTTTTATTTAAATGTGTTCACAGTAATTATCTTGTTGTTTATTTTTTTCTAGAAACGACCGTCTTAAAGGTTTCGTTAGTGGCATTTTTAATTTACTTTAAAAAGACTTAACATTACTTACTATTTAAAGGCCGAACAAAACTAATTGTTCTATTTATGCAGTAACAATTGAAAATAAATAATTTAAGATATTTGAATTATATTTTAAGGAAATAAAAAAATAACAGATTATGTATTAATATATTACATGAGGCTGCTAGAGGCAGAGTGGCCTAATAACAAAACACTATTTTCAATAAAGAGGAAAATAAAAATACACAATTAACTTAGGCGAAAATGAATTTGTACTATTATTTGTGTTAGAATTATGTGAACTTTTCGGTGACTGTACTCTTGTAGATTAACGTTTTTAGACTATGAAAATATAAATAAGTCGATTTAGACTATGAAAATATAAATTAGACTCTTCTGCCTCTAGCGACCTCGTTTAATACTTTTAATTGCTTTTATAATGGAAAATTTGTTTTAGCAGACCGAACTTTAGTAATTTCATGTAATGTAATGCACAAATCGCTTTAGATGCAGAAGTGCTCTCATTCACAGATATGAAGTGGTGGATTTAGGTCAGACCAAAGTGGTCTGTGTGAAAATAATTTTAATTCACCGATGGGTACTCATCACTATATAGTATAAAACAAAGTCGCTTTTCTGTCCCTTCGTACGTTAAAATCTTTAAAAGTACAGAACGGTTTTTGATGCGTTTTTTTAATAGATAGGGTGATTCAAGAGGAAGGTTTTAAAAACAACGTTCACAGATTTTTTGTAGTATATTTAGTATCAGCATTGCACCCGAGCGAAGCTGGGGTGGGTCGCTAGTATTTAATAATTCGTATGTGGCACTCGTAGAAGAATAATTACTTTGATTTATTTTTAACACACTGCAACTTTATCGAGTATTAAAGACATTCACAAATCCATAACACCATAAATAAGACACTTTTAACTGTTTCAAACGCGAAACACATGAATTAATTTTTAACTACAATTCGATGTTACGCAACCGAAACGTTAACAACAAATTAAGTATTTTGCATTTTAACCCGCTAAAAGTGTTTAATTAATGTGTAAACTACATACCTGCATGGTGGATTCTATCTGTCTGTTTCGTGTATTTTCGAGTGCTGTTTAGGTATAGTGATAGTAATAAGAATTATTGTAGCAGAGTGTACGCCCTAACGGAATGGATGAACGAATGTTGTTATAAATGAATTACAGTAACACATTAAACGACAACTAGTTTTGAATATTAATAATAACAATAATTACCCCCTCTATACGAAGAGTAGTAAAAATAAAAATAATTTATTTATCAGACCATAAATCCATTTGTTAAATATATATTCATTTGATCAAACGATTACAACTATCAAAGCCAAGTATATAAAACCTCTGTATAATATTCTATTACCATAATTCCTTCAAATTGACAATTATTGACACTATTAACTAAACAAAATTTGATATCATGTAATTTTATAATATTTTGTAAAATTAGTAAGTTATTTAAATTAAATTGCAAGAAAGGACTTGGCGCACGTAAGTAATTATTGTTTATTTACTGTAAAGTACATTAGTTTCTTACTTACCGTATAAATTCTTAGATTATGTTCACTGTCCACATTCACCATTCAAACTCACAATTAAATCAAACTAAAACTCTATCGAAACATCAAACCGGTAAAAATTATTTCAAAGAACAAGGACGAGGACGGATAGAATCAAATATTTTTAATTACAGCAAGCCGGAAGCTGTTGCTGAAAAACTAATTTGAAATCCGAATGAGGAAGCTAAAGGACAAACCACAAGTTCTATTTAAGAACTCGAACAATACGATTAATACGTACTCAAAAACATGCTCTGCGTTCTCAGAGTCCGTCACGAAAAGCATCATCATGCAATTAAAGAAACAGATAAAGAATAACAACTACTATCATGACAATGGTACGATTAAAAGGGATTTGAGCATAGAAACGGATATCTGCATTTTAAGAAGATATTTAAAAGAAAATAAATACCGATTGGTGAATAAGAATTCTTCGTCAGCAAGATTTAAATATTCTATAAACAATGATAAAGTTGAAGAGTCGAAGGCTGATACAAGTGCCTGTGGAGACAGCCAGTATACGATGGAAAATGCTCAATTCAAACTAGATTTGACTACCTTAGTCGTTGACAACTTAAAAAGCTTGTTAAATAATTGGATAAAAAGGTATTTGTTGGAAAACAATAAAACAAAACAGAAAATAGAGACCGTTCTTGATTCTATTTTACATAAAGTTGAGGTCGAGCAAACGTCATCTTCTGGCACTTATACTCTAGATGTCGAAATAGTCAATGAATCTGAAGTAATACAATCGTATGCAAAGAAACATAGTAAGAAAAATACTACAAAGAAACTCAACAAAAAAATATCATCACAAACTGTACCGTTAGCAAAAAATCGACTTAAATTAATATCAACATTAAGCGTACCCAAGATATCTTCTAAATATATGAAGAGTCAAAAGAATCACTTACAAATTAACAAAACGTCAGTAAACAAATTACTTTCCAATTCATCTAGCTATAACGTTTTAGAAATAAGAACTGAGTCACTAACAAAGCGATGTGCCACATATCAAAAACTAAAATGGGAAAAAAGTAGTATGCAAAATAAACTTAATTTTCAATCGTTGCCTTCTCCCACTACGATAAGCTCTGTACAAACACTAAGCAAAAATAATGAAAACACACATTTTAAACCTTTCAACGAATATGAACAAAGTAAAGAGATGAATAAATTGAATGTAATTAAAAAACAGGACCTTAATACGAGTTTGGACGCTTCCCCAGTAGTTAATAATCCTATCATAGTAGCGCAATATAAAAAGGACGATAGTAAACAAAATCAGCGCAGAGTTGTAAAAAAACGTCTAGTAACGTTACCGTCACGTAACCGGAATATCAAAACAAAATCGTTTTCTTATAATTGCAAAAAGAGAACAAAGCAATTTAATCGACACAACACATTTTTACAACACATTGAAAATATATTGCGATATTTTGAAGGATGTAAGAATATCAAAGACCTCAATTTTAACATTCACGTAAACGTTTCTCCGGCAACATCAAGAGAAAAAAAAGGAGAACATGTTTTAGACAATATTCAATCCCAAGATGAAATTAAAAATAACCAAACCTTTCTTTACAAAGTTGAACACGATGGCACAATTAAATCTCAAGGTGGTTTGAGAGAAAGTTTAGACAGTAAAAATATTATATCCATACTTGACGGAACAAGGAGTCAGTCAAAATATTTAATAAGTCATTCATCATCAATTAATAAACTTAGATTAAAGGGAATAAACTTAACAAATAAAAATACTGGAACTTCTGGCTTGGATATCATCCAAGACTTTGGCGAGATTAAAAGAATAATTCGAGATTTGGTCAGTGCCGCGGAGCACATTGTCAAAGAACAACTTGATAAGAAGAATACGGCACTAGGAGAAAAATGTTCAAATCAAGGTTCGGCTAAGTCAATTGGTATTCAATGCGTGACAGCTGAAACAAGGAATGTTACAATATCAGGACTCAAACTGAAAAAAGAACCAAAGAAAAGGGAAAGTAAAGATTATAATCCTAGATTAACGAAAACAAGTACTTCATATCGTATAATAGAGAGTGAATCTCTTCTTAAAGTACACGATTTAACTGCTCTCCCAAGAACAATAGAGGCAGAGAAGAATATAGTGAAAACAGGATCTTTAGAAAAATCTCAATCCTTAATAGACGTTTCACCACCACAGAAAAATAAATTACTGGCGTTTTATTGTGACAATTGTATAAAAACCAGACAATGTATGTATGATGCTTGCAACCATAACGTTCCTTGTGCTAATATGTATTCTACTTGTTGCAATGATGACTATGACAATCATGTACGTATAGAAAACTGCCACAACATTAATTGCCTGGAAAACAGACAGTTGATGCAATGTAAAAACAATAATTTCTGCATAATACCCCATCAGACTTGCTGTGATGAAAACAATGATGTAGAAGAAACCACATCCCTTTGTCCCGACATAGAAAGGACAACGTGTGATAAGAAATTTGTTGTTACGAAGCGTCGTCTAGGCTTTAAAGAGGGCTGTTTATACTGTGTGTTATTGTGGATTCCCGTATCGATAATAATGTGGTTATTCTATGTGTATACACTTAAAGAATATATAGAATCTAAAACAAAATTATTGTCATCGTCCTTGCCATTGCTTTCCAAAAATAGTACTTCAGAATATATATCCATGACTGATTTGGGATTTTAAAAATAATAATTAAAAACTTATAACAAATTTGTGTTTTATTCATTATGTTTTAAATTTGTTGGCAATAATATATTTTATATGATCTGTTTTCAGGCTTATGTAGCTGTTTCATTAGGATGAATTCAAGAATAAATATCAGCGGTTCAAAAGGAATTAGTTCTTTTAAATATGAGCAAGCGTATGTTGTATCGTTTTCCCATAATGTCAATGAAAGTAATTATGGAGCAGAACTACATCCAGAAACTCAGAACAATTTTAATAATGCAATAAACATCGGAACTAAAACAAATCCTATTCTATGTTCTTACGTTGTTAATGTCATAGATGAAATTATCGATAACGTGGTATATGGTAAAAGCGAAATACACAAGCCGCAATTTCAAAATGATTTAAAAGTTGATTTGGATATTCCGGCTAATAGTATATCAATATTTAAAGATATAATAAGCTCGCCGTATTCAAGTACAGATACTATTCGAAATAAATCGACTACGAGCGGCGAAACACTTTGTAATTCAGTAAAATCTGGTTTGTTTGAAGATTCTTTTCATGTGAATCTCAAGAATGAAGTAACCAAAGTTGAAGGTAACACTCAATTAGTTTTACCAACTCCATTATTGAACGAAACTTTAACAGAACAAATAGATAATGATGATATAAGAACTAACTCTATACTGAAAATTGACATACCTCCAGACTTAGATCAGGAATGTAGAATGTCAGAGAATGTAGGTGATTCACAAAAAGATGAAATTGATGATGAATGTGAATTGGAAAGGGAATCCACTAAGACACCATACAAGAAAGATATTATAAATATAGCATTAGCGCAGATGAGCCAAAATTCTATAATAACCGCCCAAAATGATAAACTTGATCGTGTACAAAACGTTTCTTATAGAGAAAATATTTTAAGTTGTGACTTACTACTGTGTCATAATCCTGATCTGAAGACAAATGATTTTATGTCGAACTTGTATACCGAAAACGATTGGCATGAAAATAGTGGTATAACACTAGTTGGTTCTGTTTTATCTGAATTATCAAGCAGAGATGATTATTTCCTAGCCGATACCGGGTCAAGTGTAAATAAGACAGATAATTCAGTAAACTCTATAACTTCGCGTTCACAGAACGATTCTAGCGTAGATGGAAAAGATGAACAAGATTCTAGAGATGGTAATACCGTAATTATCTCACGTGTTTGTCCATCTACCAGTTACGCAGATCAGTACCTCTGTACTAACAATGTTGTCATATCAGATGACATACATAAAATGTACCCATTAAGAAGCAAAGGCGACCATCAATCCATAGATAAGTTTCCAAAAAACCTATTAAAAAAATCATTTGAAGTCGAAGAGAGTGAACATTTTCAAAAAAGTGTAAACTTACCGAATCAAGCTATTATAAAAGAGATTTTGACAGAAAATCAGAATTCACACAAATTATCGTGCTCTGAGGAATCGAGGAATTTTCAACCGTTTCCTGATATATGGGAGAAGATCGCTAACACCCTCGACTTAGCAATAAAAAGGTTGGAAGAGTCACTAAGTGAGAAGATTCTAAGTGAATTAAAAGGGACATTGCAGAAAATGGAGCATTTTGCTAACCAGATTTCAATGCAAAAGCGGAACGAAACCAGTGACATAAACACCGTTGAAATCGCTGCCGAGTCCAATAATGAAGAGGGCATGCAGTGTAACTTAATCCATAGTTATGCAATCGATAATCTAATGTTCAAACTAAGCGAAGAAGTCCATTCAGAGAAGACCGGAAGGACGAAAATACTAAAGATAAAAGATCCAAAGGTATTGAAAGACACCTTTGAAGTACTTAAAGCTTACAATAAACCACCAATACCCATTGGTGAAGGTGATTCTTTGAAAGTTTCTTCTGAAGACGCCACAATATCTACAGAACCCCGTAGCAGTCTGTTGTTGCGTGCTCCTATGCGGTTTCTTAGAGAAAATGGCGTCGTTCTTGGCAGCGTACCAGCATTTTTCGTCTATATGTTAGTTGTGTATGGTTTCATTATGTTGTTAGTAAAAGGTTAATAAAGATTTTACTTTTTCAAATTTATCGAAAATTATATTGTCTTCATAGTTTCGCCAATCGGCCATTGTTTTAACGAAAATACATGAAATAAAATTTAGCGGTCTCTAAAAAATTCAAATCTTTCAGACAACTAAAACATCTAACTATTAAAAACAACTTTGTTTATTAAATAATTTTTGATTTTTTAAATTTTACTTCTAACGGTTAAAACGCGAAAGGTTTTTATTAATTAGCTAAACATATTTACAAATTATTTTAACAACGTCCCGATCTCTCAGATGCTTTGCAGCGGCCGTGCTCTCGGGGCGACTAAACATCGAGGGTGTAGTCAAAGAACATAAGTCAAACTTCCAGAATCATACTAGTCCATTATGTACTGCTGATTATCATGATCTGTTTCGAAGACTCGAAGCCAATTCGCTATACATTTTTCCCACGAAGCCAAGCGAACGACAGCGAGTCACAAGTTTTACATAAAATGGCGTAAAAGTCATGAATACGACCTAGTTTCCTTTAGTTATTAGCGCGAGTACCGAGCCACATTTTATATTCACATTAAAAATCTCTCGTATACATTTAAAAGTGTTTTTAATACTGGATCATGGAATGCCGAGTTAATTATTAATTACTACTTACTGTAAAGACTGGGTGCTTAGTACAAGCTTTGGGTAAGATTTGTTTTTTCATGAATACATTTGGATAATTACAAGCTTGGCTGTGTAAAGTTAATTTCAAATGCAAAACTAAAAGCGTTTACGGAGATATATCTCATTTTGTGTGTACAGCCTAAGTTAACTTGAAATGTTAACGGAAATATTTACTAACACGCAACATTTGCCAATATTGCAAAAATGTATCAAATTTATTTTTATAATAATAGAAAAGTAAGTGATAAATAGACAAAATGTGTTGTTGACCTATTTTGAATTTGACCATTCGGAAGTCCACAGACGCAAACCGATACACTTCTTACCGATTGTTTAATATCTTATGTCGTCAAAAAATATAAATCGATTTTAGAAACCGGTTGTAATCAAACCTACGACCACTTATTGTGTTAAACTTAGTAGTTCAGTTACTCAGCGACAAAATGCTGGAATAATATTCCACCGCCAGCCCATAATTATAATAGTTTATGTTGCTATAAAAAATTCTACAAAGCATTTTTATTAAACTATCAGAAGAACACTACCGCTGAGCGCAAGAATTTAACTTCTATTCACGCCAATAATTTCTAATTTCTATTTTATTAATTTATTACTTCCAAGTTTATCGCTAAACTCACTGTTATATAATATCAAATGGGCGCTGTCTAACAGACGAACGGTAGAGTTTTGCTGAAAATCAGTGTTGTAGCATAAACGTTTTTCTTACTTGGAGGAATCGACTCTATACCGACAAGTATACGATCAAGTGGCGGGGGGAGTGTGGGGGTCAGCCAACTCGGCCGCGCAACAACAGCCTTTTGGCCGTCCTCCCTCCAGTCCTTGAGAAGCTCGTGAGTGAGCTCCTCGCCTCGACTCCGGACTTGAGCCCGGCGCCAGTAAATGTCGGCTAAGGCAGCCACCTCCAGGTGCCAGGGTGCGAGCCTGGCTATCGCGCACACAGCATCATATGACACGGCGCGGTACGCCATCGCCACCCTGAGCGCCATCACCCTTTGCGACTGCCGCAGCAGCGCAAGGTCCTGCGCCGACAAATCCTGGGCCCATATGGGGCGGCCATAGAGCGCACGACGCCGGCGTACAAGCGGCGACAGCCCTCACCCGCCCCGCTAAGATTCGGCATTAGTCGGCACAAGGCCGATGCCGTGGCGGCGAGCTTCGGGGCAAGTGCCCCGAAGTGCGCCTTGAACGACCACCGAGAGTCGAGAACCAACCCCAAATACTTTAGGGTGGTCCCCGTTTCGATAGCCTCTCCGCCGAATATGATTTGCGCCCCCCCGTAACCCCGTCGTAAATTGTAGCATAACCGTGCTGCAACTTATGCTGACGCAAGACCCTTTTGCCATCATTTTTAATAAAATTTAATTTAATCTTGTTGTAGTATTATTTATTTTAGTTTTATCGTACTACATTACTACATCTAATTATTGTACGAAATGAATGCTAAATAAAAAGATTTATTATTATTAAACTAAGCCACAAGTATATAGCAATGTTTAGTGTTATTTATACACAAAGCGAAAATACAAACCAACTACACAAATTAAAACTAAATTAAACATTAAAAAACCGCACAAAACTTTTCTTATTTATTGACTCGCTAATTTTAAACCCGATGTTTGTTCTCCGGCAATTAAAAGTTTCAACTTTTTGGGGTGCTTCTGTAACGAGTAACTAATTTATTTCTCGTAGTATAAAGCGAATAATAATTAATGGTTAAGTGTATTATAATGATAATATTTTTTTTTTATTATAGGAAAAGGTTTAAAGGTACTTTTTTATGATAGAGCAGGATAATACCACAGCCAAATAACCCTTAGATACGATGCTCTGTCGAACTATTCTTCGCTTTGGATATTAGGAAATCTAGACTAAAACTGAAACGATATTAACTTCACGGCTTAACATCTGTAGATGGTGGTTCATTACCCGGATGGAATTTCATTATTCTTACAACCCAATTTAATATCGAGAAAAATTATAAATTGATTAGAAAAAAATTTGGATCCACAGGCTTCGAACCCACGACCCATTGCCATACATTGCTACTATTACACTAATGAGCCCGTCGAGTTATGATAGCCATTTATAGTTGGAATATGTCTTAATCAATATCGTTTATCGAAAGCAATGTATGCAATATTTGTTCTTAAATCTAAAATATAAGTTATAAGTTGGCAAAACACTTCTTTAACAACATAACACCCGGGAAAATACTCTTTCAAAGACTGTAGTCGCTACACACTACACTGCACCAAACTGTGTCATATTTTTCATAATATTCTTTAAATTGCCACAACTAAGCGAAAATTATAACCAATCAGTATTAGTTTTATCCGTACAATAGCACATTTAAAACAAAACACTTGTTACAAGTTAAAATGCGAAATGTGTTAGTTAACTTTAGTTCCCCCGTGACCACAGCTACTGCGAAGCATCCGTAAAATCGGACCGTAGTTAAAATAAATTCGAAATAAGTTAACATAATATATTATGCGTTTTAATTAGTTAAAAGTGTTTTATTTAAATCGGAAAATTTTAAATTTAAAAAATTTACGAAACGTGCGGTACTTAAACCGGCAACCACGCACACAATAGCTCAATTGGATGCTCCATCCAACTGAGCTACCGTGTCCTACACGTCATTATTTACTTGCGATCATTTAGATTTTGATTTTATGATATGCGATATACAATAAAATGTGAAAAATATAACTTTTAAAAGTTTTTCAGGATATGAAACAAATAAAAGTTTAGAATAATCCCATAACTAACCGAACTTTGGCTCTACATTTTCACAGTGAAACGTAAAACACATTGAAAAGGCAGCAACGACATCCAATTTCATCGTGAGCTTACAAGCAGAATTTTATGCAAACATATTCAAATGAAACTGCTTTCAGCCGAATTTTATTTCATTTTATTTTTCAAGGGAATTCGTGTACAGGAGTAATTAGGTATTTGAAAGAGCGAAATTGTGGATATTACCGCAAAACGTCTACCTTTGAGGACGAAATGTAAATGTTATTTTTACCACTTAACAATTTTTATCCTTGCTTATGGCATATATCCGAAAATAGGGCAACAGAAATAAGTAAACTACTTAAACGATTAAAATTGAATAACTTTAACATTTATGGGTTCGTATTTACGTATAAAATATTTTGCACATGATGTTATTACATAATGCCGTGACATGGTAGCTCAATTGGTTAGAACAACAGCGCAAAACGCTGTGGATGCTGGTTAAAGTGTCGTAAAATCGTTTCGATCTAAGTAGATTTTCAGTTTATGTCAATTTCATTATTAGTTTGCAAAATATTCTTACTAAAGTTGATATTATTTAAAATACACTTACTTAAATTAAAATCTATAATTCATAGACGTAAAATTTCACATTTACCTTCCTATAATTTATAATATTTGAATTTCGGGGTAAATAAAAGATTCTTCTTAGTAATCTTCCTTTTCAATTTATTACGAATGGAAAAATAATTTAGTATCACGATTGTTGATATATAAATAAAAATACAAATGTCCCAGAAATAAAAGTAAAAAAAACAATTAAAAAAACATATTTAAAAATATCCATCCAAAGTTAATTCAATTGTTTGATGAATACTTGTAATGTACTTGTTGTAATAATTGTATAACATAATTAAATATGTTTTTTAGGTAAGTAACTCTTTTGACTCAGATAGCTTATTGATCTTGAGCTAGTACTAAATGGCCAGATTTGTCCAGAGTGAAGATGGGTCGCACTCGGCGACTTCTGAAATAAAATGACAGAAATTGTTGAAGTAATTTAGAAAGAAATCATTTTTTAAACACATATAATAAACAATCTAGTGAATAAAACACTTTTTAACGGTTTCCAACTCTGAAAATATAAACCTTAATTTTTATGAACATCAGAAAGGTTTATTTAGTTTACAAAGTCACAAAAGAAGAAAAACTAAAGTATTGTCATCACAATTAAATAAAACACTTTTATCGGTTAATTCAAATATAATAATAAGTTAACTAATATATATCACATTTTAAACCGTCAACAATATTTTATTTAAATATGTAAGTACAACCCGAGTATATTTAGTTTGTTTTATATCATAAAGTTTATTGTTCAAAAGATAACATTATTTGTGACTTTGTTTACACCTTTTAGATATTCATAATGTCTTAGAAATGTATTATGCGTTTTAAACCGTTAGAAGTGTTTTATTTGCCTTACAATATTTCATTTGTGGAAACTACATTTATTGAGGTAATATTTTCTCTGAAAATATATCCAGAATAGTTCAGTTAGCCGTGGTGAAATTTATATTTTTCCTAACCATGTAAAATGGCTGTATTCACTTGGCAACCGGCCGGGTGTACTTGGCACGGCTAAATCTACTTAAAATAAGCGCCCTGCGGGTTGCCTTCTTTTAAAATTTTATTTCCCTCTTTCATCTTAAAAGCTTCGGTTTGCGGGTTGATGCTATTTTGTTTTATTTTTAAGAGATTCCGATTTTCTCGACGCTAATGGGTTTTTATTGAGCGATGAATTCCCATTTCTTATTATTCTTTGATAGTTAATTGCTCGTCTTTGATTCTTGGACTTTTTAGAAATCTAAGTAATACTATTCATAACATAGATTGACGTATATGCTCATATCGTTAGTTTTTTTATGGTGAAGCATGCGATTGGATGGTTGGTGAAATACCACTTTTACTGATGGTGTGAATGCCTAATGCAATATCGTCGGGCAATAATGATGGGGAGTGTGGTAGATCGTACTACAGTCTCCCCAGAGAGAATAGCCCACCAGAACCACTAAACACGCCACCAGCCTGCGTATTGCTTTGGGGATTGAAATACACTAGTCGTATAACATCTAATAAAGATGCCCTGTTGACTTACTTTGTCTTTGGATATTCGGAAATGCATACACGGAAACCGTAACACGATTGAACACCTTTTTATCACGGGCGGAATTTTGATATTCCTACCACCCATTAAATATCCAGATTTCCAGACGAAGTCCAACATGTGTCAGAAACATTATAAATCGATTTGAAACCGGTGGCGATCGAACCCGCAACTCGTTTATTTTTGGCTATTGCTTTTACTTTTACACCAAACAAGTCTGTGAAAAGTGTTTAGTTAGTATTACTAAGTACAAATCGGATACATTGACCGAAAACATACTTCGTGCAGAGGATACAAGTATTTAAATAAAACACTTTAACGGTTTACGGGTTATTTCACGGGTCTTCCCGTGACCACGGCTGCTGCAAAGCATCCGAAACGTCGGGCCGAAGTTAAAAATAATTTTCAAATAAGTTTAACTAATATATCGCGTTTTAAACCGTTAAAGTGTTTTATTTAAATGTGTACTACTCGCGTAAACTATAGACAGGATACAAGTATCTGTTTTAACGTATTAATGTCTCAATGCTAGTACTATACATAGACAGCTATAGATAGACCATGATCAACACCACGCTAGAGTTGAGTTTAGTCTTTAACGACTACCGCCACTCCGTGGTGCTATTTGGGACAAATTTCTGCGTGATTTTTGAGACACGGAACTGATAAATGTCGGAGAAATGTCTGCCTTTAGAGAATCAAACACACCTAACGCATGATTTAAGTATCGGAGTAATATTTAAGGACAAAAAGACGTGACCTAAGAGTTAAGTGCACTAACCACTAGACTTACAATTGTTTAACTAAAAATCTGGTGTCTCATACCTTAACTTAGCGCTCTTTCTCCTACCAGTAGCAATAGCTGTGGCCTGGGCGATGGCTGGAGCATCTTCAGTGGAACTCTAAAAAAATATAACCCTTTATTATTAAGAACATTTTTTGTGTGAGAGAAGAACAGACAGGCATAGCATTCACTTGATGGAAGGTGATAGAACCCAGCCATATAACATCTACGATGTGGTGTCGACTTATTTTGGTTCTTATGGGAATCCACAGATTGAAACGACAGGCGATTAAACTTTACGGCTTTCATCTGTGGACGGTGGTTCGTAACGAATGGAATTTCTATATTCCTACCATCCAATAATATAATATATTGTATTATCATATTTATGAATAACTATAGGTCGACAGCAAATTGTATTAAAGGTTATATGGCTTGAATTTTCAGGTATAATCAAGGTATAATCCTTCTCTATCATAAAAACAAATGAAAACTTAAGAATATTTAAATAAAACAAGTTCAGTCGTTTCGGATGCTGTGCAGGAGCTGTGCTCACGGGCAGTAGTTAAAATAATTTCCAAATAAATTTAACTAATATATATCGCGTTTTAAACCGTTTAAGTATTTTTATTAAATGTGTACTTTTTGCGTAAACTACAGACAGTATTTAACTTATGAACTGTACTTACCTCATCGTTAGAATCAGTGGTGGTTTGGTAAGTTGGAACCGGCTTTGGAGACCCATACGTTGGAACCACGCGAGGCTGAGTCCTGAAAAATATTTATCGATGTATAGTTTAAAATAAGTGTCATTTGGACCAATAGAGGGAAGAAAAGCACGTTTCCTCCTAGTACATATGTTACCCGAACCGCTACTAGATGTTGCGAAGCACATTTTTTCTTAGAATAATATAGAGGTATAATTGCATTATCACTCAATTATACCTCTGCTATAATTAAAATACATCACTAGTTTGTACTTTGTACGAAGTGAGTCCACAATTTTTAATGTCCGTTTCACCGGTTTCTCCGAGATGTGAACCCAAGATCTGTCATGAAGTACGATCGAGGCACGTCACTACTATATTACATTTCTCTTAAATTACAAAAGCTCTACCTTTGCCAACCAACCTTTGTTAATCAAAGTTCAATTTATTCAGCTAACTATTTCAATATTCACCAGTTTTATTATTTTCTCTAACTTTGGACAAATATTTAATTGAATATGGACAATATTTTTTCACATTGTATTTGTTTCCGGTCTATAATTAAAAAAAGAGAAGTGTGTGAATTTGATGAAAAAAGTAATAAGTCGTAGGTACTGAAGTCTTCCATTTTCATAATAATTTCTATAAAAGACCGTCAATTGACAATGTTAGAATTAGATAGAGCATCCTAACTTTTTTATCGATAGATTTCATTCAAGGTTTTTAATTGCTGTCATCGTGAAAAGACCTAAAGATATTCTGCGAATGCATTAAGGACAAGGTCATCAACGGTTACCGTATTTGGTGACGCTCTGAATCATTAAGTAGCATTGTGACATATTATCATTGTAAATACGTGATAGACTTTCTTATCAATATACATTTATATGTATAACATGACTGCCACGAACGTAGTATTTGCGTTGAGTTTGTTTATTTTTGTATGATTACAAATAGTAGATAATATTACATCTACTATTGTATAATCTGTATTAATTTATTATCTTCATGTCGCTAGTCTGTGGTACATACAATTTCAAGATGTTTTAAATATACTGTGGTTTTGAACTATTCTCTATTCTATCTATGGTTAAACACAAGTGACAAATTTCTGTATTTCTGTATGATGTGTTATCTATACTAATGTTTAAAGCTGAAGTTTGTTTGTTAGCTTGTTTGTTTTAACGCGCTAAATCAAACTAAAATTATCTGTGTTGATTAGAGCGTTTATCGAGGAAAGCTATAGGCTATAAAACATCGCGCTTGTGAATAATAGGAGCGAAAAATGTGGAAAATCGGAGGAAAATTATTCATCTTTCTGGGTTTCTGATGCGTACGCTGGGATAACGGTTTTAGACACCCAAAAGATATGAGTGAAAGAATGATACCTCTATGAGTAATCTAAAAAATTGTCCAGGATACTATATGTCTATTTTTTAAGACTAACTTGCAAGAACGACACGACGCGACCCACATCGTGGGCAACATCCTACATTTATATAGATGATGAGGTTTGCAAGAACAAATTTGGATTCCCAAAACAACTATTCTACAGGGATGAAGCTAGTGTTTTATAATGATATAAAACCTCGTCTTAAATAACATTAACGATATGTATTAGAACTTTTGAAGTAGAAGGAATATATTTCAGTTCTCACCTGGTACCAAACGCGGTCGCTACGGCAACAGCCTTATTTCCATCACTTTCGTCAAAATCTTCTGTCTCTAAACCATTATCCTGCTGTTCATTAATACCACTCTGTAATGCAACTTGACCTTGGCTTTGAGGATATTGATTCTGATAATCATTTGGAATCGATGGCTGAATAGTCTGGTCCTGGTAAGGATTCGGCTGGTAATACTGCGGCTGAACATTCTGGTAAATTATTTGTGGCTGGTTCGTTTGAATATTTTCGTTTAGCCCGGATTGAGGCTGAACTTCTTGAACAAACTGAGGTTGTACGAACTGATTCGGTACGGGGATCTGATTGATTTGGCCAAATTGACTGGGTTGTGCAAAAAAGGTAGGTTGTGCTATTTGGCTTGGTTGAACAAATTGATTAGGTTGTGCAAATTGATTGGGCTGGATGAATTGATTTGGTTGAACAAATTGATTAGGTTGGAGTGGTTGAGCCTGGGGCTGCACCAAAACTGGTGTTTGATATTGAGGATACGCCTGTACTTGTGTTTGTTGGTTGTTTGGCTCAATACTCTCCGAATCTGGATCTGGTTGTTGAGCCTGCGAGGTAGGTTGAAATTGTGTGGGTTGAACGAACTGATTTGGTTGAATTTGGTTTGCTTGCGGTTGTAAAACAACTGGTGCTTGGAATGGGTACGCTTGTACCTGTGGTTGATACTGATTGAGAGGTTGATATTGATTTAACGGTTCCTGCACTAATTGCTCTTGAACAATGATAGGCGCTTGAGCAAATGGTTGTGCTGCTTGTTGCTCCAATATTTGTTTTTGAGCTAAAACTGACGGCAAAGCTGATAAATGTGCTGGACCATCAAAGCCTTGGGGATTAGACGATATCTGTTGGTAATAAATAGCCGCTTTCAGTTGCCCCAATTGTGTAACAGGAACAAGTTGAGATTGGAAATTTAACTGAGTCAACGGATCTAAAAAGACTTCTGGTGGGTATTCTTGAACATTCTGCTTTGTAATTTCTACAGAAACGTTTTGTCTTTGTTCTTTAGGAGCAACTTCTCCTTCGTTTAAATCTAATTCTTCCGTTGTCGAGTCTGTAGTTTTAAATTCTGGTTTATTAGTAGTACTTTGTCGAACGAACTGCCTTGGGAACTGTTGGGATGGCAAACCATTGAAAGTCTTTGTTTGGGCATCAAATTCCCTTTGTCTAGCGAATTCTTGAGCTTTCTGTTGCTGTTGTTGATACTGTAGACGGAATTTATTATTGTAGGTATGTAAATGTAGCAACATAAGACAATATTGATAAGTTATGGAACGCATCTCCTGGTAACATGTGATCTCTTCCTAATAAAGGTTTTTATTAATTATTAAGACAAAATAAGATTAATGGGTAACAAGAAGGAAATGCGAAGTCTAAGTCTATATAAACAATACACTTACTAATAAAAACAAGCACTAGCTAGTTTGGAGTTATACGGAAACAGAATATGTTTATAGAATGAATACAAAATATTCCCACTTACCCATTTAATTTTTAGTCAATTTAAACCTATTGTATATGTAAATTTTAATGCTTTTAAATACCGAAAATAGTTATTACCTGTATCTGTCTAAATCCTGGGTCTAGATTTCGTAAATCCGCATTAATGCTAGGGCCAGTGAATTGCTGCCCATTGATTGGAGACACTTGAAAGATGGGCTGTTGTTCGACTGTGGGCAAACCTTGGACGGAAATGTCAACACCATTGTCGAAGTTAGGATTGACTGGTCGTCGAGGATCGACGGGCGGCAGGTATTCTTGTTTTTGTGGTCGCTGGAAAATATTATAATAAAAAATCTATACTTATATATAAAGCAGAAGAGTTTGTTTCTTTGTTAGAACGCGCTAATCTCAGGAACTACTTTTTCGAATTGTGATTGTGAAAAATGTCTATTTGTATGTCAATTTTTAAGATTGAAAATAAACCCAAGAACGACAGGACGAGGACGACGTCGTGGGTAACAGCGATAATATATAAACATGTGGAGGAATTTTGCGAAACAAATTTTGATACCCAACATAACTATTTCACGCGGACGAACTCGCTGCCAGCTAGTGTTTTCAATAAAATTATAGCTACTAAATTTGTAATACCTGTGGCAGATCAAACGATGGTCCATCTGGTCGCCACCCACTAGGCGGGTATGGGGCAGGAGCTTCACCCACCACTCCACTTAGCGCCAACGATAATACCACTAGAAGCTAAAAGCAAGAGGAGATTTTAACGCATGTTAAAAGCATACAAAGAGTGATAAAATGTTGCCACAGGACTTGAACCTAGAACAAACGATGTACGATATCGTAACTCTACAAGATTTCTCTGTCAAAATTATCCCGTACGTAGTGTGACTAGCTTATTTAAAATGGTTTTACCTCATGGGGCATACAGCGAACATATTTCTGTGTGCGTTGCATTAGCAGTCGACAAGTAGTTGATCAAACTTCTGTGCCCGACCTAAGCATCCTATTGTTAAAAATCTTTATTGCTTTAACCAATTAAGCTGATTTTTAATTTACATTGCGCCATCATGTACAATACGTGAAAAATATTAAAGTTTTCAATTTATTGTTTCCCTGGGATTCGAAGCCAGGACCTCTTGCTAAGCAACACGTTTATTTTGATGAGAGATGATATCTATTAAGAACGGAGTGGGCTAAGGTCTTTTACAAATATTAGTAAAATCTACGGCCTAATATTTTTTTGTATCCCAAACCTCTAGATTCTATACTTGAATGAGATTTATTTAATGACGACCTTCCCCACTCGAATGACCAATTATAACCTAAAACGATCTATCTTCACTTCAACACAATTTTACGTTCCACAGTCGTAAAACAAACTTTAACAATAAAATGTCAAACACATTACTAGCAGCTGTAATTCAAGTAAAATTTTATCTTTTCGAGACATTTTCCGGACGCAATAAAATATATAAATGGCAAGAATTAAATATAATTTATGTCAACATTACCTACTTAACGGGGAGAGACGGGTAATTTTATATTTATGGTATAAGTACTAAGTACTCTGATTAATGTTGAATAAAAAGGTAATTTGAGTTTTAAACAAATTCTTCTTCTCTTAAAAGACTTTTGACAGAAACAACAGCTTACTATGCGACATATTTATTTATCAATTGAGGCAGCTCGTTAACCATATTTTACAGTTATGGTGTACGCCTAATAACCAACGGGCCGTGGATTCGATCCCGACCAGGTCAAACATTCTCTTCTAATCTTTTTATAATCTGAAACATGTTGTACTTCGTTAGGAAATCTGGATATTAAATGGATGGTAGAAATATTGAACCGTCCGGATCACGAACACACCTCCACAGATGTAAAGGCCGTGAAGTTTAATCGCGTTTCCGTTTTAATCTGTGGATTTCCGGATATCCAAAGCCGAAATAGACCGACAACGCATCTTTATTAGGTGTTATAAGACTAGGGTGTTTACCTGCCATCACGTGAGCCCTATGCTTCTATGTCATCCTCTATCATTAAAAAATGTGCAAGATTTGTCACGTAAAAATAAATAATTCAAAAGCAATTCACTAAAAGCAACGTCGAGGGCTTTTGTCAACATCTCATCTATCTAATTAGTACAACATTATGACCTTAAGTTCAGGCTGGTGAACAAGCTTTGCGAAAACACTTTAACCCTTATTTTTCATTAAAATGGGAATGTTTACAAAGGGATTTTCCGGAGCAAAAATGTGTTAAAGCAGTTTAAGCTTTGTCAAAGACGAGTTAGGATATAAACAACTTTACTAATACAAGGGCGAAATTACGTTTAAAGTCACATTTATCACAAATGTAGTTTACGCAACTAGTGCACATTTACATAAAACACTTTTAACAGTTAAAAACTAGAAATATACTAGCAAAACTTATTCACAAATAATTTTAACTACGGCCCGACGTTTCGGGTGCTTTAAACCGTTAAAAAAGTTTTATTTAATTGTTATAAATCCTTAATAACGTTAGCCTTATATGATTGACGCTCTTAGAAGAAGTTACAAGTATGGTAAAAATAGAGAAAGCGTCTCTTCTGAACAAAAACATTTTTAGCTCGCATTCAAAAGGTTTAATTAACTTAAATATTAGAACATTCATATAAACATTTAGTAGGCTCTGTAGCTAAATAGTTTTACCTAGCAATGTTTAAGGCGCGAGACGTCCTGGGTGAGCACAGAAGATTTTTCAACTACTTGCCTGTAAATAAAACCGATAAGTAAAACGGACACATAAATGTGTTTGCCCCATTCCCCACGAGGGAAGACAGGATTTCATTTATATACATATTTGTAGGTATAACGACGTAAGACTCAACGATTAAACGTATTTCCTAGAGAATTTACTATTTTAGAGGACTTACTATTGTAATACGGTTTTTTTAAACATATAATTGTTATACTTTACATTATCAGTAAATGTTTCAGAATAGATTTTAGATCTTACATAAAACTACCCTCATCTGAAGAGAAGGTAGTTTTTAAAAAATCCCGCTCTTGGAAGGGTTTTATCACAACTTATTTCAATCAAATTAAACACGTTAATTTTGGGTAAAGGTCATTTAAAGTTTAACTCTCAAATGATAAATAATAAACAAAAAAGGATAATTGTTGAAATTTATGATTTTGTTGTTTGTTTGCGTTAATAAAGGGCCAATTCGCACACTAAACACAACACAGTACACAATAAAAACGTGTAATCACCTTCATTTTCGTCGACTTTCGCCTCTTGTCCTGCGCGTGCGATGCTTTTATAGACAATAGCTCTGAAAATTATCATTCGAGACGCGCGCATAATCGACCTTTATCAACGTTTGTACGAACTTAAAAATCATTTGCATTCAAAATTCGTCCCTATTATGATGTGTTAGGAGTGTCTCGCTTTTTGTATGCAACGTTACTAAAGAAATGGGTGATTCAGAATTGCAAATGTACAAGGAGAGTATGTGAACATCTCAATCTATCTATTTACTAGCTGTGTCAGTGATTTCGACTGCTTAGATAAGTTATTTTGGGCATTCAAATTTGTTATTGCAAACCTTCATCTTTATAAGTTTTGGCTGCTACCCACGACGTCGGCCACGTCTCGTCTCGTGCCAGTGTCAGAGTCTCAGCTCTTAAAAGCTAGACAGACATACAGTGTTGCGGATATTTTTTTAGATCATTAAAAGGGGGACAATTTTTTATACATACATAGTTTTGGATATCTTGAACCGAACAGCGAACGCAACAAAATCCCTCGAAGATAATCCCCTATATAGATCCCTCCTTTTCCCCGTTTTTTTTTCATATTTCGTACTGTTTTGGTAGCAGCGTTATGTTTTTTACCCTAAAGCCTTCCTCGATAAATGCTTCAACTAACATAAAGTTATTTTCAATTCCAACCAGGAGTTCCTGAGGTTCAAATGAGCGTTCAAACACGGAGATATAGGGGCTGTTTTGTTTACGTAAGTACCTACTCTTCGTTCATTCAATCACATTCTCTCGTTAGTCCAAAAGTATGTATGGCTAATAATCAACTTGTCGTGGGTTAGATATCCACCGAGTCGAACATGTTCGATTCGTCTGGAAATCTGTATATTAAAGTGTCTATGGAACATCACTAAAAGTTATACAGCGGGATACAGCAGCAGATACGCTTGTAAAAGAGAGCAGTTAGCCTAAAGTACCTTAATACGCAAGTGGTATATAGTTGAAATTAGTTTGCGCGAGAGATGCATGTATCAATAGGTTTAAATAAAATCTACGATGACGTGTAGAAGTTAGAACACGGTAGCTCTATTGGTGATTCAAGTCGTGGCCGTGTCGTAATTTTGTTTTATCCTAAAAATTTCTAATGTTTTTTAAAATAGAGAGTACTTCTTGAAAAGTAATTTAATAGGGTTACTAGTTAAGTCTACCTAGATACTTTGAGGTTATAGTTTCAATAATTGACCAATTTTTGTATGGAACACCCGATCTCAAATTTAAGCATATAAGCAACTGGACCCAAAACGCAAGTTGGCTCTGGGTTTGGCACAAACAATGTTACACCGTGACCTGTTTTTAAATTATATCATTTATCATATGAGCGTTTGATATTTCTAGAAAATATGGAATTCGCTTTTTAAATTTACGCGACTGCTCGCGTACTACGTGCACATTTAACTAAACCACTTTTAACGGTTTAAAACGCGAAATATATTTATTAATAAATTGTGTAAGGCTTCGACGGCTATCGATCAGCATATCACGTGCGGACGGCGTCATCAGAAGATTTTAACTCCTCGATTGCTCGAAGAATTAATCGACAAGAAGAACCTCTTCTCGCTCACGTCGGCCGAACAGCCTGAAAGATAATGTTATGCTATATTTAATAAATCGCCAATAGTTCGTAAGCAATGAATGCCTTCATGTGCAGAATATAAAACATATGAAAAATATTGAGGCTTTTAAATAGTGAGTAGTTTTTTGATAGTTAGCCATTAAATTTTGCGTTTTAAACCGTTAAAAAATCAATCTTAACGATTTAATACATAATATCAAATGTTATTTTTAGACTTTCAAGCTTTTTATTCATTCAAGAATTTATTAGAATCTTAAATAAACAAGATAGAAGACTTTTGAATATAAATACACAAATGTCACTAATTCATAAAATAATACAACAAAAGATTTCCTTTGATGAACAATTATTGGAAAAGATAATTCTGAAATAGTGTAGTCTATTTAACAATTTTTTATTTTAACAATTACCAAGCTACTGCTGTATTCTTTTTGACGGGCTCATTGTGGGATCCACAACGGGTCCAACATTTTTAAATACATTTTTAATGTTTCTAAAACTTTGGAAATCCGGATGTTAAATTAATTGCAGGAATATCGAAATTTCACCGCGTCACTTACGACCATCCACAGATCAAATAGCCGTCTGGTTTAATCGCGTATCGGTTTCAATCTATGGATTTCGAATATCTAAAGGCGAAAGAGATCGTCACCGCATCTTGTTCAGATGTTATATGAGACCGCTAGAGGCTGAGTAGCCAAACTGTAATTTTACAACTAGAGTTATTTAAATTTTCATAGTCTAATTTCAATAATGTCTAATTTACAAGAGCACAGTGACCGATGATTGTTAACATAACTCTTACACAAATAATAGTACAAATTCATATTCGCCTAAGTTAATTGTGTATTTTATTTTCCTCCTTATAGAAATTCGTGTTTTTTGTTGTTAGGCCACTCTGCCTCTAGCAGCCTCATATGGGTATGGTATTGCAGATACCATCAAGTAATCTCTATGCTTGTCTAACCTCCTCTATCATAAAAAAGAAATATGAATGGGTCTTGCAAGAATATTATACATTGTGAGAGTATCTGTGGGACTATAATTAAAGCGATAGGAAATCTACCATATAAAATATAGAGACAAATTAAATCCAAAAACTTGTAATATAGACTATTTTGTACCACTGAATTGTAAGCACTTGTCTCACATTTCGTAACGTACTACGGCCTACGTCGTAGCCAGGTTCTTAGTGAAAGTAACGACTTTCCTCTGTTCAGTCGAGTTGTTTTGCACAACGGAATTCCGAAACGAGGGAGAATGGAAGGAAAAGGAACATTATCTAAGCTATGTTAAGGCGGAGACGAGGTCACAACACGACGCATTAAAACATGAATTTTGACCTGTGTATGACTTTGTAAAGGATCTTGAACTGACAGGATTTTAATTGAATAAAAATTAAATATTAATTGAAATGTAGATAAGATAAGACACAAAAAAAATTGCCAAGTTAGGCAATTTTTTTTGTGGATGAATATGGATAAATTCGATTATACGACCATAGAAACGATTCTTGTAAGTTTATTTTAAAAGAATAATTCCTTTATATTTTTTTTGGTAATCTTGAAATCTGTCAAAGATAAGATAAGAAAGATTTTCCCCTTTTTTCACATTTTCCACTGTCTCTTCGCTCCTATTGGGCGCAAACTGATGCCTTCCTCAATAAACGGTCCAACCAACACAACAAAAAATATTATTATTTCGGACCAGGATTCAGCGCGTTCAGATTTTAATATTAGTATAGATTATATGATATTAATGCATTTATCTGTGCTTTGGAGACGCAGTCGGTCCCGGTTATCATCACTAAGTGCCGGTATTCATTTAAACCATCTACCCGCATTAGAAAAGTGTAGTGAAATCTCTCCTATGAGAGAGAAGTCTTGTGCCCGGCTGGAGTCGATGTATCTTTTTAGCTATTGTATTTAATGACTTACCTACGACAACGGTTAAACAAAACATCAGCTTTTTAATAAAGAAATGTAATGAATATTGCTTATCTGCTTAACAGTCTGAGGATCGAGTGAGACGGCTAAGTCCATAATACGGCAATTCATCACCGAAAAATAAAAATTCTAGATGAGATCCCGAGAAAAATTCCGCTCCATTTATTACACGTCAAGATCTATGCTTAGTTTGTTCATTTTGATAAAAAACGTCGAGACAGAAATTTAATATTAAATTTGTAGAATTAGGTTGCTGGAAACGGCTCTTTTAAAAAGAAAAGTAATTGTGACATTTTCAAAAGTACGACTTGCAACGGGTATAACTTTTGTTTTTTGACTTTTGACTTTTTATCATTACGTGCCTATAAAGCAAATAAGGAAGCAGTATATCATAAGCACGTAAGCAATGAGCAATTTTTTAATCTATGTTCAATCTTAACACACTTATTGTTAAAATGTTTATATAGAGATAATTAAGTTATCTTTTAAGCAATAGTAATTAAGTCGTAAGGGAATCCAAGATTTAGCACAAATTTCAGTCTAAAAGAAAAAAATATATTGTAAATACAGCCTGTGAAGAACGAAGGAAAGTTCATTGAAAACATACAAGCAAATAACGCATCTTCAATAGACAACAAACATTATGTTTCGACATGTTTTTTAACGAAAAAGCTAATATAAGCAATTAAGCAACTAATGAAACGTTATATTTTTTAAGCAGAACATTTTCATTCGTTTCATTTTAAGCCGTTATCCACATCGCTGCTTATTGTTAACTCAATATCCCGTACATATATTTTGCGTTGATATTTATTCCATATGCATGCAATTCCATGCGTGTTGTTTTTCCCATAAAATATTACACCCCAAATATTGTCTTATCTAGTATGTTAGATGCTCGACAACCTTTCAACTCCCTTGCCAAGTGCCAAATCAAGCGGTTGGCATCGCTGGATGACGACCGAACTGGCCAAGCGTTCATTTATATTGTATTGCTATGACCACGGCTTACTTAAATATAATGTAATTTATTTTATTTACGGAATTTTCTATATAATATGATGATAGGAAAACCTAAATAGTCCAAGTGACGAACCACCGTCCATAGATAAAAAAGCCGTGAAGTCTATTCGCGTTTTGGCTTGTTTTGTTGTTTATGGCTAGGATATTTCACCTACCATCAAGTAGTCGTGCTTTTCTGGCCTCCTGACTGCCTGGTTGAACTTCACATTCTAACGGCTTAACCGATTTTGATACAATTCAGCTTAAGTAGCCTGAAACGCCTTGTACTAAATAAGACTCTTGGTCAAGTCACAAATTGGAAATCTGTTAATCATAATCGGGTTTAATATGGTTTTGTAAAAATAATAATAAAAATACAATTCAATGCCAAATGATAAATTAAAATTTTAAATTTTCTATAATGTTCATTAAAAAAACTGTTTTATTGACGATGTAGTGATTCTAAAGACATCATCGTAGGTGAATCATATACTAAAATAAGTATGTTTAAGTACACTTACAAATGCAATACATTTTTGGCTCGGTATTGACCTAGACGAGGTACGAATGGTAATCGAATCTCGACCTCGCGCCCTGCGCGTGAGTTTGCGCTGTGGGGAAATTCGGAGTTATTCTAGTAGCTATTTAGTATTCTTCTAATTATTACATCCTTGTGTTCAGAAGACTGCAGTCTGCAGAACAAATTAGTGTGAAATCACATTTCCATTGACGATGGGACAGACATATTTTAGTATAATGTAGAACGAAACTGTATTTTCCCTAGATTCAAACCTCGAAAGTGTTATGCAATGCTCGGCCTTAAGCCGAATTGTAAAACCTACTGTGTTTTGTTTTGTTTGTTTGTCCTTCCTTTACGTACTAAATAAGCAGACTGATCGGTATACAATAAGTAACGTAAATACATATCTTAATAGAAAAATTATTTACACCCATGTTAGTTCTATATAGGAATGTCTTCGCATTTTATGAGGAAAAGTGTAAATTTTCAAACCCATTTTTCATCTTGATCACATTGATCTCTTAATGTAATATTTCCATTAAAAAAATTGTTTGTACTTTAATTATATAATGTTAGAGTTTCCGCGTATTTCACCTCCTATGAAGTAAACCCTATTCTTAACTGTCCTCCTCTATCACATAAAAAAGGAATCGCGTGAACGAACCAGACTAAGCTAACTATTAAAGCTCGCATCAAAGGGTTTATGAGAAATAAATTATTACAAAGCACAGAATAATGTCCAGATATTCTTATTTAAACGAGCTCGTTTATGCCAAAGAGAATTTATTTTCCTTTTTTGCCGTGCAAGAGAGTGAAATTAATATCTAATACCACAATTATATTTTAATATTATGGTCTGTGGTCTAACTCTAAATTTAACATTTAATATTGCTCGCTATGACGCCAGAAAGTTTGATTCGACGAAATGAATTATGTATTTATTTATGTCTACGATAACTTATACCGCTAGAGGTCACGATTAGATAAATTTTCATTAAAACAACTATGCATTTTGTTTATTGAGTTTAAAAGTTTCCTAATACGCTGTGTTACTAGTAGCTCATAAACTGAAGTGTACAAATCATAGGACATTACCAATTGGCTATTTATTGTCATAGCTAGCTGTGCTGTTTGGTAAGACATTTTACTAATACATAATTATAATAGATACTCTCGGGAATTCAACTCGGTTCGCTAAATTTATTGCTTCTATCATATTTATATGCATTTTCTAAATGTGTAACCTATTTCAGAAATACCATGAACATTATCTACATATTTCTCGCAATACTAGGATGTTCCGAAGCGAAGCGGGCTTCATGTCATGCGTGCCTTAACTCAATGTGTTACAGACGGGATAAAATTGTTGAGGGAATAAAGTTTTCCGGTCAGCTAGCCATCGATCGATCCTCGAATGTCCTGTACTTTCATTACCAGAACCGCTCTGAAGATTTCACGGCCTCGTTTGATCTAATAGACGTAAGATTACGTATTATTCAAAACGGGTTTGCCTTCGGCCTCGCTGTAGACCAATCGACTAAAGATCTGTACATGACCGGAGTCCAAGGTTTACACAAATATAATCCATATAAACAAACATCAGAACCCTTTGGCCTTAATGATAAAACAATATGGCATCTACACTATGAGGACAAACTATATTACTCGGAGTTCCGTAAAAAAGGAATCTACACGTACGAGAACAAAAAACCACAGATAATACCGGGCACAGACTATAAAATAGACGATTTTATCGTCGATAAACTCGGTGATATATATTTTATGCACAACTTCTCTACGTACCTGTTAAAAAATGGCGCGAAAACCGCAGAGTTGTTTGAAGATGAGATTTATTATCTGACCACAGATAGGAATGGGGATGCATACTTTATACAGCCCTATACGAGAGCAGTTTATAAAATGAATTACAAATATAATAGAAGGACATTGAAGCAGCTGGGGGCGTTTAACAGAGGTTCAGCGTTTATTGTTGTTTTTGACGGTGATAATGACATTATCTATTATGACGGGTCGGATAAAAAATTATATTATCTGTCTCCGACTGCCAATAGATGTACAGTCACAGCTAAAGGAAAACGTTTAAAAATGATTATTACAATGACTAACGAATAAGCAATGACGTGTTTAACTGTAATGAAACAAAAAAAAAATTCTATACAAAGTGTAAATGTTTTTTACGGCAGATAAAAAAAATATAGGTCTTGTAAATTGATTATGCAGGTAACCATAGTAAGAATAATATATTTTTTATTATGAAGCCATATTGTTAATGTCATTTGCCTGTAAGCGGTACATTATTGTTTACGTCAAATGTAACTTGGTTGGAATATGGTTGACGTCACTAGCTTGTAGGTTGCGTGTTTTCAAATATAGAATGTAAAATTGTTTACTAAATTAAGGTAAATGATTTTAAAACCTTTTTTTTGTTATTAAAATATTTTTTTTATTGTTACGAAATTGATATTAAAAGATAAACATTATTGCAAAAATATTTATTTCCAAGTAGAATTTTACAATACAACAAAACTTTTACAATTTTTATTAAAACATTTAACATTTTGCTATTTTTTGAACAAATAATATTATTTTATTTTCAATAATACAATTTACAGTAGCGATTATAACAGTATATGGCAATAGCCATCAAAGTCAAGTAATAGTAACTCTATGTGGTATAAATATCAATTTGTCTACATTTTGTAGGTATTGCAATTTAGTCTTCAAAAAAGTTGCCGGCCTCAATATCTTGTTAGTTGCAATAATACAATATTAATTATACCAAGACATAATGGGTATTAAGAAATCATTATTGCACATAAAATGGGGGTAGTTCTCAATTGAGTGATTTTTACGGATTCACAAAATTTCACAACAACTATCATACTCTATTTTTACATCTTCTCTCAGTCCAGATAGTATGAATAGGCGCTAGAGGACACTCAGCAAGACATTGTAGCCAAGGTTTCGGGTTTCTCTTCTACAGAATAGACATGTATTATTACAGATAATAATTAGCCTACTAAGAGGTTACTTATTATCTGTAGTAATAAATATTATATATTATAAAGTTTTTGTAGTCTTTTGAGTAGATATACTACATGCTACGAGGTCTTTGATTATTAAGTTGGTTAGGTTGTTATTTAAATGTCAAATTAATCAAAGTATGTTAAACTATATATTATACTACATACAAACATATGACAACGTATATTTCATAGCGTCATAGTCAGTCATAGCGTCTTTTAGGTATTTTCACTCGAGTCTATCGAGTCAAAATATTTTAATAATTTACAAATCTCATTGAAGGTTAATTTAATAAAAAAAAACCCTTCTTACTAGTACAATAAAATAATAATTTCTTTGGCTATCATATTTACGCTTAACTGGAATTTATATAATATTGCGCATATTTATAAAAATACTAAGCTAAATATATTCAGCACATATGTAACTAAAGCTAATATTGCAAAGGAAATATTCTACGGCCTCCGATGCGTGATGATGAACTGCTTCTATTTACTTTTTCTCCCTCTAATGAAAAATAAATATATATATTAATTACACATATAAATAATAATAACAAGTTTACAGGTATTTAATATACTACACAATATCAATTTAAAACATCTATGCTATGGCTTTAAAGACATACTGCAGTTTTCAACGTTTGCGTTAAGCGCCACCTGTTTATCTAATTGCGTACTTCGTAAGTAACAATGCATTACAGTTTTTACGTACCGAGCATTCCATGTCGTCGCGTTTTTTATTCGCCATTGTTTCAGCGTTATATTCGTGTTCTAAGCCAAAACACTGAAAAAGATGTTTAAATTATAATATATATTGTCATTTATGACTAAGTTAGACTATAACACTGTAGTGGTTAACATCCTTACTTTTAAAATCTCCTCATTAGACAGATGTTCACTGGGACCAGTCTGTTTAAAATGTTTAATAAGTTTCCCGCCCTTTTCCATCAACAGCATTCCACCGGTTTGCACCCAGTCACCCTTCATGTCCCCACCTAAACCTAATTACACAAAAACTAAATAAAAACACAAATAAACCTTGCAAATATCCATATTGGACAAGCGTTCACTCGGAGCGAATTGGGCAAAATGACAGATGAGCTTCCCGCCTTTTTTCATCAATAGAACGCCGCCATTTTGCAAACCGTCACCAATTAGATCGTTGTCCAAACCTGGGTTTATTTATTTGATCAATTATGGGCTAAGGAGTTTTAACAAATACTGTCTGTAGTTTACGGGTCTAGTACAAAAACTGAATAAAACACATTAACGGTTAAAAACGCGATTTACATTAGTTAAACTTATTTTATCTGTGCAATATATGAATATATATGACCATGGCTGCTGCATGCGTCAAAGTCGGGCCGTAGTTAAAATAATTTTCAAATAAGTTTAACCTAATATATCGACTTTTAAACCGTTAAATTGTTTTATTTTAATATGTAGATAACAATACAATCATCCATTGACAAAACACTTTAATTTCTAACAATAAAATAATTAATATAATCTAGATCTTATTTTTAGTGTAAGACATTAGATCCGTTTTATTTTAACACGACTGACGATAGTGAATACTTTTTCAACTGTTAACTATCACGTTATTCTTATCAAGCAGTTTCTCAAAGTTTTCTGAGTAAAGGACAATAACAGACCAGTTAACAGTATGATAACCTTTGAAAGTTGTATATTTATAATATTTTCATTCGAGAAAAAAATGATTACCTACTTTTTTGTAATTAACATAATCATGTATGAGAGTTTTTACAATTCAACGTAAAATGTAAATGTAGACTTAACTGCATTGTTATAATGACGAAATGATAGTTCGAATCTTCGAGAAACATAGTAAGCAAGGTATATTATAAGTACTAGCTGTGTCAGCGACTTCGTCCGCAAGAATCGTTATTTGAGGCATCCAAATTCATTTCTGTAAACCCCTTTATCTTTATAAACTTAATCTGTTACCTAAGACATCGGTCGCGTCCCTTTTTTTAGATAATTTAAAGAGGAATCACTCTTTCATACATCGTTGCATCGGAAACCTATAGAGATGAAAATTTTTTCCCCGTTATTTCGCTCCTATTAGTCACACCTTCTTTATAGCCTATAATCTTCCTCGATAAGTGCTCTAATCAACACAAAAATAATTTTTCAATTCGAACCAGTCGTTCCTGAGTTTAGCGCGTTCAAATAAACAAACGAACTCTTCCTCAGCTTTATAAATTAGTATAGATGAGATACATGAAAGGCTGGGAGTTCGATTCTCGGCTGATCAACTTTTTAATGGCACCATGATAAATGTATGCAACTATACCCATTTTGTTTCCTTTGGCGATGGCCTCACGCGACTCCTTCCAAAGCAACGAAGTGAGAATCGTTACCACATTAAACCTCTTGAATCCGAGCTTTTGATAAATGGAACGATCTTCGGCGTAGTAGAGTTCTGAAACATTAAAGAACAAAAATTTTTTTTTTCAAATACAAATAAAAACATCTTTATTTTGCCATAGGGCACCAGATCCCACACTAGGATTCTTTTCCGTTGCATAAACAATTTACAACGAATTATCGAATCGAAATATGTTAAACACTGTCTATAGTTTACGCGAGTAGTACACATTTAAATAAAACACTTTAACGGTTTAAAACGCGATATATTAGTTAAACTTTTTTGAAAATGATTTTTACGTGGTCACAGACTGAGTCTCCCCGTGACCACGGCTGCTTCAAAGCATCCGAAACGTCGGGCCGAAGTTAGTGTTTTATCGAAATGTGTTACTAAGAAATAATATTATATTTTTCATAATTTTCTATTTAAGAGCTTTGCCATGCGCTTAGGTCATAATAAAGGGGAAAACATAAAGTGTATCACACAACATATTATTATGTAATATCTGTAGTTTACGCGAGTACTACACGTTTAAATAAAACATTTTTAACGGTTTAAAAGGCGAAACATTTGAGTTTTATGGTTAAAAGTTAACTTAAATTTAGATATAATTTATTTTATGTTATATTTACTCGGTCGCTTTGTAATCGCCTTGTTACTGGGGGACTACGCGATTCGCGTTTTAAACCGTTGAAAGAGTTTTATGTCAACTTATTATTAATTTAATCTTTTTCCACAATTGAATCAACTAAAATTCTCAAAGAACTGACCACCGTCGAAATATTTGCCATCGATAAACTCTTTGGAGCCTGCTTCTTCAACTCCCACGCCAACAAGACGTATGTTGTTGTTTTTTAATACAGGAGCTATATCACCCAACTGAAACACACAATAATAACTTAAGTAAAATAATGGATGTCCCACAGTTGGGACGGCAGGCTTTAATGACGACCCCCACTAAATCGGATGGATGAGCTTTGTGCCAAAATGACAAAACCTGCAAAGCCCAGGCTGATACTACTTTTAAAACTATTATTTCGCCTGATCTGTTAATCAAACTCTGACGTCGTGTTCTGCAGTCAAATGTACTAACCATCAAACCAAAAAGTCAGTAAAATGTGAAAATGATAAGTTTTACTAAAAATATTAAAAATACTTGGTAACAATAATTACCTCTTTCGCCCAAAGACGGCAAAAGAGGCATCCCCAGCGGCGGAAGAAGACAATTGCTACATTGTGTTCTTGCCATAAACTCTTCAACTCGGATGTCTGAAATAAAGGCGTAATAAGAAAGTCTTTTTAGGAAAAATCATGTGTACTACACATAATTTGTAAGCTACTGTGAAGTAAAGTATTATAATTTTTTTTTAATTTGTATGAACATATACATTGATTGCTAAAAAAAAATTACAAAAATATGTAAACATATTTTAGTTAAGGGACTCATTTAGGCTTACTAATTTAAACCTAAGAGATAACTGTATCCACAATTTGTTGTTTATATCACAAGTCAATAATTTCAAATTGTGATTTTGTATACTATACTATAATATAAATTATAACTATAGTATAAATTATTATTATTATTAATTTAAATTGAGATTTCGTATAATACACAAACAAAATAGTAGATTAGTACCCCGAGGTACATTTTTTATTAAAGCCACATCAATTTGCTGCAAAATGATAAGAGAGATAAGTTTGTGATATCTGAAACAAGCCTATATTTTTCCTATATTTTTATCTAACCTATGTAGCATTCTTCTATTATTACTCAGAAATAATAATAATGAAGGACAGTAGAAGTCCGTCCAATAAATAGCAAATGGAAACGAACTTATTATAATTATGCGCAAAAATTTATCAAAACTAATTTTAAAAGCACATATTTACAATTTTTAAAGTATATCAATACACTTTTATACGACACCAAGACATTATTTCGTATGTAATATAGAAATAAGAATGTTACACAAATCGCACAAGAATTGCGTAAGCTATAATTACACATAATTATTTTATAATATCCTATCAGAACGCTAGTAGATTCTAGAAAGATATCATTCAAGCTTGAACAACTTCAGATCAATTTTTTCATAAAAAAACAGATTACGAAATAGAACAATTTATATTCGTACTTACTTCTCCACCCGGCAAACTCACGACTTTCATAGAACCAATATTTGTGAGATCGAGAGCCATGTTATATCTCCCAATTAAATAAAAATATAATTAAAAATAGACACAAGATAAAAATGTTTGGTATTATAGAAAAAATTGTGTAACGAGACTTCTTCACCGGCAACAAGTTTGAAAATAAAGATAAATTCGAATTTGCAATTGCAAAACAAACAAGATTCTAAAAACCAATCAACATCAAACGCAAAGCTGTCAATTTAAAACATGTCAAGTGTCATTGTGTATTATTCTTTAATCGTATAAAGTAATCGATTTCAATAAAAAAATATTATTTCTTACTCGATTACATTCGATTCAAATGCGATTATCCGTTCTGCTTCTGACAGTTTACATTTCTCAAATGTCATTTCACGTACAGCTTTTCTCTGCGTCGCCGCGTGTTACGCCGGTTTTCGTGAATTTCCATTAAGAATCTTAAAGTTTTGGTGAGTATTTTCTTTTTATATACTTAAAAAAATTGTTTGTTATGTCCTATAGGCATTAAAGAACATCTCCTTGTCTAGTAGCGATTATTACGACCATGATAAAAAATGACCTTGTTACGTACCTACGGTTTAACATTGCAACAACAGTTTGACCATGCTAATATTACCGATTTGTAATGCATTAGTTGACGTAAACTGCTATAATAGTTATTGTTTTTTTTCTCTGTCCTTATAAGTAAGCAAAATCTTATAAGTAGGAATCTTAATACTTAGTATCTCTCAGTAAATCTATGACTCACGAAATTCTATAGTATGTACCTACTAATAGTAATTATATGACTTCCTTAAAATACTTATAGGTAATCAAATGCCATTATTTCCTCTATATAATGATGGTTAATTTTCATGACCTTACAAATGCTTTCTACTTATAAATGGCTACTTTCATTGAACAATATTTTATCTTTAATATGCATCTGTGTTTAAAATTAAACTAACAGAAAGCTTTTGAAATCTTTACTTATTATAGATACATTTTAAAATGTTGTGGTTGTCTGTCTTTGATAAGAACATTGCCAAACCTCAAACATTTTTAATTTATCTGATAATAGAAGTAAACCCAGTGTATTTATATCTTATCAATTGGCACTTTAGACATGTACAATAAAATTGAACTACCTACTTCCTAATTGTGTTATATGTCTTTTTTTTGAATAAAGAAAAAATAACACAAATAAGTATTCATTATTCCATGTCTTACACTATTGAAGAGAATTTATTTAAGTATGAGGTATAAAGTGAATCCTGTTTCATCTCGTGGCTGATTCACTGATCGGTTTTTATTTACAGACAAGTAGTTGATCAGACTTCTGTGCCCTACCTGACCAAAATAATTTATTGTTTACCTAGGATTTTAAACCAGAAGCTCGCGCTAAATGCTAGGCATCATTTAGCTAGAGGCGGTCAAGTATGAGGCATATTAACATTAAATTAACTTAAATGTCCATTACTTTACATTCATAACATAATTTGCCAGGTAAGGGGCAATCTTATCATTAAAATAGTGATACATCATTTATTATTTAACATTATTATCAATTATTAGCATTAAATTGCTATCATAGAATGATACTGCTCAATTAGTTTAGATTTACTAAAACATGAATTGTTAAAAAATAGCACATTAATATAGACAGGGTACATTTTATTTTTCCAAATTATTTGATGTATAAGTGAATCCAGTTTCCTAGAGACAAACTGTGGTTTGATTTATGGTTTAACCTAAAACTTATACATATGTATAAAAAAAATCATGAGTTGTTGTTTAATAATATGTAATAATTATTTGAGAATAAGATATTTGTAGAAAAATGATATTTATAGCCCAGTCTGAGTAGACAATATATCTCAAGAGAATAATGTTACAGCTTTTAACAGTAAGTTTGAAGTCCCGCGGTTCTTCAAAGTTCAGCAAGACTACCATACATCAAATCAAATCAAAAATCTTTATTGTTTCCTTATATATGGTACAGAATCGAAAGTCCCTAGTCCCCACACTAGGGCAAGCCTGTGTCGTGGGTGACTAGTCTCTTCCAGATGATGGGTTACAATAAATAAAGACATCTAAGCTAACTTATGTCTACTTACGATTAGTGTCTATTTAGGTGAGTATTTGCATTATGTGTGTTAGTGTATGTATGAAGCGAGAGCGTGTTACGTGTGTTGATATAATATAGGTATGTAACAGAATACGTGTGATAGGTGGATAATGTAAGTTTACAATGCTAACGAAATACGAAATAGACTTATTACAATTATTTACTTAACATTACTAACGGAATAAACTTAATACAATTAGAAACTCAACATTACTAACGAAATTAACATTTTACAATTTGACAATTACAATAGCATTTTGTTATAGACAGATAAAGAGCTAAACTATGCTCTATGGAATATTAAGCAAAGCCTCAGCTGAAGCGTAGTCCAGGCTTGACAGTAGGTTTTTTATTATTTTGTTTATCCTATATCTTGACAGTTTGACGAACTCTGTTTTAGCCTTTTTATGAAGTTTATTGTAGAGGTAAGGTCCTCTGAAATTGAAAAATCGTTGTCCAAAACTAGTGTTTTTTTTGGGTGTTGTGAATTGAGAGTGTCTTTGTGTTAATGACATTAAGTTATGTGAAGTAGAGACTTTGTGGAAACGAAGGCAAGTACTAAGAATATATAGATTTCTGACCGAAAGCAACCCTGTCTCAGTGTGCAGTTGGGTTGTAGGAAATCGGAAGGGTTTCCTGTAGGCTGTTTTTAAAATGGCTCTTTGAGCACGCTCAAGTTTAAGTATGTATTTTGCGACGGCTCCTCCCCAAACCGAGATGCAATAGGTGAGTATGGATTGACAGAGAGCAAGGTAGATCATTTTAATGACCCCTTCATCTGCCACTCGCTTTAGCCGATTGAAGATAAACATCAACTTACGGATCCTGGAAGACTGGGCATTAATATGTTTTTCCCAAGTGATATGTTGATCAATGATGACTCCTAGATATTTTATATTGTTAGCGTAAGCTATGGATGGACAATGGCATGAACTTTCCTTGGTTAAATTAGAACAGGAATGAATTTTGATATCCGGTAATATTTTTGGTTGGTTTCGTTTGGTTAAACTGAAGCATAGGAATTTAGTTTTAGCTATATTTAAGGTTAGAAGATTATTTTGCAGCCATTGGAAGATGCTATTTACACCTTCTTCTGCTAATTTTGTAACCTGTTTCCAGGAGTTGCCACTAAAAATAATAGAGGTGTCGTCAGCAAAAGAGAAAATGCTACCATTTGTAAGCGAAAGATTGCACAAATCATTGACGTAAATCAGAAAGAGGGAAGGAGAGAGGGCGCTGCCCTGGGGCAAGCCGAAAGGAACATAATTTTGGTTGCTGGTGTAACCACCAAGGCAAACACGTTGCTGTCTGTTGGAAAGATACGATTGGAACCACCGCAGGGCCTGGCCTCTTACCCCCATGTACTCCATTTTCTGCAAAAGTATAGGGTGCGAGACGGTATCGAATGCTTTTGCGAGGTCAAGAAATACTCCAATACATTGCTGGCCCATGTCTAGCGTGTCAGTTACTGTATCAATAAGTTTAGAAATAGAGTCTTCAGTTGACTTCTTTTTGCGGAAGCCATACTGGTTATTGGAGAGAATAGACTCAGCCTCCAAAAAGGAGAGTAGCCTCTTATTTACTACTCTTTCCATTATCTTTGCAATAACCGGAAGGATAGAGATTGGTCTGTAATTAGGTATTTCTCTACTGTTTCCGGATTTGAAGATAGGAGTTACGTTTGCTAGTTTCCAGGCTTCGGGAAATGTATTGCTTGAGATACTTAGGTTGCATAGAAAGGTAATTGGTGCCACAAGAATATCTTTAAGTTTTTTTACGAGTTCACTTCCTATATTGTCCCATCCGCTGGCTGATTTTAATTTAAGTTTATTAATAATGTTTGATATTTCTTCGTCGTCAGTGGGTTGTAAGAAAAATGACTTGGGATTATAAGGTAATTTAATGTTGTTAGCCAGTTGCTGTTCAGAAATATTACGATGGTTAAGAGTAGAATGGGCTAAGTTCTGGCCAACGGTAGCGAAGTACTTATTGATTAAATTAACTGATTCTGTAGGATTAGAAGTAGCTAATAAGATGTCAGAATTGGTTGATTTATTAGAAGTAATGCAACATACATTTTTAACAGTTTCCCAAAGTTTTTTTGTGTTGTTTTTATTTTCTCTTATTTGGTTTCTATCGTACTCAATTTTTAGATTAAATAAGAGGGAATTGCAATAATTTCGATATTTTTTGTATTTGTTTTGAATATCAAGATCCCTCGGATTTTTTCTAGCGACCATATGTAAACTATCCCTATGCCTGACGCACTTCAGAAGACCTGGGGTCATCCATGGTTTTTTGATGGCTCTAGACCTACTTATCGAAGATGTTTTAGTATACTTGGATACTATATTGGAGATGTTATTTGTAAATAATGTAACAGCTTTATTGATGTCTGAGGTACAATAAAGTCTATGCCATTGGAAGCCTTTTAGGTCCTCTGCAATGCCTTGATAATCGATGTGAATTTTGCTTTTTGCGGTTTTCGGTTGGTTCTGTGGTGTTAACCTAGTACTAATACCTAGGATCACACAATCATGGTCCGATGCTGTTGAGGGGGAGATGGCTACTTGAGAGGGAAGGTTCGACCTAATCAGCGCATGGTCTAAGCAGTTACCTTCACGAGTGGGTATCATATGGCCAGGGACAAATCCTAGGTAACCTATTAAGTCTAGGTATTTGTCTTTTCTAGAATCGGAGGACGCCTCTTTAATATCTATGTTAATATCTCCCACAATAAATGTTGGTCTACCTTGGTGTTGTGATAGATGTTCTTCCAGTGAGATAAGAAAGGTATCAATGTTGTAGAAGGCTGGAGATCGATATAGCGCAAGTACATTTATTTCGTCGTTGATAGTCAGGATAAGGCAATTAGCTTCAGCAAACGTTGGCTCGTATATATTTACTTTTAAGTTAGTTTTGTGTAAAATTACTATACCGTCGCATTTATTGTAGTATTTTGTTGAAAAACTGCATGTATAGTCCTCGTAGGAGAACCCCGCAAAGTTCTCGTCAAGCCAACACTCAGTAAGTACTATGATATCCGGCGAAACATTAAGCCGAGCCAAGAATAGTGTAAAAGAATCAAAGTTCCTCCGAACACTCCGAATATTTTGTGATACAACAATTAGGTTAGATTTGCTTAAAAAAGATTTACAGTTTTCGGGATGTTCGAAAAATCTCGACTCGCAAAACACCGTACCGTCTATTGTCTGAATTAAGGCACTACTATCGAATTTTAGTCTTTGAGAAAAACAATGAGCATATAAGTTTCAAGTGTTCAAACGTTTGTAACATACATGTTACAAACGTTTGAACAACAAGTACATTATCCCTCACCCACATTTTTCTATTGAAAGATGTCGTATGCTCCTGGAAGCTAGACTTGCACAAGCCCTATCCAATTTATACAATTTTTAGATTAATCATCTAGTAACTAGTTAGTCACAGCGCAGAACGATCATGTTTATTTCAAATGGTGACGTCATGCAAACATGAAGTCGCTTCGTATTGCAAGCAAAGTCAGTCGTGAAAACGAAGTTCTAGTGACCACACGTATCCCACACGGCTCTTTCGCTAAGCGATAAATAAGACTGATTATTTTAGTGGTTAAATAGATAAGGTATGTAAATTTTATCGAACATTAAAATACAATTTATCGTAGGTACATAGCAATTTCCTTTATACCGTCTGTAGTTGGTTCAACTTCTAACCGTACATTTTTTAAGTGCCTACCGACGCTTTACTTTTTAATCTTTCAAAGTAGATTTTTGACGTAAAGAAATTAAGTCTTCAAGTTTCTAACATTTGATCCCGAAAATTCTTTATTGGAGCGGTAAAAATTGAATGGTCAACATGAACTGATTATTCTAGGTGTGACTTGTAAATTAGAAACCCGATCTTTCCTTGAAATATTTAATTGAAGGTCACGATAGAGCGATATAATAATAGGAATAATTTTACCTACTTAGTAATGACAGCGCAATATTTTTAACGTAGGTAATTTATTTTTCCTTGTTTATGGAATGTCCTTGTGTAAGGTTATTAATTACTAGTTTTTATACCTTTTAGTAAAGTTTATAATCACTAATTTTAAGATATCTTCACAAACTCATATGACCGTTAAAGATTTTTTTTAATTAACTAGAAAATACGTATAGATATATAATAGTTAAGTCTACTAATCAAAAACAGGTTTTAAATTATGTTCCACTAACGCTATGTTCATTCAAAAGCAAATAGTCTAACTTAGGTTCATAATACACTAGCATAAGGTATTTATGTGTCATTCTTCCTCTTCCTAAATAAAATTTGATTTGTAAACAGCAATAGGATTTACGTAAATAGCTTGTATCTGATGCGTTAATTCGCGCATACTTGCAAAACTAAAACAACTAAGGCGGTAGTCTCATTAATTAAATAGATTTTAATCTTCTAAAGAGTTGTTACTTATCTATCAGTATTAGTTGTTGCGATCAAGATTTATGTCGCATGTGTATGGACGCCCTTATCACACATCACACTTTGTGAAGGTTAGACGATATATCAAGTCATTGTTGTACGTCTAACGATCAATGTAATCTCTGTGCTTCTAGTAATTTGCTTTGTAAGCAATATGAATGATAAAATAAACAAATATATATACACGTAGACGTCGATATTTTTTTAAGAGTTCTTCTTACCTCGTATTTATATCGTAAGCAATCATTGAAAGATCATTGTGTATTGAAGGTTGCCGAAAAAAAGTCAAGTGACAAAAAAGAGGTTTCAAGAACTTCAAGGTTTAGTTATAATTTATTCTAGTCCATTTTCATTACGTTCTATTTTATTTTTTTATGAAAAAGAGAATACTATGTTAGTGTAAAGTACGTATACGTATTTTAAACAGAAATTAATTATTTATATTTTACTTAATCAAAATCAATATTACTTTGAGGACCATCTTGGAAATATCTTTTCAACAAAAATGAATAATCAATATCGGACTAGAAAAACGACGAAATCGGCGTTGTACTTTCGGGAACAACAAATCTGAATGTTCCTCTACATACAACTCATTTATTTACTTTTAAGTGTACTCATATGGAATAAATGATTTTATTTGATATTATTCGCGAACAGACGCAAAAAGGCATACCGTTGATAACTTGCTTTTTTGAAGTAGACTAATCAATTTAAGTTAATATGTACTTCTAAGTATAAATCTGTAACTTTCAGTCACAATGGCCATCCACATCAAAGACTCCGACGACCTGAAGGCGAGGCTCGCCGAAGCCGGCGACAAGCTGGTGGTGATCGATTTCATGGCGACCTGGTGCGGACCCTGCAAGGTCATCGGCCCCAAGCTAGAGGAGATCGCCAATGAAATGGCTGACTCGATCGTCGTTGTTAAGGTAAATAAAGCATTTGTTTCTTGTGATGAAGATTCTTGTAGTAAACGACAAGCAGTTCTGATAGACCTAATGGTATACGTTATTCTAAGTTACTTTTATAGACTCAAGTGCTTTACTTAAAAAAAACACTTGTAACGGTTTTAAACGCGAAATAAATTAAACTTATTTACTATATAATTTAACTATGACCCGATGTTTTCGATGCTATGTTTAATGTGTACTACTCGCGTACCTACCGACAGTATTAAAAAAACAAATTACCTAATCTCCTTTACTCCTCCTCCTTAATTTAAAGCTACTGTGATTTATTATTTATACCTTTTGAACTTGTGATCTAGCAACCCCAGCTTTTCCTCATACCAATGTCTTTTCAACACAGACGGGTTCTATTGAATTTGACCTGATCACTATTATGGGCTGCAAAATGCCTCTAACCTAATTTAAAATGAAGGAAGTTTTCATTATTTTCCTTTCTCACTTGCTAGTTCATTGACCTCTATGACAGATAGAATTAAATGTGTAATTTTGATACCTGTATAAAATAAATAATAACATAAATGAGAGTATATACATACTTTCGTATAAAGAATTTAACTATAGACAGTATTTAAAGAATTTAAATTAAATTGAAAGATATATAATTTAAATAATAAGTTATATATCGCGTTTTAAACCGTTAAAATGTTTTATTTAAATGTGTACTACTCGCGTAAACTATAGACAGTATTTTAGATATATAATTACTCATATCTTGGCAGCGTAGTGCTCGTTACGCGTTACGTAACATCCGATAAGTGTTGATCAATTCAAAATGTATTTGTTTGAATACACATAAGTACAATTACTTCTATTTAAAACCCACAGTGATTGGATTAGTCGCGCCAAGAAGTCTTTAGAGTTGTACACTATGTGGTTGACCTACTTGCGACGAATCGATATTTCTTTTTGCCGGCTTCGTATAGGTGGGGTCTATCAAATGACAGATTAGATTAGTAAAAGCCATTTCTCCTAATAAGTTACATTAATCGACATGTACGATTATGTTTAAACCTAATATATGGGGCCGCTAGAGGCAGAGTAGCCTAACTGCAGTTTTATGACTTGAGTTATTTTCTATTTACATTTTCATAGTCTAAAAACGGTAATCTACAAGAGTAATCATGTTATTTCTTATTAGGCCACTCTCGTATCAATAGGTCGGTTAGAGCAACAGCACGGAACGCTGTGGATGCCGGTTTAAATCCCGCCCGTGTCGTAATTTCTAATCGATTTTTTATGTGTATAATGCTATCATGTAACATGTAATAAATATTAAAGCTTTAAAAATTCTAATTTCTAAATTTGGTCTAGTACTTCCTAAGACTAACACAAAGGCTACAAAATCCTTGCTTTTACGTAATTTTAACACAAGAGAGGCGTTCGGAAAACATCAATATTCATCATTGTGTAGATATATAATACGTACCGATAAGAAAAAAAACTTAAGGTATCGCGATCTAAAAGAAAAATTCTGACGATATAATATGTCGAAGTGACACCAATATACGGCGTCGAAGATTCAGTTCCCAACTGTGGGAACTACTAAAGCTAATAACGATATAAAACCGACCTATTTTGAAATAGGTTATCTAGAATTATTTTATCTGCCTGATAAATACTAGCGTAATTTATGACTATTGATAAGTGCGCTAGAGTAATCGTTATGCAATAAAAATCATTCATCCTACGTGGTGGGATTCCTATCAAATTATTCACTCGAAAGATTTACTAGGTACCTCTTTTAATCGTTTAAATAACTTGAAACTGTTAGTGTGTTTATAAGAGTGCCAAGTGACAAAGCCACTACTGCTTACAAAGTTGTTAGTCTAAGAAGTACTTTTAAAGCCAAACTTTTTATATGTATAAAAAACAAACAGTTGTCTTATTAGTAAACTTAATAACGAACAGCGTCGTTTTACGCTTGTTTAGTTTAAAATCGTGTTTACTTTTTCTTGGTTACATGGACGAGATCGCTAGTTAGAGAAGACCGCCATTGCAATAGTAAAATTTGATTTCCTAATGTCTCTTTTAACAATACTTTTTTAATAAGTATTACTTATAAATTGAAAAAAAAAAAAAATACGACACGGGCAGGACGATTAAATAAACGATTATCTGTCGTAAATTTTTACAATCTAAAATCGATTTTTAATTTACGTAGTGCCATCATATGTGAAGAATATTAAAGTTTTCAAAAGTTATTACTTCGAAAAACTGTTTGTACCCTGTTTACCCATTTTGTTGTACGCTTAGGAATCTTAATTCCCGTAAATAAATTGTGTAAGGCTTTCACAGTCATTCAGCATATCATTGTTTTCGAGCTGTTCGGCCGACGTAATCGCCATAATAAGCGGACGACATCATCAGGAGCTTCTCGATTGCTCGAAGAATTAATAATATTCCTGTTATTTGCAGATTGACGTCGACGAGTGCGAAGACATCGCCACTGAGTACAACATCAACTCTATGCCCACCTTCGTCTTCGTGAAGAACTCGAAGAAACTGGAGGAGTTCTCCGGCGCAAACGCCGACAAACTGCGAAACACCATTCTTAAGCTTAAGTAAACAACTGTCCGTACGCCTACCGCGCCCCAGGAGGGTGAAAATTTTTAAAGTAATATATTTTTTGTTAACGCAGTTCAATGTTTGGCATTTACGCTACAAGTATTAAATAAGCATTTACGTAAACGGATTCGCATCACCAAGTGTCTTAAATGTTTTGCACAAGTGTAGGCAAGCGTACAACCAACTGTTTGGTCGTCATTTTTCATTGCATTACGTTACAGAGTATTGTTAATTCAATAAATATGTTTAAATGACTTTTTCGTTTCGATTCCATTTCCTCAACCTTTACATTATTTTAACTGTGCATTATACTCACTGTATGAAATTATTTCAGCGCTAAAGTATAAGTATCGGCACGGATCTTTAGCGCTGAAGGAATCCTGCGCAGAAGTCAAAATTAAGGTATCGAAGGGACGGAAGTGGGCGCGGGGGGAGTGAACGTCATGTGCGCTAGCGTTGATTGGTTCCCCAGTCGTGTTCTGTTTCTCGGACTAATACGACGCTCCGCTTGCTTCTCGAATACAGTCACGTTTTCCAATCAATTACGTGCACGATTGTACTGATGCGCAACTATCCCCTCTACATTTCGTTCAGCGCTGAACATCCGTGCCGCGACCTATACATAGTCGAATTTTACCACACTTTTCAATTATCAATGACTCATTTATTCTACTATCTGTAGAGCTATGACCTTTTTTGTTTATAAGAAAAATAGTTCAGGCGCCGAAATTTTATTATTTATTTCCTTTACGATTTTTTTTTATGAGTTAACTTCTCAATACGTTTTGGAAATATGTTCTGAATTTGACAAGGCACATTCTTAAAAATTAAACAAAAATAAAGGTTGGTGAACATCTAGATTTGTATGCAATATTTGTGTGGTGACTAAACTTTAACACTTAGGTATAAAAAGTAGCAGACCGCAAGATTTACCGCACTCACTAGAGAAACCCAAAGCTTCTTTCAAATTTCTTTATTTATGTATTTACATTAAGTATTGAGTAAATTTCATATAACTGCGATTTAAATAATAATTTAAATAGACGTAGCAGGATACATGGAAGATAGTTGAACCGCTATAGGACGCGAAAACAATCTATTACTATGTTAATTTTAAAGCACGTTAAATTGAACAGTAGTACCTCGATGCGTCTACATTTTTGCCCTTTCCCACTTCAAAAGCCCCGTCCACCCTGGGCATGTGGAAAGCACGAAAATGTCGACCTTCCTTTACATATTAGTGAAAGCAGGCTAAGTTAAAAGAGAAGTAGTTCATTTATCGAAAAGCACAACGCAATTAATTATTTTAATAGTACAAATTCACTTTCGCTTAAGTTAATTCCGCATTTTTATTTGCCTCCTTAATGAAAATCACGTTTTTGTTATCAGGCCACTCTGCTTCTAGCAGCCTCATATATAAATAGACAACTTTTTAGACGAGGTACAAAAAATAATATAATATTACGTAATATAAGCCGCGTTGATTTCCATGTGATTTCAGTTCTAACCTATGGCGTAGCTATCGTAGGGCCAGGTGGTGCAGTGCACCAGGGCCCCGGAACTTAGGGGCCCTCTAGCCTTATCTTTGAGAAGGTATAAGCGTAGAAGAAAGAGATTTTTTTACGTTCTTGTTGCTATTTATAATTTTGGAGGTTCATTTAATTCAAGCTATGCGAAAAGACCCGATTCTTTCTTGAGCTTAAGGATTTCGTAGACCGGGGCCCTTGTCCACCTAGCTACGCTACTAGTTCTAACTACTTATTGCGCTGTGCTTTCCTTTTATAGCCGAAACTTTACTCACTTTTATAATACCGTGAAGAAATACGACATAGTGTAATTATGTGCCTTCGAAATTATTTAAATTCAAAACAAACGACTTTTCGTCAAATCTTTTAGTATAAAAGTAAGTAAGCTTCTAAGAAAGCCAAATAAATAAAGGTATATAAATTTTACATTAATATAAACACAATTATAATATTCTTAGTCCATACGCTAATACCGATTTGTTAAAAATTTCGAAAATTCTCGCCGAATATAAGTCTAATTTACGATTAAGATCTCCTTTAACAATTACTAAAATGCTTTACAAGTTTTATTTCATCGTTTTAATTACATTTCACTGTGTATTTATTAAACGTCGTGTTGGTAAGAAAACAATACTTTTGTGCAAAATTAAATTATTGTTTTAGTGAAATAGCGTTTTTAATAGGTCAATTGCAATAAATTCATTAATGACATTCGGAATGTATTTTATAATTTAATATTTGTCTCATGCAGGTCATACAAAATTCATTATTACACAAATTCAGTTCTTTTCGATATATAGTCAATTATAATAATAAAAAAAACTAATTTCACTAATTAATTACGATACATTTTAATCATAACGATTACACAGATCTTTGGATACACAATAATTTTTAAACGAGTATAATGTATAAAAAAATTGTAAAAAAAACACCGCAAGCGCTCATCGCCGCCATCTTGTCGTGCAAAATGGCGGCAAATAATCTACATCTCATTCGTCTAAACTTAACTAATGAAGGGCGAGTTTTCCATCTTCAGAACGTTATACGTTATTTGTAAAAAGGCCGAACAATTTATGTTTAACCACAGTTCTTCAGATTGAAAAATCCTCCCTGTAAGGACAAAATACAATACAATGTCGTTATGGACACGCTTACGTCACAAAAAGTAAACAAAGGACTAGATTGTTAAAAATAATTATTATACATTTACCATCTAAAATAATTATTACACAAATCACATATATTACTGAGATAACTCTGTTTTTTAATACAAAAAGCAACAATAGCGGAAAATACTAGTAATTTCATTTCATATTTGGGCTATTTATTATGTCAGGAAAAAATGTATATAAAAAAAACTATATTTTAGCGTCAAAAAGCTTGTTAATCCATCTGAAATATCAGTAAACGGAGTGGCAGTGTTACAAACATGTATATATATTGTTATATATGTAGCTTATGCAATAGTATTATATATTATTAAGAGCAAAGTTGCTTCTACTAAAAGCATCCTCATTATACGAATTTATTTATAAATTTAAGCTTTGATTACGAGATTTTAGGTATATTTTTAAAATTAGTTTATTATTATTTTAAAATTTAAAATAGCCTCTTTAATTTAAACTTTGCCGAAAATATTTTAAAGCCACAATGGCAATACTTAAATATATTTTTTATCCAATAATCTTTTAATGGATGGAGTTTTAAAAAGGGTTAAGTATCCCTTTCAAAATTTCAAAGTAATTTGATTACAGGATGCGCTATTACACAAAAATATAACGGTTCAATTCGAATAGTATCCTTACATGTTTATTGTTTAACTTCACAGTAGATAGAAGCAACTTTGCAACAATTTATTTTCCCCTTATATAAGCGAATTATTTTTCAAACTAGCGATTTATTTGTTGAATATAATTTTTACAATACCTTTATTGCGTTTTAACGTTCGTCGGTCAGTTTCTCAGAGTCGAGTTTTTACTAGTTTCTCGAAAAAATATTGTTAAAACATACAATAAATGTTCCTTTATCATCAATCTGCTTTTTACAATACATAAGATTTCTTTAATATTGTATAAAACCACGGGTTCTCTTTAGGGGTCTGCAAGACCCTACTTATCTATCGGAGGGTTAAAATGGTGGAAAACGTTACATTCGAGAAATTGTGAGAATTATTCTCGTGACTCCCTTATTAAAACGCAACAAAGTTCAAGTTATATTTGGACAAACAGACACATTCTTTATACAATCCCGATTACAATTATAGAGTACATACGAATCTAATTGACCTAAAAGCCACATTCGATACTTTATACTAGAAACCTCTAATTTATTATCAAGTTACTGGAAGGTAACACCTGTTGCGGGTAGTTTGGAAATTTAAAATTCCTATTTCAAATTAATGAGATTCGTTGGAGAAGTTCAAATAAATATATTATTTCTAGAAAAAGATAAAACTGTACAGAAATCACTACTAGAATACAACTAGCGTCGTAAAAACTTTCCAACTACCCTACAACACGCTTTCGTATATAATTTCGTTATATGTCTATAGTCACAATGATATATTAAAAACCATAGCTATAATTGTAGAAACATTTTAATATATTACCATATATCACCTTAGGAACCAAATGTTTAGAAACAAATTTTTATTATGCCTTAAGAGTAAACGATTGTAGGCGAATGGATAAGTTTACAATAAAGGTGGTGTAAATGAGATAAGGTAACTGAAAAAGCTATGCCATAGCAAATAATTCTATTCAGTTGTATTAATACGCAATCATACTTTAGTATTGTTCAATATTCTATTGTTAGGCGATTAAAATAAATAATTTAAAACTTAGTATTACATGTAAACGAAATATAAAAAACATATTTTGCTCAAAGTCATAATTATGCTTAATTTGTATAATGTACATATTTATAGCCACCGGGCTATGTGGTAAAGAAATATTCTTTAAAGAAAAAAATCCCCAAAACGGTCGCTGAGACTAAGTTAAAATCATAAGAATCGAATACATATGTTAAACTGAGTATATTTTAAATAAATATATATAGCTGGGAGTTATTGACTATATCTGTAATACAACGGAGTGATATGGTTAGACTGTGACCTGGTATCAATAAATAATATAATTTACGTTACACGAGAGTAAAGAAGAAACTTTGATATCAGTCCACTCGATCACCAATCGAAATCAATTTGATAACTTTGTATATTATATTTGTTTATTGCCAAATATTCGAGCATTCTCCCTTTGAATGCGTTAAACATGTTTTACAGACGCGATCTTCCTAAATAAGTATGCGCATAACATAAGTTAGACGCGTGTGACGTCATCCTCGTAACGTCAGCAAAAGCAAGCGTAAAGCTTCGATAAATCGACGCCCCAGTACGCGTCTAACTGGTTCCTGAAAAAATATTAATTCCTGAATAGGTATGTATAAAGATGTATCAGGAAAATAAAAAAAAACTAGCTATTTCCCATGTTTTTCCATATTTCCCTCTTTTACTTCTATCCTATCGGTTGCAGCCTGATGTTTTATAGCCAAAGCCTTCCTCGATAAATGCTCTAACCAACACAAAAATATTTTTTCAATTCGAACCCGTAGTTTCTGAGCGAAGCGCGTTCAAAGAAACAAACCAAACAGCTTTATATAGCATTGATTTAATCTTACGCTATTAGCACCAAAGTGAGCTTAACGCTCATGTAAAGACAAAATTACGTTATTCTGATAACCTTTAAGCTTTTAATTTACCAAATATAACTGTATTAAATTTATCTTAATGTAAACGATAAATGGTAATAGAATAACATTAAATAGGGATTAAATACGTGTAAAATATTTCAATTTAATATTTGTTGGTGTGTGTGAATATACGTACGATCATGTGTCGTGTGCGTGTTGATGCGCGTGCGTCGGCGACGCGGCGCAACTGCTATCTGACTGAACGGCATCCATATTCTCCGTTCCGACCTAAATAATTATTATCATTAGGTTCAAGTTAAACACTGGCTGTAGTTTACGCGAGTAGTACACATTTAGAGAAAACACTTTAGCGGTTTAAAACGCGACATATACTTATTTGAAATTTAATTTAACTACTGCCCGACGTTTCGGATGCTTTCTAGCAGCCGTGGTAACGGAAAGAATAAAGGTGTTTCTAATGTCAAAGTAAAAATTGTGACACTAGCGACACTTCTTTCGTCGTAGTTGGTAAAACCCACTAGTTTCGCCAAATACAAAATGTACATAATACAAAGCATCCAAAATGTCGGCCCATTGTTAGAATAATTTTAACTAATATATTACGCATTTTGAACAGTGTCATATTTTTTAGGATAAACATGCGCGTAGGCAAATACCAACCTTAAGTACATCATGTAGAGAGCTCATACTGCCCAAACTCAGAGGCGTGATAGATCGTTCCAACAGCGACCCACTCCCAGCTGAACCACCACCAACAGACCTATAAGGAATAATCTTATTAAAAATACACACACACTCATAGGAATATACATTTAATACATCTACAAGTAAAAAATCTTCTTTAAATAGCCGTCAAGTTCAACATATAGACTGATGTATATTGAGAATTTTAAATTATTTACTATGAAATAAAAGTTGTTTATTCTAACATTAACAATTCCTACAAAGAAGTCATATATATATATATGACTTCTTATTCCCTATATATATATATAGGAAATAGTCGTTCTTCACTTAGGCCACCGAGAAAAAATCTCATTTCTTATCGGCCAGATGTCATTTGCGAAATTTATAGGTCTCGTGAATATATTAAAACTATCCGCTACTATGATTTAATTTAATAAATGTAAATTTCCTAGTTTCTCATGTGATTTATAATCTGTGTAAGAACAAAATGTCTCATAACTATAACTGATAATGTTAGTATCAACATTACACATGCACATTAAAAAATCTGAATTCCAACAAACCTGTCCATAGGTCGATGAGAGAGAGGCGGCGAAGGGGGCGCTTCTGTTGGAGGCTCCCGCGACCTCCCGGAACGCCACGAACCTTTAAAATTTCGAAGGCCAAAGATATAACATAGAAACATCATGTGCTCAAATAATTATGAATAACTTGATTATTGATATTCCTACATGTATTCGAATCTCGGGGTAAAATAATAATTGTTCCGTTAAAACGATACGTTGCCTCAAACCTCAGAGGGAAAATGGGATTTTAGCATTTATGAAATCCTGATTCTCCTCATGGGACATGGGGCAAACTTATTTCTGTGTGCCTTTCACTACTTGGTTTTATACACAAACAAGTAATTCATGACACTACTGTCCGGCCAGATCGAAACAATCTACTGTTTCCACTCGATTCGTACCCAGGACCACTAGCTACAGAGGCATAGATTTTAGCATTAACTTACCATTATAAGACCCGGTGGGATGTGATACCGTCAGAGGCGACGTGCGTTTACTGCTGTCTCTACTGCTATACATCTGAAACGTATAAAATTCATATAAATTCATCGTCAAAAAAAATTATAGACAACGAAATAATTTTAAAATGTCCAATCTCTATAATTTTTGATATAATCATTTTTATTTTTATCACAACGAGTTGTTTCTGATTCGTATACCTTGTTATTCCTTTTCTTACATTAAATAAAAAGCAATATTGAATGACCTTAAAATTGCGGCCGCTTGAGGCAGAGTAACCTAACTGCAATTTTTTTGGCTTCAATTATTTATATTTTTATAGCCTAACAATGTTATACTACATAATACACAGTTATCGAATAATAGTACAAATTCATTTTTGCCTAAGTTAATTGCGCATTTTTACTTTGTTTTGTTGAAAATTATGTTTTTTTTTGTTATTAGGCCACTCTGGCTCTAGCAGCCACGATTTGCGTTCACCTCAACTCCAATTACAGTCGTAGACGCGAAAAACAAAATCAAATAAAGCATCTAAGCATTACCTGATGATGATCATTGTCGTCGGCTGTCTCGAGGGTCGTGGGCAGATCCAGCAGCCGCTGTGATCGAATGCCATCACCTGGGCCCATGTGCGACACGTGGGCGAAGTTTGTGGGCGCCGATATTAGACGGGAACGGCGTTCTGATCTGTTCGAATTGTATGGGATATTATTTTACTACGGACTATACCTATAGAAGGACGTGTGCTTTATATTATATCATAGTCTTAAACGAGAAGATCACAATTTCAACAGTACTAATTAAAACACTTTTAACAATTATAAACGTGATATATATTAAATTAATAAATATTATATGTTATTTTTGTTACTTTATTGTTAAATACTGTCTGTATTTTACGCGACTAGTACACATTTGAATAAAACACTTAGACGGACGCTTTGTCTTTGCAGCAGCCGCGTCACGGTCGCGTCGGGCCGTACTAAAAATCATTTTTTAAAGTTTAACTAATATATATCGCGTTGTAAACCTTTGTTTAAGCTTCTTATTTTTTCTCTTATGGTCGACGTTTCGGTTGCTTTGCAAGGACCGCAGTCACGGGGTAAAGGTGTTTTGTTTAAATGTGTACTACTCACATAAAAGACAGTACTTAGCAGGTTAGTAGGAAATGATGGAACTGTTAACTGAGAATTAAATTGGAAGAGATATATATTAAGCGAGACTCGAACCTACTACTGTGATGTATCTACTAATCGATTTAAAGTTTTTTCAGCTAGATTTTGTATTCGTAGATTTTTACTTACAATCTGTTATGAGCTTCGATGGCTTGATGCGATTGTTCTCGTACGGAATACCTTCGTTTGTTACTGCCGTACGTCGCAGTTTCCAAATTCAAAGGCCCCGCTGAAATTTTACAGGAATTAGCAACCTAAGTACAGTAAGGAAGTAGTGTAATGGTAACAATGTACGGCTGAAAATCAACGGGTCGTTTGTTAGATCCTTACCGGGTCCAACATTTCTAATCAATACATTTTTTTTTCAAACATATTGAACTTCGTTTGGATCGGGATATTAAATGAAATTAGAGTATTATGGATAGGAATGTCGAAATTCCGTCCGGGTCACAAACCAACGTTCAAGGTGAAAATGGAATCAAGTTTAAACGCGTATCAGTCTATGGATTTCTAAATATCTGAAGCCAAAATAGGCCGACAGTACTCCTTTTTCAGATATGGTTTATTTGATCCACCATCCCTCACCTCCTTCATAATGAGTTTATAAGAGTTAGGAATCACCAACTTTTAGTTGTAAAAGCATTTAAACTGTACATGTGTTTTCATATATGACTCCTCTTAACATTTTTATAAATAAAAAAACAACAAACAGCAATAAATAAATAACTTACGCGTTATAAGCGGCCTTAGGTAGACGAGATACGGTGTAGTGTCATTTGAGAAGGGAAAACCGTTACCCCCGCTCCCTCCCGCCGCACAGAGCCATCCCCCCTCATCTAAGGGTCGTGCATTAGCTGAAATCGTATAACATTTTGATATTAGTTAACGCTTATCATAAACCTAGCTCCCGCGTCTTTGCCGGCATGTGTATTTAAATATCCAAAGCCGAGATAGGTCGACAGTGCAAGATGTTTAGATGCTATAAGAGGCTAGGATGTTTCACCATCAAATAAACTTCTCTGTCCTCTGCCATAGAAAATATTCAACGGCTAGACTTTGACATATCCACTAAGACGTCAAAACCTTACTTTTTTAGTATTCATTCACGTTTGTCTTTAACCGACACTTATTGGCCAAACGAATATCAAATCTATTGAATTCATTAATAAATTTAGGCCCAGATAAGTACTTACGTATATTAATGGTTTGCACCCAGTCTCCCGATTCGATATCGTACACGTCTATGTGGGATGACGTGAATATTAATAAGTGGGTGTCGTTCACAGCTGTAACAATAGGATTACGTCAGTTAGTATTGTGGTATATAGAGTTCGGCTTTTGTTATTTGTCTGTAACAAGAGAACGACTCTAGGTAGCACTTACCGTGATGCTGTGGATGCGCAGTGTACATGATCTCGGCGTCTCTAGCGCGCATGCCCACTCGATCCACGTACAACGCAAGCGCGCTGAACACCAGCAGCCAGTCGTTCCCAGCAGGTCTGGCGCATAATGGCCTCGCGCCAGAGTGAGATAGAAATACGCTCACTTGATTCTCAGGGTGCACTAGAGCTGTAAATATAAGTCCTTTAAATTAATAATTATTTTTAAAGGCTAACAAAATTTATTACATATTGCGTCTGGCCATAGTTGAGATGAATTGTAAATAAATAAAGTAATATATTTCGCTTTTTAACCCGTTAAAAGTACATAATTCGTTGTAATGTTAATGACAAATTTCGAGTAAAAATATTTTCAGTGACAAACAAAGTAGATGTACGAAAAAGTGAAGTGATGCATATATTTATATATTATAATGAACTAACAGCATTAAATACAAAAAATACGAAGGGTTTTGCAAAAAATGCCTGGAAGAGTTATTTGAAACAGATAAAGTCTCTTACATTTCATGTAGTTCTAATTTATTTATTTTAGATTTGATTACATATTTTGAGATTTTTTAAAGTCACTTTGGTCGTCTTCTTAAAAGATCAAAAAATAGTATAAATAAAAATATTACTCTACTTACAGACAGCGGGTCGATCAAGATCCGTACGCAGCGTATGCGCAACCAAACCGCCCCGATAGCCCAATATGAGCCGACCGCGACACAGCTGGACGCTCAGAACAGGCGCCGCCGCTCGCAACTCAGCCACTCGGTACCTTCTCGCAGCGGTACGGGTTATCTCGTACACTAGCACCACCCATGAATTCTAGAAAATGCCATAAAAAATTGGTCGTAGTTCTTTCAAACTAATTTTGCTTTCTCCAACTCCCTCATATTTATTTAGACATTTTACTATTTTAAGGCAGACAAGGTATACTTTGCTATGCTAGATATATGTGACGTAAATATGACGTCGTACATATAAGTCTAGTTAGGATGTGTGTACTTTACTTAAAAAAAAAGTATACCATGACTGCAACACATAAGCAGAATCATTTATATATCATTTCGTCTGCATAAATAAAAGGGAGTTGGAGAAGGTAAAATTGTTGTGGCTTGCTGGTGTAATGGTAGCCTAATAATATTATATATATTCATAATCAATGGATCGGGGATCCAATCCCTACCGGGTTCTAAAACACGTTGGACTTCGTCAGGAAATCTGGATATTAAATAGGTGGTGGGAATATCGAAATTCAGTCCAGGTCTCGCCCCACGGTGCACGATGAAAATTCGCCAAGTTTAATCGCGTTTCGGTTTCAGTCCAAATTTCAACCAAAAATAGGTTGACAGCTCATCTTGTTTAGATGTTACATGGCTGGGGTCTTGCACCTACCATCAAGTCAAAGTGATACTTGTCTGTGCTCCTCTATCATTGAAAAAAAAGGATACCGTACCTGGCGTTTGCAAACAACAGCGAACCCGTACGCTGTGGCATTCAGTTCACCCACAGCCACGTCGACAGCGCCCTTCGCTTCCGCGAGCTTCACGCTCTCCGCTTCGGGGCACTCCAACGCACGTATCGGGACTAGACGGACGTGTCGACCGCGACCGGCAATTACCACTGAAATTAAAAATATATATATTTTTTGAAAGAATTCACAGACAAATTGAAAAATATGTTAATAATATAGATATGCGAAGAAGACAAACCTCAAAAAGGTCTCTCTCTAACTTATTAATTAGGGACCTAATTACCCAAAAATTGTGTCATTATAATACCTTTACTATTATCCTACCCCATGACGAGGTACTTAGCTCCTCTTTAAAAAAAATAAAGGAAAATAACAATAAATAATGTGTATAACCTTTGATTTTAGTTGCTTAGTCCTGTATTATTACTAAACTAATTTTGTTATCGACTTTTCGAAAGAAAAAACTTAGTTACTCGTATCTAAAACTTAACTGTCCGTTATTTTTTAACAAAATAGCAGCATGTAAAGAGCCGTAACAAATACACAATATAACTTTCTTATGCATTTGGTAAAAACCTCTCTCCCATTTTCTCAAAACTCACCTAACAAATGTTCAGCAGGTACATAATGTAACCGAGCCACCGGAGCGTGGGCCCTCCGGGGTACTATTTCTCCCCGCTCGAGATCCAATAACGCGAGACCGAAATCGCCCCCCAAACATAACCTACTCCGTTCGACGACGCATGCGCACTGAACTCCACGCACACCAGCCCACGACGACGAATCTACTAATACAGCCGCACTGTACACCTGTTGAATTTAAAAAATAACGTTAATAAAGTAAATCTATATAAATTTGATGGGTTCATTCACCTAATGGTATATATAGCTAATAACCAACGGGTCGTAGTGTTTATCAAGCTAATAAATATGTTTCAAGCAATTTATATACTTTTTTAAACATGTTGGGATTCATCTGAAAATCAGGATATTAAAATTCCGTTTAAGTCGGGAAACACCGCCCACAGATGAAAAAGCCGTGAAGTTAAATCGTGATTTAGATTTAGTCTGTGGATTACCAAAAAATCAAAGCCAAAATAGATTAGCAGCGCATCTTGTTTATGATAATATAGCTAGCACCTTCAATCAAGTGAATACTAAGCTTATCTATCCTCGTCTATCATAAACAAAAAATAAGGAGAGATATTTAATTTTGCTTCTATTTACAGAAAACTAAGTCTACATTGTGGAAATATTTCTTATAATGTAAGTTTGGTTTGTCATGTCTTTTCGCATAACATAAAATACATTAAAATTATTTAACATTAGTGATAATAATGTCTTTTATCACTTTTTGTAGTAAAATAACACTAACTTCCCTAAATTATTATTCTGGTAACTTTGACTTACACATTTATCAGGAAGATTATTCCGTTTGAGTATCCTATGTAGCTCGCTAAGTGCCACCACCCATTTTGTCTTCTCTGACTCTGACTCCGCCAACATCAGCGTGTGGTAACGTTTTCCTCCTTCCAATTGGGACGTAGATATCTGCGGAAGGATTTAGGTAATATAAGAACATAAGGTATTTGGTGAAAACTTTTTGGATAGCGTAAGGTAATTAAGAATAAAAGTGATATTTTAAAAGTAAAGGTTTAAGCATGCTTCGTTTTAATAAGGTCTAAATTTAAGATATAATTTTCAACAGGCTCGTTGGTATAATGACAATGTACGGCTAATGGTCGTGGATTCGTACCCCACCACGCTTCATGGGTCCAACATGCTTCTAATCAATTTTAAAATGTTTCTGTAACATTTTGGCCTTGGTCTGGAAATCTCGATATTAAGCGGGTGGTAGGTATATCAAAATTCCATCCGAATTACCGAGTAAGGCCGTCCACAAATGAAAAAGTCGTGAAACTTAATAAAGTGTCGGTTTCATTTTGTTGGATTCCCTAAATACGAGATCCGAAACGCAAAGCGAATCTTGTTTAGATGCCATAGCCTAGATTATTTCACCAAGGACCGAAAAGTAAAGTTATTTCTCCATATAAATCCACTAGGCACTAGTCAACGAAACTCATTTTATGTATTCATTCAGCTCTATACTCACCCTAAATATACAAGGTATGTCCCGCTTGCTAGCGTGTATAACATCAGAGTCCTTAACTGACGTCACACTAAACTCTGGGTCCCGCATGTCCAGCACTTGGCTTACGCACACTGATGGCAACGCGTTCCTGATATTTCAAAATAAAGATATATATTAAGATCTCGTTTGCGTAGAATGTTGTTTTGGTTATCAAAATTTGTATTGGCAAACCTCCACAACATCTTTATAAATAAATATATAATATTTACCCACGATGTAGTCGATGAGACTGAGATAAGCGAGTTCAAACAGACAAACTCTTTAGCTTTATAATAGTAGTATAAATTAGGCAAGATGCATCTCTGTAGGTACTGTATATAGTTTACGCGAGTAGTACACATTTAAATAAAGCATTTTTAACGTTGTAAAACATTCCAGTGACCACGATTACAAGCATTCGCAACATCGGACCGTAGCTAATAAATTATAAATAAGTTAGTATATTTCCCATTTAAACTGTTAAGTCTTTTCTTAAAAAGCAATATAATACAAGGTATTAAAATCATCTGTGTAGCTAAGCGAAATAAAAGTGATCGTTTTCAGACAAAACTTACCTATCCTGCGATATGTCATAGAGGAACAGTTTAAAATCACAAACGACGACAAATTGTCGCATCCACCCCTTCTTCACGCCACCTGGTTTTGGCACCTATATTTAAAAAAATAAGAATAAACTAAAAAACTATTTTAGTAAAATTGCACCTAAATACATTATCTAGTTTTAGGTAAGTCCTACGCGAGAGGTGAATGTATCGCTAAGATAAACGAGATGGAACCATGATTAGTCATAAATGAGTGTGCCCCGTTAATATTTACCTTAACATAACCTTCATACGCCGTACCCTGTCCTCTAGCAGGGTCTATACCCAGCGGTCGGCGACATCTCTCGGCCGGTAGGGGACACCTCGGCGCAACGAGCGCACAACACGCAGTATGTACGGCCACACCGCATCGCTCACATACGACGCCTTGGCGAGTTACTCCAATCTGTAAGCACATAATATATCACATTTTCCTTATATTTCAACATCTTTTAAAAAATATAAAACCAGTCTTTTGCACTAGTAACTCACCATGAGCGACGTGCAGTGGTTGCATTTCGTTGGACTACTGAACGTTCTCACTAGGAACTGGTGAAGTCTCTGTTTGTCCTGTAACGAGTACTAAAACAATTCATTATGTAAATTCTTTTTTTTAGCAAATATGTTTGCTAAAAATGTTTAAAGGAGATACATCTCGCAAACATTCCAACACTTACAGTTGACATTTCACTGGGCGAACTTTTACAGGATATTGGCGAAGCAGCACGCTGTTCCATTTCATCTTGCGACTCCGCTGAACCGCTTAACGCCGTCGACTGCTGTGACCCGTACATGATCTAGACGAAAACGTAGTTTTAGCAATTTCTCTCTTGTTTTTTTGTTAGGCAGGGTAATAACATGCTTAATACAATAGAGAGAATTGTGACAAGTTTTATATTAGATAATAGATAGTAAAACAAATAATTGAATTGTGAATAGATAAAATATAATATGGTATTAAAGATATTCTACTGGAATGAGAAAACTATTTCCCACTAAATTTCAAAACCAATCTTAAAAATAAAGATGATAAAAGAGCAAGCAAAAAAAAAAACAAAAAATAATCACCTTAGCGTTACAACAATGCTGCATAGTTCGGTAACGATACCGCGGCGACATCTGTATACAGCGTGATAGGTGAATTGCAACATAAAAAGCACTAACTAATATTAGTCACAACACTATTCAAGGAGACGTATAATGTTTCATCGATAAATACAGATAATACGATATAGCCATTCAAATTCTCCTTATGTAGTAATTACTATTAAACAAATTTGTAGTCATGTAGATTGTAAAAATTCCGTTCCGTGCTTGCGGCTTTAAGGAATTGAGTTACCGCATCATACAATAAGTAAGTATACTACAGAATTTGAGACGAGCTTTTAATGCTTATGAACTTGCATTTTGTGCAAAATAGCATAGGGAAGATTTTTTTATACCTTCATCTAAAGACATCAATATACACTGTAGCTATATAAATTTCAAACATGACTCTCCCCTAATTATGACCTGGTGACTAGGCCAATTATAAACCAACGAGTGAAACATTATACTCTTGTAAATGAAACAAATGGCAAATGTATTAATCAGTTATTCAATAATTTATGACCAAGAACTTGTTGTATGTTGTAATACTGAATCACAATTATTTAAACAATTATGTACATGTTTCCTATGTCAGTTCTATCGCTATTTAAGATGTTCAAACACCTTTTACATGGGCCGTTCAAGTATTACGTAAGCACTATAAGTCAGCAGTAGCCAATCAATAGTAATCTAAGGTTATTTTGCCTAATATTTTAATTTCTTTACTAGCTGATCCAGGGGCTTGTTGCTTTTTGCAAACAACCTCCTCAGGTTTATAAATACTTTTCACGGTGCAAAACGCGAAATATCTTAGTTTACTTATATTGAATTTAAATACGGCTCGACGTTGTGCTCTACAGCAGTTTAAATTATAACAAATTAATATAAGTATATGCTATATATTATGCGATTAAACCGTAAACAGTGTTTAACATAAATGTATACTACTCGTGTTAAACGAACAGCACGAGATCAATATTTGTTATTTACTTACGTAACACTTGATTACCTTAAGTAATAAAACTACGCTATTCTAAAAAATGTGCATGAAGCTATCGATATGGCTTAAAAAAACATGGTATAATCTCTTTCTCCCCTACACAAGCATGAGGTATCTAATCTACTATAACTGTGAAACAAACCTTCTGTTCGTTGTTAATTGTGCTGACATTATCGTAATGTCTCTCCGGCGGAGCGTCCTTCAAGAATTGCTCCAGGTAACTCATTTGCGATGGCGGCCTATCGAGGACTGAAATGTAAAAAAAAAATATTTAATCTATCTTTCATATTATAACCATAGATTAAACATAGGAACGTTATTAAACACAGATGAAGGAAAAACATGAACCACATCCCAACCGAAACCATAACTCCACAAACGTCACAATATTATAAGGTATAGTCGAGCGCGAAAGTCCTTACGCTTATTAATATTACATGCGATGTGCTACAAAAATAATGTATGTCAATAATTTTGTATAACGCCTTCTACTCAGCTACCTACGCCTTCTAAAGAGTTACTAACAAATTATAAATACTCTTTACTAGTAGTAGTTTAATAAACATGGTTCATCGAAGTCCGTGTAAATCAATAACCTTTAAGGAGATTATTTTCAATGATTTTATCAAACATTAAATTTCGAAATTATCCCTAAAACTAGCTTTTCGCTACTAAATTGCAAGTATCTTTGTAGCACGAGGAGCACAACAGTTTAATCACTTTACTACCCGACTGTACATGACATGGTTGAAAAAATCAGGACTATAGCATGCATACTGGACCTTTACAATGAACGCTATACAAACTAGTATCCTTTATAGACGAACTAATACTTAAGTGTATATATTAATAACAGTATTTATTTTATCTTACCCTACAATTAAAGTATTAATTCGCATAAGGACGCATACTAAACGAGGGTAGTTTACAAAAAAAATATTAGTCAATGCCTATAATACAAACAAGTGTTAAAGATAATAAAACCATCGCTTTATGCGTTATATGGCGTCATGAATGGACATCTTTCAGATGTCTTAAAGACACAAAGTGTCTCATCCACAAACTGCAAAAAGCTCAAGCAAAGCGAAGCAGTTATAATGGAGAATAAAATACCTTTACGAAAAGGTCGCGAAAATAATTCACTGTTTTGTTCGTCACGTTTAAACTTAAACATATAAAAGAGTAAATAGGTTGAATATATCTTAGGCAATCATTGTTAATTTACCTTAAAATTAAAGGACAAATCCAAATTCGTAGAAAACACAGTAATCCCCATACCAAAAAATTTAAATAGATATTAAATCGCTTATAAAATAATAACCAATGACGTCCAAAACAGTTAAAATCTGGGACAAAAAATACCCTTGACACTTGCTCGTACTTACAATGAAACGAGAGGACATTACGAGAACTAGGTTAAGGTCTACGCAGCACAAAGACAGAAATCAATAAAAAAAAACCTTAAACATAACAATATCTGTTGTAAAAAGTATTTTAAATCAACATACAATAGACAACACTTCGTTCTACCTCGAAACTATCCAATATGTTTATACTAGCCTGTTGCATCATAACCTACATATTATTGTCCCACAGCTGGGCATAAGTCTCCTCTCGCGTTGGAGGGAGTTATAGGTTTTATCTACTACTGCCACTAATTTAGTAGTAGTAGAAGTGGTGATAAAGATGTAACATAACGACCGCCCCAGAATTCGAACTTCGTGATCTGCAGCCAAGTTGTAACCACTAAGACAACAAGGCAGCGACCGAAGGCACATATTTGGAAGATATAAATTACTATAGTCATCTATAATGCTATAATATATGATATAAATAAAATACATGACGGGTTCGTCGTGTATTTTATTTATTTATTTATTCTTCCAACAACAGATATTGTAAAAGGACAAAAACAAATTTGACAATCACAAAAGAAAATCTACAGCTAAAGGTCTAAAAACTAATAAAAACACGAACCATTTTCTTCTTTTCCACTCCAGTATGTTGATTTAGTGGATCCTTGTCTGGCTGCTTGCGAAATTACAACTTTATATGTACTAAGATAAGGTCGACGTTACAATATTGTACGCTCTATGAATGGATGAAATAAAAAAAAACAGAGCAACAGGATAATACAACATGTTTAATATTATAAATTTATGTACATTTTTATAAAAAAAAAACAGCTTACAAATTGGCAGCGTTCTGATTGACAGTACGAGGGTAGAAGCAAAACTATTGTGCCAATAACGTTAGGGACAAGAACCTTTGCCTGCCCAAATTAAACAGTCTAAGTAACAACATACAAAGAAATATCAATAAAACTATTGATTACCAGCAGTGGAATCACTTAAACCAGGAAAGGAGTAATTTTAAACACTCAGATATGAATTTATTTACTATACAGCGCCATCTTTCGTAAAAAGTATGAAGATGTAATTCGTTTTTTTTTAGGTTGGGTGCCAGTATAAAAATCAATCAGAACGCAGTCAAGATACGCACAAAGTAATAAAACGGGTACTATTCAAATAACAAAAAAAGTAAATGCATTGTAATGCTCAAATCTTTGGAAGTTCAATACTTATGTCGCTGTAGACTAACATTTAGCAATTTAACTAAACAAATATAAACAATATGTACTTGTTGTTCAAGGTTAAAAATAACTCCATAAAACATAAGAAATCCTTTAAAATAGACTGCCCAATATCATTAATTTTAGGATGATATTTTCATTAATTTTATATTACCAGTCCTATGTTCCCAATCATTGCAAATAAAATACACATTGTATTTACAAAAATATTACGTAGATTAAAAAAAATACATACGATATTGAGATTCTAAGGTACCTAAATTAAATCAGATCTGCATTGTGTCATTATGGCATATAACAAATAAAGTCCCATTTCCAATTCGTTGTGAAGTATTTTGGAAGACTATTTAAAGTATATATAGTAAGTTATATAAAAACTTCACTGTATAATTATGTAAATAATAAAATGCAAATAAATACGATCTTATAAATCCATAGTAAGTTGAGGCTTTTTGTAACATACAAGTCATAAAATTATTTATACCAAACAGTAAAACGCAAACAAAGGAAATTTCATATATATTGAAAAGGGAATAGTAAACATAAAAAATGACTAGTTCGAATGGTAAAAATATTGTAGATCTTTGGTATTATCCATTTTTGACTAGACTAAAACTACTAAAATAAGATTTCTGTATAAAAGTGCCATAGAAGGAAAATTTACAGCCACTGGATGTACAAATATTTAAAAAATGTCCGCTGTAAACTTGATGGTTGGAATTTTGGTGCTGGGAAACGTTTGTCAGTGTGTTCTGTATCTTAGCCATATAACTCATGATACACAAACACAGCAACGCCCCAAATGCAAGAGGTGACGCCCAAAAAAAGAGGTATATACGGCCTGAACCAAGATCGAACTATAATAACACAATGCAGATTGAAACACAAATCGCAGGAATTGAATATAAATACATACGTTAAATGCAAGTAATATGTTACAAGAAAAATGATAACAAGTTTAAAAGTATCAACCAAAATAACGTACAGTTAAACGCATTGCGAATAACAAAATGATAAATTAACGTAAATGCGTTTGGCCCCAATTTCAAATTTCGAATCACAAAATGGCACAGCGTCCGAAATCACAGATTCAATTTCGACATTACACAGACAACACACCGTACCATAGAGTCCATAGTCGTGAGAGGAAAGTCATTTTCGTTTTTTTCGTCGCGGTCGACGTTTGACTTTGTGGATTCCAACATTCCATTTTGACATTTGGATTGGTTCCCGGTTAATTTCACGGTTCGTATGTGTATTGGGTGGGATAGTGCGGTAACATGTAACGAAAACAAAAAGAAAAGGTGCACTAAATAAACATTATAACTACACGAATAAATACTTACACATACGCTAAATAAAAAAAATAACAAAGTAAAACATATTAAAAACAAATCTGTTAAAAAATAGATTAAAAAGTAGAAAAAAAAGGAAAGTGGTTATATGTTTCAGTTGATACGCTAAGACAACTGTTCGTGTTGTCTGTGCCTAAATCAATATCTCTTAAAAATCTTTTATGTGGCAAGAATGAGAGACCAATGTCTGAAGTCCACCTGAAATTCGTTTAATTTTAACACCCGTTCCCCACCCCCCAAAATTGGGTCTTTGATCTTTTACGTAACTAATAATCCACAGATTAATAAAACAGAAATCACATTTTAAACCATTATAAATATTCATCATGAAGAATGTTTATTTTATGAATATATTTATAAACAGAAAGTATAATTTTAATTACTAAAAAGCATAATATATGTAAATATTAAATAAACTAAAATGTAAATTATGTACAAGATATATACTATCTGCGTGTTCTTAAGGTATAATATACTCACAGGAGTTATGTCCCGGCGCAGGCGCATCCAACTTCGCCTGCATATCGCGGATGTGTTGCTCCTTGCGTTTCATATCATGAGCGAGCGAGTCCAGTCGTTGACGCGTTTCGATTAGCTCTCTGGAAACAGGTGAAAAAATTGTGGAAATATATACTTATATACTGTGAATTTATATTACTTTCTCAACATTATTAAATATGGCTTTTTATTGAATGCGAAAAAAATGAGTATAAATATATTTTTTTTATACAGATGTTCTGTGCTGAGGTTTCAAGCTCATTCATATTATTAAATAGTCTAGTACTATAGTTATATGTTTGATCTAGCTGACCTGGCAACCATTCTTTTACTATATAAAATATTTCGACGAAATTTTTTACCATAAAAACGGTTCTTGTGAGTTAATCTTAAAAGATAGTCATATACGGCCGCGGATAATTTCTAGACTATTTATAGAAGAATAATTCTTTACACATATTTTTTGTATATAGGTCACGGTTTTGTATACAGGATAGTTGCGCATCGATACAATCGCTCACGTAATTGATTGGAAAACGTGATAGATGGTCCAAGCACGATCGAAATTCGTATACATGTATGTTGTGTTAAAGTACCGTTATGTATTAAATTCCAAACCTTTGACTCGCGAGTAACTCCGCTCGCGTACGGCTCAATTCTTCGCCCACGGCCTGTTTGGCTTGTATCTCTGAATGCAACGATGATTGCAGCGTGAGTATTTCCATTTTGTCGACCTTCTGTGATCGTCTATTTCTCCAGCCGCCCTGCGCTCCCGCGGCGCCACCAGGACCGGATGTGACGCCACCGGGAGACACTGGACCGGATGTGCGCGAGGCTGTTGCTAATAGTAAGAGTTATGATAAATGTAACGTTAATAAATTCCTGTGTCTTGAACAATCTCTAGAAGCCACCATAACGTATGTATTGACATTCCCACCATAACTGGCGCGTATAGTGGAAATGTCAATTGTTTTATTTAATTTATTTGTTACTTTTCGCTTAGCAAAACGTCTATGCCGCACTAACCATGTTTCAAATAGTCCAACTCTTCAGTCATTTTGGTGGCCAATGCCTGTAGGTATCCACGTGCTTCTTTTTCGTCTGCTACCCATCTGATAATGTCTGCGATCTGATAAAGGGTTTTTTTTATTATTCATACTTGAATATGAAATCTTGTTCAGTAGTTGTGATAACCTAGGTTCCAAACAGAAATTTGGCCTCGGTGGACTTAGGGTATCACTTCTTCATTACATTGGGATACCTGTCCTGGGATTTCTGTTCCTTTCCGAACAAAACAGATATTGTACCGAAGTACCTAAATATCAATCCATACAAATATATTATTTACCTGAGTCTCCCAGTGTTGCATTGTGTCTCTCTTCGATCTTAACTCGTCTAACTCCATCTCTAGTTGTCTTCTCTCTGCTTGCCAGCGACGACCGTTTTCAGCCATCTAAAAGATTCATTTTAATTTTAAGTGTTTTGTTTATTGCTAGCTCAAAATAATATTATTTAAATAAAGATTTTTAGCAGTTTAGAAAGAAAAATTCATCCTTCCTGACCACCGACAGACAATTCTAAAGAAATATTAACAGAAACAAGGTATTAGAAATAAAGCAATATGCGCGTGAACTCTGCGCTTGCGCATACTTACAGCATCGAGATCTTTTGCGAGTTTTCTGTTGTCGTTGATTAACATCTGTTTGTCTTCGCTGTCTGTCAATTGCTCCAGACGACGATTCTCCAATTTCTCTTTAGATGTTTGTAGCTGAAAATCATAGTTATTTTATAAATAATTTTCAGATCACAGTCATCAAGGGCACTCCTTCTTCAATATACACAGTATAACACCGTAAATAGTGAATTTAAGTGTATAAGTTGTGATGATATTATAGTTTTAAAATAATTCTAGTGATAGACAACATACCTCTCTATTTAGCATAGATCGCAAAGCGTCAGTCTCGTGCAATTGCTCTCGTAAAGAGTTCACCTCGGCCGTGTACCGTGCTTGTTGTTGCGTTAATGATTCCGCGTACTGCGCCTGCGCATCCAATGTATTACGTATTAGTATTCATATAAGATACTTTTGGGCTAAATGGAAAGGAGTGTTGATAGTATAAAACTCTTTTTAGTAGAACGTGTCATATATAGTTTTGTCAGATATAATCCACACGAAAACCCGGTTCAAAGAAAAATAATAGTAGGTCTAATGTTTCTTTTGAGATTGATTACGTTTTTTACGCTACCGTGCAAATGATATCTTTAACACAATTCTAATCTATTAATTGTATTTTTGTGTTCGTAGTTTTTCTTTGGTAATTAATATATTTATAGAGTTTATGTGTATAATTTTAATTACCTCCAGGGCTTCGATATCTGCCTGCAACTTAGCAACATCAGCGGCCGCTGAAGGCTGCGTGGAAGAGGGCGAAGCGCCAGCTTCCACGCGTTGTAGCCGAAGGGTCTCCTCTCTTAATTTGCGCTCCTGTACAGATATTGTAAAAATATATTATTTCTATTCCCCTAGAAAGTCAAAGAATTCAAAACGCTACATAATTCATTTCATATATAAAAATACCATAAATAATATTAATGGAAACCTACCTTAGTAGCTTCAGCAACAGCGGTATCAAGCCTAGCTTCGAGTTCCCTTCTTCCCTTATCAGCTCTTCGGATGTCTTGTCGTAACGCGTCTATTTTCTGCATAGCAACTTCTAACTCCTCTTCTTTGTCACGGACCTGAATGTACAAACGTGATACAAATAACTAAAAATACCAATGTAGATCTTTAAAAAAAATGTTCTTAGTACTTACGTCATAATTTTATTACGTAAGACAATTTTCGTTAGTTTTTAACCCCTTCCTACTACTATAAGAAAAAATAAAAATAGGCCGACCCCCTGTTAAATATTTATTACGTACGAATCTAAGCCGGATCACCAGCGCGGCAGTAAAGGTAGACAAAACATCAAAATAGAAAAAAAATACTGTATCCCAACCTGCCGCGACAATTTCTGTTTCTGTTGCCTCAGCTCTGACAGCTTATCTGTCACTTCGTTGTATTCGGTCATCGCTAGCTTGCGTTGGGATAGGGCATCGCGGAGTTCCTTATCCTAATGCACAAAGCACAACAGCATTAACACACATCGTACGAATGCGCAAAACAACAAGAAAACACTTTAGCACACTCAGGTGATTTAAACATCAGTTTCAATAAATTGTGTAAGGCTTTCACGGCCATCGTTCGCCATATCATTGTTTTTCGGGCTGTTGGGCCGACGTGAGCGAGAAAAGGTTCTCGACGTTTCGCCATCACGAGCGGACTTATTTTCCGGGCCGAACAGCCCGCAAAATAATATGATCAATACCTTCAGTTTATCGGTTTAAAACACGCAATATATAAACTAAGGTAAACTAGGCTGCTGTTAAGCTTTAGAAATGTAGTCATATTATAAACTAAAAAGCTAACATCGTTCTGGTTTAAACGGTTAATTAATTAATGAAATTCGCTATTCTGGTTCTGTTTCAATATAATTATTCAATACTAAATATATATTTATCTTAAACTTTTAGAACTCAAATGTTGAAGTGTATTTAAGGTAAATATATTTTGTCTCTTTCAGACAAACTACAAATGGTATAGGCGCGACAGAGACAAAACGTGAAAACACTGGGCAGCACATCTAAGCAAAAAGTTCAGAACAGTGCGTAGTGATGTATATATGTATATAAATAGTTCAAAATGACAGTACCATATGCTTTCTTTAAGCTATTAAATATTGTTTAGTTAATCTCACCTGTAAACGTAACTTTTCAATGGAGTCCATTTTATCTTTCAAGAGTTCCTCCTTCTCCGTGTTGAGGCTGTCTACGGTAATTTCAAGCTCTTTTAATTTTGACACCAATTGTTGCGGTGCAGATGCTAAATCCTAAAAAGGAAATCATTTTAAAAGACTTTTATTAAATAATTTAGACGGGAACTGGTGTATAAGGATAGCAATGTATGACTAATAACCGACGGGTCGTGGGTTCAATCTCCGTCGAGTCCAACAAGTACCTAATCCATTACTAATTTTTCTGAAATTTTGGAAATCTGGAAATTGAATCTGTGGTAGGAATTTTGAAATTCCGGTTACAAATCTTTGTACAAATGAAACAGCCGTCACATTTTATCGCTTTTCTGTTTCAGTCTGTGCATTTCCGAATATCCAAAGCCAAAATAGGTAAACGGCGCATCTTCTTTAGATGTTATGTTGGCTGGGGTATTTCTCCTCTATCATAAAATAAGATTATACTTGACAATATATGTGTCTTTAGCATTAAAACTCCACAGCATGTTAAAGATATGTATCGTTTTGACAGTGTACACAGGTTACACGTAAAATCAAATTGATAGTATGCCCCAATGGCCCATCTAAAAGAATATATCTCAAAATAATACCTGTGTTAGATTAGTAGTTGCAATTTCTGCTCGTTTCGTCAGAGCCTCCAATTCGATATTCTTCTTTTTCAACGCTGTCAGTTCTTCTCTTAGTTGTGTTACTTCATCTGTAAATATTTTAATATTGTATAAATAGAAGTCACGCTCTTATCATCTACGGAAAGAAATTTATCAAAATTTGAAAAAGGAACATTGTCAGTAGTTTGAATAAAACACTTTAAACGGTTGAAAACGGGATATGTATTTGTTAACTTTTTTTAAAAGACTTGACGTGTTCTTAGTCACGAAGGGGGGTAATTTGTAAAAAAATGATTTATATAACACAAACATCGCACAAGTCATTTCGAAGGAATAAAAAAAATTGTGAACAACATTAAACAAGTATACCCTACAATGAATAAAAGTATTTTTTACCATAAATGTTGTGTATATTATTTGAATCAGGACAATAACTCACCAGCGCCACCATCGACTTGCGTGCACGCTCTTAACTCGGCTATGGTTTGCGCCAACAACGCATTCTCCCGTTCCAGGGCTTTCAGTGCAGCTCTGTCGCCAGCATTTGATGGAGCCTGAAGACACAATAATACATAAATATATAAGATAATTATTTGAAAATAACTTATAATGATCTTAATAGACGAAATACACTATAATGATGGGTCGACACGCGCAACTTGTTTAACAGTATAAAACATAAATGTACTAAATTATAATTAAAAAACGTTTACTTGCGATAATACAGAAGTTAAAACTTGTTTTCTTATCATCATCGCAAACGTAATGTTATAATTATACTTTCGAGTTAAAAAAAATAATAATTAAACCGTTAAATTATTCTTTGAAATAAAAAAAAATATTTCAGAGAACTGAGAAATATGTAAATCACTTAATTAAAGGTATTATATACAGCCCCCAGATATATTACATCTAAAGAAGATGTGGTGTCGAGCCTTACTTAAACGTAATAACACTTTTTGTGGCTTATAATCTATTTAATTAGGTGTGTGACAAGGATGTAATTTCGATATTATAACCTCGAATTCAATATTTAAATAAATTTTAGAAACACATTAGGACTGGTAAGAAACAAACTCACGTTTCGTTGATTATTAGCCTATAGTAACTCGCTATAAGTCAATATTTGTAGTATATTGCTACGATAGTCTTACCTGGCTTGGTGCATTTTTAGCTGGACTAAGTGGAGTCGGCGCACCAAGATCCGACAACCTAGAACCAGCTGTGAAGGTGAATCCAATAAACGGTAAGTGGAGACCAGAAAATGCTGATGATGCAGATGGCGGTGGTACAGCTTCTGACAACCTAAGGAAGATGAAAAGCTTTTAATATTAAGAAACATTGTTTAAAATACCCGAATATTTCTGTTTTTCTAAAATTAATTAAATTATAAATAAAAATTGTATAATTGATTAATTAGTACTTTTAACGCACAAATGTCTGTTCGTCACTATAGTCGCGGTTTTTTCCGCAGACACGTCAAATATAACCCAAATATACGTACATATACTAGCAATACGCAAATTAACTAAGAAAAAAAAAATTTTTGTCTTACATGTCGTAATAAGTGAAAGTTAACTAGTTTTTTAACGCTGTAACAATCTATACTAATACATAAAGCTGATAAGGTTGTTTGCTTCAACGCGCTAATCTCATGAACTACTAGTTCGAATTGAAAAATTCTTCTTGTGTTGGTTAGAACATTTATCGAGAACATTTTTCGAGGCTATAGGCTATAAAACATCGCGCTGTGACTATGTGTGAATAGGAGCGAAGATACAACGGGTAATGTGGAATAAACGGGGAAAGTTTATCCTTGTGGGTTTCCTTTGCGTACGCTGAAAAAACGGTTATTCAAAATAACCAAAAAATAAGTATAAAAAAATGCTTCCTCCTTAAATGATCTAAAAAAAAAGGCCGCGACAGTATATCTTGTAAGATTAACTTGCTAGAACGACGGGACGACGTCGTGTGCAATCGCCTAAATTTATAGAGTTGAACAGGAGGTTTGCAAAAACAAAAATTGATACCGAAAATAACTATTCAACGCGTACGAACTCGAATAATATTTTATTTGTAATTCCTCTATTATGTTTGTATGTAAATCTAGTGTTGTTTCTGAATAAACGTATTTCTATTCTAGTCCATTCTAAATACTAAAAAACTCCTTTACCGTATGTCAGTGTCGTCGACATCGAAATTAGAAGTGTCCGTTGGGCTCGCCACGTCGGGAACGAACGGCGCACTCGCTTCCCGAACCGTATCCCACTCTACACCACTGAACCAAGGGTGACTCTGTAAACAGAAATAAATTAACCTCTACGTATTTACTTCTCACCACCATAATCTTAATTGAGGTTCACGAGTGTACGTAGTTACCTACATGCATAAATGATTTAGGACATACTTTAAACACGATCTTTAGACATTAAAGAATAAAAAATAAAATGTTCTTAATATAACAAATGATTTAAATAAAACACTTTTAACGGTTTAAAACTCGAAATGTTTTAGTTAACTTAATAAAATCATCACTGCGTCACGACGTTTCGTACGTTAATAAGTTAGCAAATACATTCCGCGTTTTAAACCGTTAGAAGTGTTTTATTTTAATTAGCATTACGTTTACCTTAAAGTCCTGTATACCATTTCTGCCAAGTCTCGTTTCGGACGCACATATCAGCCTTCGGATTAGATCTTTTGCTTCTTCTGAAACCTGTATATAGAAATAAAGAACAATATTATTATTTAAAAATTACACGAAATCAAAAGACTTTCTTTAGTAGTCACAACTAAATACAGTATTGTTATATATATTAATATAATATGACGACCGCCTCTGTAGCCAAATGGTTATACGTATTGCCTAGCATCGCGTTACGCGCAAGAGGTCTGGGGTTCGAATCCCAGGGAAACAAAAAAGTTGCGGTCAATGAATCTGATCAACTACTTGCCTGTTAAAGAACGGATCAGTGAAACGGACACATAAATATGTTCGCCCCATGCCTTACGAGGGGGAAACGGGATTTCACACACAATATGAAATGGACATGGTTTCTTGTACCCCTTTTCCTCTACACACCATTCTCATAATAATTTTAGGCGAGCTATCATTTCTTATCATCATCTATCAAAAATATACCTGCGTAGCTTGCTCGTCGGGCGGCGGACAGTGGAAGCATCTCGCGTGGTTCATTATCTTCCCGTATGTTTCCACAAGCGATTCCGCGTAGAACGGTGTCTCGCCGAACAACATCTCGTACATGCATACACCTGCACATAACAACACTTGATTATTAACCTGTTAATAAGAAAATAATATAAACATCAATCAATAATAATTACAATTTAGAAAAAATATTTATATAACACAACTTATTTTTATTTTAACTACGACCCGACGTTTCGGATGCTTTGTAGCAGCCGTGGTCACGGAGTTTAAGTCCGTAGTCGTCGGTAGTACAAATAAAGAATAAGCCATACACACATATTTCACGTTTTAAACAGTTAACAGTGTTTATTTAAATGTTAAAAATACGTACCAAGCGACCACCAATCACATTCTGGGCCATATCGACCTTGACCGTCCTCCATTGCCTATAAAGAAATTTAAAAAAAAATAAGTAAATTATAGTATACTTTGATATTCTAGGTGAGAAAATAAAAAGATTTACCGAACGGTTAAGAAATGGTATATGTAGTTGATTAGTGATAGATAAATTTCCCACCAAAAATTCAATCACAAATCTAATTATCTACATAATATGTAACTGCCAAGGAATTAAGAAATACTATAACAATGCTACGAATGGATGTGTTACAAAAAACAACATCTGCCTCAAACACACGCTATGAATAACGTTCGAGTCGAATTAATAATGTTCACCTACCCTCAAAATTTCTGGAGAGATGTAATCCGGCGTACCAACTGCGACGTTGCTCTGCACCTGGATACGTTAAAAATTAGTTTCATCTTTCAAAAATATAACTGTTCTAAACGTAATGTGATTCTTATTGGACAAAAATACCTTGCCATCATCCCCTAGCCTCAGACATGACCCAAAATCCGCCAATCTAATATGCCCGCTGGCGTCCAAAAGCACATTGTCTGGTTTTATATCCCTGGAAAACGTAAAATCTTACTATTTTTTGTTTTACTTGTAAGTGTAGTTACGTAACTAACGTGTCGCGTTTTAAACCGTTAAATTGTCGTTTGTAGTACAAATTAAAAAAAAACTGTTGTATTTAAATTTGTACTGCTCGCTTAAGTGCAGACAACTGCTTAAGTTAATGCTAACTTTGTTAACTTCCAAGAAGCTAAAACACTGAAGGTAGTTATAAAATAATATTGCTACTTGTAAAACATTAGGGTTAGATTAGAAGTGATAATATAATAAGAAATGATAGAACAAAGAGGTAAAGTTGGAAAAGGAGAAGAAAGAAGTGGGAGGTTTCGAAACGTTTGTTATCAAATGCTAGTAATGTATGACGCGTCGTTGATTCGATTCCTTTAGAGACTCCATATACTGTGTTTAAAAAAAAAATCTTAAACGATTTTAGACCCATATTAAATACAACAGACAATAGGGCTACCTAAATTCCGTCTGGTTACGAACCATTACCGTTAATTACTGAATATTCAAGTCCAAAATAGGCCGACAGTGCAACTTAATAAAGTATTAAAGGGCTATCCTTCCATCCAGTGAAGTCCATGCTTACCTATGTACATATCGCAATTCGTGTACACTCTGTATAGCCAGCACCATCTCAGTTATGTAAAACCTTGCCATGTCTTCCGGAAGACGGTCTTCGAACTTCGAGAGTAGTGTTAAGAGGTCCCCTCCACAATAGTAATCCATGACGAGATACTGAAAAATGTTAAAGGTCTTTTACACTATACCTTATGTCATGTAGTAAAGAACATTGTTTATGCAATAAAGTGGCTTATATAATAAAAAGAGGGGGGTTTTTTTTATATACTTAAAAGTTTATTGAAAACTTACAAACACTTTGAACGGTTTAAAACACGAAATTTATCATCCGACGTTTCGGGTGCTTTGCAATAGCTGTGAGCACAGGGTTGCATTTAAAGATGTGTTAAGGTATATATTTCACGTTTAAAACTGTTTAAAGTGTTTTCCGAATGCGTCACAAGTAAACATACCAGATTATGGTCATCTTGAAAGGCATAGTGCAAATTAGTTATCCACCGTCTATCGCCAAACACTAACACATCTCTTTCTTCTTGAAAACACGCTGTGTCCGCACGCTAGAACATATAAAAAGAAACAGTTCAAAACTCCTATACTAGGACTATAACGAAAAGTTATCGGAAAAGCAGAAACAAATTTTGTCTTTGACCAATTATTTCGGTGTTTGATATAGTATTTACAGGCTCGTTAATCTAATGGTAGCCTATCTATGGTATATGTCTAATAATCGACGTGTCGGTTATCCACCAGGGCGACCAAGTTTCGACCAGTTTTTCTATTTATAATTTCTTTGATACGTGCTGAACGTCGTTTGGAAATCTGGATATTAAATGGTTGTTAGAAATATCAAAATTCCGTCCCAGGTCAAGAACCACCAGTCGCAGATGGAAGCTGCGATCGCGTTTCGGTTTCTATGGATTTCCGAATATACAAAGCCAACATAGAACAACAGCGCATCTTGCTTAGATGTTATATGGCTGGAGTATTTCACTTTTCATCGAGTGGACCCAATGCTTGTCTGTTCACGTTAATGATAACAGAGTCTTATAATCTTACCAATAGTATCATGCGTCTTTACCTTGAGCATCTCCCACTTATTAAGTATTTTCATAGCGTAAACTCGCTCACTGCTTGTAGCACCAGACGCACCATTGCCTTCACCATTCTGCAAGATGGAAAATATCATCTAAATTAAAAGTACTTATATAAATATGTATACTAATATCATGAAGCTGACGAGTTCTATCACGAGCGCTGCGAAAACGGTTCGACAAACCCAAAAAATATATATATGTCGGAGACAACGCACGGTCATGAATACGGGAGCTGAGTTGTAACGCAGCGTGCGAGTGGCGATGATCGATTTGAAGCTAACGTCATGGCAGTCAACTTCACGCCGTACGCTAGGACGGAACCCGGGCTTCGGTCGGATCGCACAGTTAGACGGACGTCTGCGACCTAATACCCGGGAATCGTCCACACTATAACCCAGCATAGTGATTTATTTAGTGTTCGAATAAGACTGTGACCGTATAGTGTTTAGTATCATTTCTCGATACCCTATTAACGCCCTCAAACACTATGTCGGACGACGACGGAGGCCCGACGACTAGCGCCTGATCCGAATTCGAGATATATAATTTGTAAATATGAGGATTGAAAAAAAAATTAATGCCCAAAATAACTAATCCAACGAGCGGACGAAATCGCGGACACAGATATGCTATGGATATATGTTAAAACATCGTGTACACTACACTTAATTTATACATACCTGCATAAAGGAAGCTCTAACAACACACACTTCTCCAAAAGCACCTCGCCCAATCACCTTGACCAATTCGAAATCATCACGGGATAGTCTTAGACGCTTCAATGCTGTTGCCACTGGTTTCACTGAAATCAACACGAACAGCATGGGTTAAAAGCTTTAGGAAACAAGGAATTTTTTGGTCTTAGAAATCAGACCTTGTCTATGGTTTACGCGAGTAGTACACATTTAAATAAAATACTTTAACGGTTTAAAACGCGATATATTAGTTAAACTTATTTGAAAATGTTTTTTAACTTCGGCCCGACGTTTCGGATGCTTTGCAGCAGCCGTGTCTGTGAGTGAGTCTCCCCGTGACCATTTTTAACCGTTAAAGTGTTTTATTTAAATCAGACCTTGTTAAATTTAATAAAATAAGACATATTGTATTTAAATCTTGACTCTTAATTATTTAAGTGATTTATTTGATACTAACCTGTTTAAATAAAAATCTATTCGATTCAAAAACATTTACGACACGGACGGGACTTGAACCAGAATCCACAGCATTTCGTGCTGCTGCTTTAATGAATTAAGCTACCATGTCCTACACGTTATCGTCAAATTTGAAAGGTTGAAATTACATTGCGGGAGAGGTACGTGTATCAATAGATTGAAAAATTGTAATGACATGTGAAAAATATTTCCAAATATTATCCATTCTTGTAGAAGCAAGCAGCTCTACCATTCAGCCATTTTTTAATTTCCTCTTATTCCTGCTACGCTACATACACAAAGCTGTAAACATAATCTACACAAATAAAAAAAATATTTTAGATTGAAAAAAAATATTGTACCAGCATCCCGTGATGCTACATCGTCGAATATTTTCAACCCATTGATACAGACACCTCTCGCACAATGTAATTTCAACCTTAACAATTGCGTATTAAGGTACAATAAGCGACCGGTGACAATCACAATTAATTTCTTCTAATTAGTATGGGATTAAAGTATTACCATAGTTAATAAAGTCAGCCACCGCTTTCTCTCTCCTTAGACTGCTATTACAGCACTCGTCGTATAAGACTAACAGCACATCCAACAAGGTCTCGACACTTAGCCCGTGAGTGTTTGCACCTTGAAGTCGACAGGAGACAAACATCGTCTCAATCTGTTTGAGGCGCTTGATGCCGAGCACTGGAAAAAAAACAACTTAAGGATCAAATACTGTCTATAGTTTACGCGAGTAGTACACGTTTAAATAAAACACTTTAACCGTTTAAAACGCGATATATTAGTTAAACTTATTTGAAACTTGATTTTATTGAAATTTCAAATAAGTTTAACTAATAAATCGAGTTTTAAACGGTTAAAGTGTTTTATTTAAACTTAAGGATTATTTTGACAATCATGGGCGCTGGCCCAGCTGACCCCCCTTTCCCCAAAATCCTTCAAGGCGTATCATTTCATCGGAATCTATACAGGCCTTCAAGGTTTATTGGCAATGCCTTAAACCTTAAAGACCTTTGTATTCTTTTTGTGAACAAAATAAACTTGTAAACGGGTGACTAGTATATCAAATACTTATAAAATATATTTTTATTTATCTATTTATTTTAAGAAGTAAAAAAATTGCTGTTGTTCAAAAAAATCGTTAATTATTACGTTTATAATTCTTTATATTATTATTTAAAAATCGAACATTTATTTATTATTACTATTTTTGATTACGGACTATTAATGCTTTTTCTCTGCCATTTCTTAATATCTGCGATATTAGTACTGACGGAATTATTTATAAATGTGTCACATATAAATGAGTTTACACGTTTTCATACAAAAAAAACTTCATTTTAAAAATAGCGCAAAGCAATAAAATCACATATATATTATGTGACATAATTTTCAAGCCCTATTTATATTTTCTTTCCATGCCACGATGGCAGAAGTCCAAGAAAAAACCACTGTTAAATTGTTTATACATGCCGAAAAATAATATCTTTATTTACGAAATCGACATGATATTTTTAATATTATAAAACTGTATGTTTTACTGATGTTTTATAAGTAACATCCAAGGCTCTCGATTGGAACCTAGGGCTGTATGATACAACCACTGAGTTCACTAATCACATTTAAGGACTCATCAACCCTACCCAAATCATATATATGGCTGCTCGAGGCAGAGTGGCCACAGAAACTATGGGTTCGAATTGAAAAATTATTTTTGTGTTGGTTAACACAAAAATAACAAGCGAAGATACAGCAAGAAATGAGAAACAAATTGGGAAAATTATTCATCATTATGGGTTTCCGAGGTAAGCTGGAAAAACGATTCAAGATACCTAAAAAACATGATTCCTCTTTAAATGATCTAAAAAAAAGTCCGCGACGTCTTTTAGATTAACTTGCAAGAAGGACGCGGGACGCGACCGACGTCGTGGGTAACAGCTTAATTTAATAAAGATAAAGGCGTTTTTAAAAATGAATTTGGATGCCCAAAATAACGATCTCCATAATGAAATCTACATAATGAAATCGAAACGTTAATTTCACTTTACGACTCTTTCATCTCAAAGGTAGTTCGTGACATTCCCATTGATAATTCAACCGCCCATTTCATGTCAAGATTTTCCAACCTAACACGTTTCAAGAAAAATTTTAATCGGGTTATTATTATATTATTGGTTCGAAAACACGAACCGTAACATTGCTCTCATTGACCCAAAGCCTTTCAAAAAGTGCTTAAAAACACAACCCGTCATGTACGGGTCACACTAACGGATCAAGTTCGTTCAAACTTTCGCATAGAATACAGGAAATGGCTAACAATAACAACAATAGGATATCCCAACACCATATAGGAACAATGTCATACAATGCATAATATATTTTGTTCTGTGAATCAGTGCTTTATGTTAATTGACTTCACTCACTAATTAGATCCACATACAAAAAGCTGGTAATGCTCTAAATATTTGAGAGTTGAATACCTACTGTAATCATAAATTTATGGTACCTTTTTTGTAAATTCTTACTTCTCTATAGATAAGACACAAGTATAGGTCTCTATACAGAAGATATTTTGTCTTCTAACTAAAGATCTTTTATTTATCTATACAAGTATAAAGTAAAAGCATTTTTTAAAACTAATTTACCCAATATCACTCTTCAGAAGGAACTTTTGTTGAATGATCAGGTGATCAGTTGGGTAACCTTCAATAATAGACTTTTAAACCTATTAAAGTCTTACTGCGGGTTGTAGAACTCCTCTATCATAGAATAAGGGTTATGAGAACTAAGAGCCATCCCTTGCTGAGTGGACTTACATCTCCACCAAATTAGTGATAACCATGGTACTTGCTCTTAACACAATTTTTAAGGCACAGTGATGCCTTGAATGATACACTAGGGTAGTACTAGACATTTTCTGAGATAAAATCCAAAAAGAAGCATTGGCTTATATTAGGATTCAAACCTAACTACTAGATTGATGAGGCAAATGGTAACTCCTCATTTTAAAACAAATAATAACAAAACAGGGAATTATGTAGATACAATAAAATTTTTCTGGAAATGTTTCTTATTAGTATTAGTTGATAACCGTTGAGCTTGTATAATGAGTTATGTAATAAATGATAAGAAATTGTAAACAACTTTAAAGTTTTTGCCTACTTTAAACAACAAACAAGTAAGGAAGCAATAAGTAGTTATCATTCTCAGTTTTCCCCCCAACCAAATAACTGCAGATAAAGAAAAGACATTTTGTAATAGTACTAGGTACATTCAATACAAAAATAAAGCAGGCTCCCCCTTCCTTTTTTATGTAGTAGGTTAAACGATAAAAGGGTAAAAATATTATTAAAACAAAAAAATACTACAATTTATGGAAGCCTAACATGTAAGGATAAGTCACCTAGTTTATTGTACTTTGTAAATAATCTTGTTATGTTGTGTTTAATAGGTGTTTTACTTTAGATGTTAGGAAGAGACATTGAAAGTGTTTTAATAGCATAACTACTACTTTGACAACCCCAAAAGTATATGATGCTGATAGAAGCAGAGTGGACTAATAACATGACGCTTGATTTTCAATAAGGAGGAAAATAAAAATATGCAACTAATTTAGGCAAAAATTAATGTGTATAGTACAAATTATGTTAATAATTTTCAGTCACTGCGCTCTTATAGTTTAACATTTTCAGACTATGAAATCATAAATAACTCAAGTCATAAAATCGCAGTTAGGCTACTCTGTCTCAAGCGGTCCCATATATATATTCTATTTCTTAAATATGTTATGTACTAAGTGTAAATTTTAGAATTTTTAAAAGAACCAATACTTTAAATAAACATACAGATTTAATATAACAATAATATTAGTTATATACTTTATCATTTAAATACGGCTATAAAATTATTCAGTATAATATTTTAAATTGAAGTACCTACCTAAGAAGTTGCTAGTAAAATCAGATGTAACAACTGATAATATGTATGACGATGTACAACTAATAATATTTATAGTAAAATCAGTAAACAAATATAAAATTGAAAAATGTATATTTACCTGGCACAATGTTACTCGGAACCAATGCCCAGTCGGGGGAGGAATCTTCTTCATCAGACATTTTGATATATTAACACTACACTTTTTTTCACTTATTCATGTCCAACACTTTCACTTAACAGGACTATATTAACATTTTCGTCTACTCTGTGCTTCCATGTTTATTACCTGAAAATGAAACACTTTATTTATATAAATAAATTTACGAAAAAAAAATACCTATCTCAAAATAATTTGTATTGACTCTAATAAGCAATCAATTTTTGTGTGTAAGTCTTAAAAACATTAAAAAATACACAATTCTTAGTGATGATAGCAATATTAGTAAAGGTTTATTTATATACTTTGATTAAATGCCACTACTGTACAAGGAAGGAAATATAATCCAGTGTTGTATTGATTTAGCTGAACAGGAAATATTACTAATGGATTTTCACCATTGTTAATCAAATTCATAGTCAACTAGTGCTTTCTATCCGTTTAGTACAAGGTTGCAAGTGCTAACGATAGTCGAGCGCTTTCGCAATACTAAGATTCGAACTTTATTTATACGGCATTGCCTTTTAATCACAAAAAAAAACAAGCGATTCGATGACATATTAATACTGTAACGATCTGTAACTAAAAATAAACAAAGCTATGCACTTGTACGCAAAAACTCATCGAAGTCGAGTTCTCTCAGCGTTTTGTTTAGAAAAATTCTTATTGTTCTATCTCGTTACTCGTATACAATAGCTAGATCTTAACCTAAATTATTCTATCGATTGTTATGCAAAAAGACTTAGATGACTCATAATAATCACAAACACTGCACTGTTATATTCATTAACTTCACTATTCACCTGATAATTTTGATGGGAATTATTAATTATTATCGACGTTAAAACTATAATTTACAGAAAATATTGGAAGTCCTTCACAGCAGACATTTTTCTACGGGAGTCGAGGACAGTGTTGCTATGACTATGTAAACCTTGCTAAAATTAAAATAGATAAAAAATTTACATTTAATTCGTGTTATAACAGAATATTTTTTACTGTTTTATTATATTATTTATTGATTTCATATAATTGTTAATATTTATTTGGGGAATTTAGACTAAATGTTCTCTTTGTATTCTGTGAAGGCCTAATTTATGTTGTATAAACATAGGCAACAGAATAAATATTGCCACATATCCACGCAATTCTGAGATCAGCTACAAGATATGATATATATTGATTAAGCTATAAATTCTTGTTATTTTCTCATTTTCTCATTTTATCAGTTTACACCTCCTACGTACTCCTTTTTATTAATTAAGGTAGCTTTTTTATGGTTTATTTTTACTCATTCCGTAACAGGATAAACGCACTTAACAATAGTATTCTTCCTTTTTTTTAATTTTTCCTTTACTAATATACGTAATTATCAATATTAAAATGCTACAAAATAATGACAGCCTGCGCTAAACGCTTTTAATCACAATGTTCGGTAGTCGACACTCAGTAGTAACGATTGCTAAATTCAGAAGTCGTCAAACTGGCAATGTCCTTGCTGGACATCATGACGGAAGTGCGTATCAAAAAAATACTTTTCTAAGCAATTTCTTGAATATTTAACTTTTTAAACAGTAATTAGAGACATTTTTACTCTTTAAGTATTATTGTATAATTTAAAGTGACACGTTCGAGGCAATTTATATTTTTTTGTTTAATATTTGTCATAAATTCCTTTGTAAAAAGACATGTTATTGATTAAGCGTCATTGTACGTAATGGAGTCTAAATTCATTTGGATGAAATTGTAATTCATATGTTTTTGTATTTTTTCAATGAAATAATTAATTAATGTGTTGTGATAAAAGTGCTATTGCTACAAGCTATCATCTTATTTCATTTATGGATCTTGTAATTGGATTTAAGTGTTCTTACAACCTCATTTTTGATATTATGGTATGTGTGCCATCAAAATATTTTGGAAAGTTTATTGAAATTATTGCTATTTTGTTTTCAAGACACTACTTAAAGTTTATAGAAACATTCTTCGATCCAGAAAAACGGAGGCTTATATTACGAACATTTTTAGTCCTGTATTACAAAGAAAACTTGTTGGCTTTGTCGTCTGCGTAACTTGGTAGCAGTTTGAAAGGTCATGCAGTTAATTTGTTTCTTATTTTCAGAAACCAGACATTATCAATGAGAGTCGAAAACATTTAGAAGCACGCTAATCGTGTATAATTGAATGTTCACAAGTCAATAAGTTTTCATGGTCTTACGAACGCACGTCATCAGTAAAACAGATGAAGGGATGGCTTCAGACCAACCTGTAAAGAAAAAGCAGAGGATAGATGGCCCTGATATAGATGATGGAAGTGATAAGTCTGGGGAAGATGTTCTTACGGATATATTTGACTCGGGAACCCCATCAGCCGAGCAATCTGGTGATTTCATTACTCGAAACGGTGAATCGCCCGACAGTGGTACAGTAAGTGAAGACGCAGTTGACTGTTCTATAATAAGACATCCAAGTGATGGCAGTGTTGATATTATTCCTTCATCAAGTAATACTCCTCACTGGACAGCATCTGAGGACAAACTGCTCAATGAGTTACGTACCCTACAAAATTCACTAGTTGGACAGTGTTTGTGTGGTTTAGATGAAAATGTGGTTCTGGAACTCTTTGATAGAAGACTATGCATTGCTACTTGGCCATTAACCTGCTCGCTCACATACCTTTCGACTATGCAACTCTTATTTGATATGTATTTAAAACAAAACAACACTGGCACAATATGTTCAAGATTGATGAATGCATGTGATATCTTTGTTAGGAATAGGCATGATTGGATTACAGAAGTTGTAGAACTATCAGAACACAAAAGCAAATTTGTAACATTTGCAGCAAGTAGAGTACTCGCCAGCTTTCTCATAGTATCAAAAGACACAGTAGATGAGAATTGGTTACAACAGATTACTGAAAATGTCTATTTATTTGATAGAATTAATAGAATAACAGTTCAAAAGATAAACTTTAGTTTAGATATTATTAAGAGGATAGTTGAATGGAAAGATGTGGAACAACATCCTTTGGAGGATAGTAATTATATTAATACAGCGAATATACAGGAAGACAATCCTTTTAGAAGCAGTACAAGCTATAATGCTAGTGTGCCATCTAGCTCGAGAAATGATTTGGACAATGCATTCTCCAATTTACAAACTCACAGTTCACCTTCAACGTCAAATGAGAGCTCAGGAGAAACAAAACCATCAACATTTAAGCTTCATGAACCAGTACTAAAGTTACCTTTGGAACAGCCACTGCAAAGGATAGAAAGAAGCGAATCCCCTGAGCCTCCGCCTTCAAGGATAGAAAGAGTCAATGAACATGGCTGCATCACTGTGGTTTTGACTGACTCTGAATCATTTGACACATCTCATATTAAATGTTTAACAATTAAAAATTTAGAACATCACTGGCCCGTTTTGGTCAAAAACATGAAAATGCTGCTACTCAGGTACCTGAATTTAAGTAACGCAGAGAACTGTGTGCTTACTTTTTTCTCTCTATGGGAGAACATAATAAGTGTAAAGGCGAATCTCTCTGTGATTGATACTAAGCCATTTTATGCTGATTTACAGAGCTTCATTGATTTATTGAGGAATACATTACTGCCGCCTCTTATTTATAGTCATCTATTAAGTTTGTTCAATGAAGTCCTGTGTTATGGTTCAACTTTAGCTTTACAAGATATCTTGCCAGAGGAAATCTGTAGTTTAGCTCACTCTATTGTGAGGTACGTAAAAGATTTTCGTTTACTTAGTGAAGTTAGAGTTCAAAGCAGTAGAAGTGGATTTGGCTTCTTAGGGCATGATTGCATGGTGTTACGTGAATACTCGTTGGGATCTGAAGTAACACCACTATCAACGACGATACAACTCGTTGATCAAAGTTATGGTGAAGATGAACCTGAGAGCAATCAAAGGAATGAAGTTGACAAAACTATGTTACAAAGAATGTCACTGTTAGTACTAAAATCAGTAGCAGTTACAGTTAAGGAAATGCGTTGTGATTCATCAGATAGCTCAATAGACTCATCTGATTACAATGCCATACAGGATATGCAAATAGTGGAAAGGTCAATACGAGACGTCTTAAAGAAGCTGGACTCATTCATCCGCAATTGTCTCGAATTTCATCCAGAGACACCCTTCACAAAGATGCTTATACATCTCTTCAGTGAACAAGATGACTACTTAATTGAATCTATGGTTTGCACACTGGATATTACTGTCGGTATTGTTTACAGGAACGCCATGTATCCAGATCTTATACCAATGTTAAACCCTATAACATCCTTCATAGAATTCTTAAAGGTTGTATCACATGATAGTGATGTTCTCTTAGATTACTTGGTGAGTAATGAGACATGTTTTCTGTTGTACTTATTAAGGTTTTTGAAATATGTAAGGAGAAATTGGCCAAAATTTTTGGAAACCTGTCAGCAAAATGATGATGGGTCGAGAGGCCTCGATGACACTATGAGGGTACTTATTAGGTTGCGTCTGCAAATAAGTAGGTTAGTATCTAAATCTTTGTTTCCATATAATATCAGTCCAGTGCTTCGATTGCTAGAGGTCTGCGAAAGTTTATATGAAGGGAATGAGTTCAGCTAGAAATTATACCAACAATTTTAATTAGAGTAAAATTTATTTAGCATAAAAAAGCATAAGCATTTCAAAGGGAATTTTCATATAAAGGTAACAATACTCTTGCTCTTTACTCTAATTAAAATTCCATACTACGGTTTCTCCTACAAACACTCAAAAGACTGCAAATAAATTTAACATTCCAACATTGTTAATTGGCACTAGTTTAGATAATTAATAGATTTAATTAATTTATACTAACTATAGTTGTATATTGTTCTCAAAGCAATGGTTAGATCAGCGGTATAAGTCTTCCAATAAATAAATTTGCAAGCCATGGTAAATAGGCTCTTTCAAAAAGTATGTAATATCATCATTAAATCTACCAATTACTTAAAATTGTAACTGCTAAATCAGCAAAAAATTTCAATTAAATGCAACTAAAATATTACTTAATAAAAGTGATAAACACACCACATACTTATAATTAAAAAAAACCATTTACCATGATATATTGCAACATCAACAGTGCCTTAAAAAAGGTGCTTTTTATACTAATACATGCTTTCATGTTATTAACTAAGTGTTACTTAAAATAATGTATATTATTAGTAATCACACTTTATATTTTAAATCTTGTGTGAGTTGCATTACACACACACCACATACACTTCCAAAAATTAAAAATGTTTATACAATTAATTTTAACTATCGTTACTATAATAACCCTAAGTATAGTTTTAATTTATTTATGTATATTGTAGTCTATATGCATATAAATGCGGGTCTTATAAGTTCTAAATTATCTTATTGCCACTGTAAATAAGCCATTTATATGAATAAGTAAATGTAATCAGTATTAATTATATTTTAATTTATCTGAATATGTGAAATGATAAATAAAACAACGAAAACTTCATTTGTGATTAAAATTGCACTCTGATATTATAGCCATAAAATGTATTTTTAAAACCAATTTTAATGGACACAACAGAATACAAATTTATTTAATATTGTATACTATTTATATAAAGTTTAAATTTAAGTTAGCTAACCTCAGTATCAATAGACTGTTCTTAGTAATATTGTGTAAATTATCAATAAATAAACATATTTGAATCTCAATTCTGATCAATTTGCATAAATGTTGTACTGTTTTGTTCCCTCATTCTTTTGCTGGCTTAGATTTTGAAAAAGTGTCTACAGAGGTAACTTGGTAAAACTTAACTTTACATATTAGTGCCTTAGCTATTTCCCGGTGTTGCCAGGCGAACAGTTGATTCTTTGTCTTTGGTGTTCTCATAAGAAATTTTAAACTTTGTCCCATATTTTCTCAAGCGGGTCTGGCATTCTGTTTGTATATTCGATATGTTTTGGACAAAACATTTATGTATTTAGTTATCCTAAGTATGTAGTTGTTATAAAGATTAGCAAACAATAAAATGAAATATTTTTGTACATGACTATATTTTTGGTTTTATTTAACAAATGGAAAACATACATGAAGTAAGAAAAAAAGGGTTTGTTAAATATCTTTATTTTCTAGTCAGACTTCTTAAAACTTTCCCATTTAGCTGAAACTCGATCATTTATCTTTGTACATTAATATAGACGATACATAAAACCATACATATCTCATACTTATTTAAAGAAACCCTATGCAAATTGTGACAAAAAATATAATGACAAAAATATGACTTGAAAAAAAAAACAGGCAAACATCTATTTTCGTTTAAGAAACATCATGGGGCAGGAATCGAAAACGCATACTAAATTTTCTTGCTTACCTCTATACTTATGGTACATTTTGTCTGACCTTAACATGGTACTATGGTAAACAACAACTAAGAATTGTTATAACAAACTAATATACAAGCATGATCAAAATAATTCTCACACAACCCTAAAAAATTATACAGAATATTTATATTTGCTTCGTTGTCACACTTATGAAAGATGTCCCTACTAAAGAAGACCTAATGATGCGTTGGAAATAAAACTAACCAAACATACACACTTGTCATGTAAAAAATGTTTGCATAAAAAAATTTAAACACAAATTGCTGTATGCATTAGTTGTTTTTTGACAAAATCCAGGGCATTAGTCAAGCCACTTAAATGATCCAAATGATTTTCGTTCTAACACCTATAATGAAACAACATATCATGTATCATAGTCTTCATCCAATTGCATATCAGAGTTAATGTGATCTATATTTACAGGCTTTGGAACTTCAATCTTTTTCACTTTCGTCCTTGTCTGTTTAGGTTTCTTATCCTTAACCACATTCGCATCTAAAACTTTTATCTCCGGTTTCGTTAAATTCTTCGTAAAGTCTATCTTGATGATCGGCGCTAAAGGGGTAACTGGTGTCAGTGGGGGTGTTTTTTGTCGTATCAGGAACGAATCCTTCTGCGGGATTTCTTTATTCATCTCAACTGAACTTAATATTGCGAAGCTCGACGTAGACGGTTGTGGACTAGCGTAAGTCGGGTTTACTTGTATTACACTTCTATGCTGTGTGTCGTCTGGTAAAGTTTCCTGATAGAAATTGGCAGTGACTATTGGTTTCGCTTCTTTTACCGTTAAATCTATTGCTTCAGGTATATTTTTTTTCGGTTTCCACGGAGACACTTCTATTAAAATCTCTGGGTGGTATAACTTGTGTTACTTTTACATCTGAACTATTTGAGCTGTTTGAATCTACTCGGACTACCCTCCTTGATGCAGAAACTTCTGAGAACCTGGAAAACAATAAAATGATAATGAAATTGATAGCAAACAAAATCTTTGAAAGAGCATGCACCATTAGGCATAGCATGCCTAATGGTGAAATAAATTTTTATGTCAATATAAAATATAAAAAAAAAATAGTTAACTTTTAATAAATACTGTAAGTATACCTGGATGAGTTTGGTGAGCTTTCTCCACTTTGTATTTCCTTTTCTTCTGCTGCTGTTACATCAGGAACATTCTTTACCTGAAATTTTAATCACGAGATGATATAATATTCAAACATACAAGTTAATAGTATTTAATTTGTGTAGATAAATATATAAATAATAATAGCAGGGGGAAAATCAATAGTATACTTTTGGGGTAATCCCGTATCAAAAATAAAAAGTGCTTAAGAGAAAGTGCAAAATGTCATTATTATATAGTTGTATGATAACAATATACTCTTAATATTACCATTTCCAAATTTGGCTTTTTTTTGCTGTCTCAGTTATTAGTAATATATTTGTCATATAAAAATAGCTGGCCGAATATAATTAATTCAAATTTGAATGTATAAAGCCTTGAGACATATAGCAAGGTTATTTTAATAGTTTTTTAAAGGATACAATTATATAATATTTAGTTCAACAGGTATTGAACTGCTGTGTCATATCTAACCTCGATTATCATAACAAAATATGGGTCACATGCTATTGAAACTGTTTGTCTAATATTCTGTATTTATTACAGATTATTGCAGGATTAGTAACTAAATGACAAATCTACTTTAAGTAAAATAATAATTAATGTAATTTGGTAAATATACAGATGCAACATCAGACTATTTGTTGTACATAGGTGTACAACTATAAAAAACACAATATTGATACAGGTCTCGGGTTCTTAAGAAATTGCATAAAATTATTATCTTGAGCGATAATGGGTGAGCAATATAAAAAATCCAACTACTCACCAAGTCCCTTAAAAAGTCAAATCTCGATTCAGCCAATATACATTGCTTGACATGAGACGGACTAAGGGTTTTAGCATTCCTTTGCATCGTAACCTGCATGGCTTTGCTCAGCAATGATTCCACAAACATTTCAAGTGTACGAGGTATAGTTTAAAAATGGTAAAGTCAAGGAAATTATCAGATATTTAAGAAGATGTGAGTTAAAGCTTTGTACACTTTATTCTTATACTGCCTCTGTTGTTTATAGTTAACTCATAATACACAGAAATTTGAATCCTAGAAAAACAATAGGTTCCATCCAGCAGGGCACTTAAGACTATTTAAGTGTAAGTCAAATTCATCAGTGAAACAGATACACTTAAAATAAGAAAATAAGACTTTACTTAATTTAAAAATAATTTTCATCCTCTCATACGGAACATAAAGTTGTAAATTAGGAACAGATATCACTTAAACCACATATATGCAAGAATCTCATATTTTGATGTTTATTAAAACTTATCTAGAAGTTTAGTGATGAAATGTAGAACATAAACAACAACACAGCATTGTTCACAGTACTGATTATAACCATTGTTTACTTTGCTAAAGTTTCTTATCAGCGTAAGATAAACACAATTAATTATTGTAAGAAGCAATTAAGAATTCAAAACAGATTATTAATTCAATCAAAAATTTGGGTTATTTAATTATCCTTCAAGATATTAACTAAGTTAATACAGTAATAATTAAGGGAAATATTGAGGTCTTAATGACTAAATAATATTAGAATATATTTAATAAATCCTATAATATAGACGCTCAGTGTTATGGAATGGTCTTTCACAAAAATGAATTTAAAGCCCTTCAACAAAATTACCTAAAGAAGTGTTTTAATAAACTCTTGATTAAAAAGGATATAAATTATTATAGGCACCGCTTGTGCGACTTTTCCCACTTCTTCATCAGTCTGCATAATCTTCTTAATCCGCCCCTGTAAGCAAATAATGTCATGATATCGTCGATATCGTAAAAATATCGACGAAAACAATAATCAATTTGATGTATTTGTTAGCGTTTCATAGTTTATTTACTTACAGCTGGAAACCTCGCATTGTATTTTCGCTTTTTTGACGGCATTGTAATAATCCATTCACTTTAACACAGATGAAATCTTAACTAAAGCTCTCTTCGCTATTCCGTTGTATTAGTTCTCGCGCATTTTTTAGGTTATAAAAGAGAGACGTTCACAACCTACTTCATTTATATAGCAATCTGACAGTTTTTCCACCTCTATCAACAAACGTAACGGCACATGATCCTATCTACGCAAACTCGAATTGCATTTGTGTGTTTACTGCCACAGATCTAATTGCACGACAGAGTCGCAACGAATGCCAATTTTATATTCTATCCACATATAACTTAAACTCAACAAATAAGAATAACATTCCCGTTACAGAATAACTTTATTTTATATCCTTACCAGCTTACTGAACTTTCTTTTTTGTCTCACTGATTTTCTTATTTTGGTTTTATATTTCATTTCCATATACCAAAATTACTTTTCAAAATCATATCTGTGATTATATTATATCAGAGACCATAATATTATATCAGTGATATACGTAGTGTAGATTATGGAATGTCCACACCAAGAGTATATTTCAGTGCTCTTGACAATTAACAATAATAACGAACAAGAAGTCAAAACTTAAAAGTCAAAGCCGAAAGTCTATTAATCAAAATGGCGTCGTTGTCGAGGTGTGTACACATTTTATATTTATCAACTTAACGTTTTAATGAAAAACCTAAAGAACCTATACTATTTTACTTGTATATGTGTGAACATTACTTAATTTTAAGGAGTAGTTATGGGGTTTTATTTACTTGTAATGCTACGTTTTAAATAAATCGCTCTCTTAGTAAGAACGTGAGCTAAAACATTAGTATTTTAAAAACGGTTGTTTAATAATATAAAAATGACTGTGTTTCTCTGAATAATTTTAATAGTTTAATTCTATATTAGTATTACAACATAATAAGTATTTCTGTTTTGTTTTTTCAGCTTACTACCCGCTCCTGTACAGCAGGTTTGGGATAGAGATGATGAACAAAAAGCTAAACGTGTTGGTAGTGCGCTAGTTGTATCGCAAACAAGTGTACCGCCGTATGGACAGAGGAAAGGATGGGTTCCTCGAGCCGAGGAAGATTTTGGAGGTCAATATTAATTTTAGCTACTCTGCCAATTAAAATGAAATCCTATTTTATGATCAATATGAACCCCTGTAACATATTATATACTTTTTTAGTAGATACCAAAATATTGGTTTTAGTATTAGCTTACTTTCATATAGTTAACACAAAAGTATTTTTTAACAATATAATCCTTCTTTTGTAGATGGAGGTGCCTTTCCCGAGATTCATGTGGCTCAATACCCTTTGGGTATGGGAGCACGAGGCAAGGAAAGCACATCAAATGCCCTTGCTGTACAGTTAGATGAATCTGGCAGAGTTAAATATTCAGCAATTGCTAGACAAGGTCATGGTGCAGATAAGGTAATTAGATTTCTTAGCCTAGTGTAATCGTTTTTTTTATTCTATTTAGAGTACAAATTCCAAAAAAAATTGGTAATCAAATTATACAGATCCAGTAATTATATACTTTTTTTTTACAGATAATCTATTCAAAACTAACAGATCTCCTACCAGCAGAGGTCTTAGCAGAAGATGATCCAACACTACAGAAACCAACAGAAGATGATATTCAAGACATTACAGAGAAAACTAAATTAGCCTTAGAGAAATTGACCAATGCTAAAATATCTGCTGCTATGCCAGTCAAAGCTGCACCAAAAGCCGTTAGTTGACTTGTTTTATCATGTGTGCCTGGGCATTTAAGTCAAATTAATCATTACTAAATTAAAAAGTTCGAAAAGAAGTAAATACAGTCATACCTTGTTACAAATTACTACCTCAATCGGTAAATTATTGACTTTACAAGATTTTTTAAATTCTGTGTCTAATTTGACCGAGGCTCTAGAATAATAAAGGTTCATTAACTTTTCCAAAAATAACAGACATAAAAACTGTTTAATTAAATATCTGTTTCTTGTTCACAAAAATAACAATTAAAGCTTCTGTATAATACAGAAGAACATGACTACATTGAATGTTGATAGTGTAAAATGTTTTAGGCTCCAGCGCAGTACATTAGATACACTCCCGCGCAACAAGGAGATGCGTTTAATTCGGGTGCAAAGCAGAGAGTAATCAGGTAAATCAATTGAACAAAATTAAAATTGAAAAACGGTTTTTTCAATTTTAATATTCCTACCTCCCATTTAATATCCAGATTGTCAGATGAAGTCCAACATGTTTCCAAAAAATTATAAATGGATGGACTCGGTGGTGAATGAGGCCATGACCTGCTGATTATTAACCGTACATTGCTACCATGCTACAAGCCCATGGAAAACTACTACTGGATAGAGCTGTTGTGTTTATGTGGGTGTTTTCTTATAGGATGGTTGAAGCTCAAGTGGATCCCATGGAGCCTCCCCGCTTCCAGATCAACAGAAAGATCCCACGGGCGGCGCCCTCACCCCCGGCCCCTGTATTACATTCACCACCCAGAAGGGTCTCTGTTAAACAGCAAAGGGACTGGAAGGTGCCCCCTTGCGTTAGCCATTGGAAAAACGCTAAAGGTAAACTACAGTATTTTGAAGAGCAATAAATAACCTTGTAATTGGGTAAGGATGAAAAAACATGTTTATACTAAATTCGAGTTTTTAATTGTATTTACAGTTAAAAGAATTGACGAATTATATTTGAAAATGTATTTTATAATATTTCGCGCTTTAAACTACTTTTTAAATCTATTTTATATTATAAGCATAAAAAAAATACATGGTGGGAGGGATGCAAGTATCAATAGGTAGAAAAACTTCATGTGTGTTGACATGGTCAATAGGTCAATCGGCAACAACCCGGAATGCTGTGGATGCTGCTTCAAGTCCTTCCTGTGTCGATTTTTAATTTATACTTTTATATTTAATAACATTTCTTAATTTTTTTTTTAAATTGTTGTGTCTCTTCGTTTCTAACTGCTCACCTCTTAAAAAATGAATATCTTTTCTTTTTCAGGTTATACAATACCGCTGGACAAGCGTCTAGCGGCCGATGGTCGCGGTCTACAACAAGTGCACATAAATGAGAACTTCTCTAAATTAGCCGAAGCTTTGTATATTGCTGACAGGTAACTAAAAGATGAATTAACTTATATGCATAAAATATTCAAAGCTAATTAAAATATAGTTAATAATAGCTTTGATGGCCTATTTTAAAGATTTTTTATTGCATAAACATACTCTTTAATGGAAAATATGCAAAAAAAGGATGTTTGCGCAAAGGCGGCCTTCTCGCCTATGACGATTTCTTCCAGGCAACCTTTGCATGAAAAGAAAAATAGTTACTGTAAAGGAGTAAAAGTCAACGAGGAAAGGGAAGATATACAATATTTAAACTATTATTATTATCTTAGTTTCTTGAAGTTTTGTAATAAGTTTATTTTGTACAGTTTATATCTAGTCAGCATCAAAGTAGCTACCACCTAGCTACCTATATATCTGTTTTTGAAATTTTGTGAAACATATATTAACTATTTTAATGTAGTTAATTGACTATTTCCAGAAAAGCTCGCGAGGCAGTTGAAGCACGAGCACAATTGGAGAGAAGATTAGCACAAAGAGAGAAGGAGAAGAAAGAAGAACACTTGAGAATGCTGGCGCAGAGAGCTAGAGATCACAGAGCTGGTTGGTTCAGTATTATAATAGTAGTTTCCTCTTCCAGTACATTTAAATTACAAGAATTATAATTATAAAGTATAACATGAATTAATTACAAATTTCATTAAAATTCATATAAATTTCAATTCTAATAAATATATAAAACTCTCCTGTATATAATTTAAAAAAATGTTTTTCAAACAAGTTATTTTGTATAGACATTTCTTTTCTGTTAAAATTTATTAGAACGTTCAACCATTTCATTTTAATTATCGAAAAGCTCAATAATATTACTACTAACAAACATAATATTGAATTTCAAAGAATTCGCTTAGTTTTCTTTAAAAAGCTGTATATGACAGGTATAAGGGCGCCTGAAGAGGACAGTGAGACAATGGGCGGCGAACCAGATGGAGAATCAGCGGAACGTGATAAACTAAGAGCAGAAAGGCACAAAGAGAGGCAGAGAGATAGAAACTTGGCTCGTGCTGCACCTGATAAGCGGTAAGCCCTGATTATCCTATTCTGGAAGTTAAGAATAACACCAGTAATCAATTAAAAAAAAAGTGAAACTCGGTTTTAGTATTAAAAAAATATATTATTGTTGTCTCCATGCACATAACACCCAAACATCTGCTGCTTTATAACATCTCTCTCCCTCTATAGATCTCTTTCTCTCACTTACTCCCTTTCCCAATAACTGTATTTTCTTTCTTCTATTATTCTTGTATCTTAATTCATTTTAGATACTGTCTATAGTTTACGCGAGTAGTACACATTTAAATAAAACACTTTAACGGTTTAAAACGCGATATATTAGTTAAACTTATTTAAAAATCATTTTCAAATAAGTTTAACTAATTTATCGCGTTTTAAACCGTTAAAGTGTTTTATTTAAATTAATTCATTTTACCTTATTAGCTTTTTTATTGTTTAGCTCGAAATTGGTGAAGGAACGGGAACGTGATATATCTGAGCAAATAGCACTTGGAATGCCGGCCAAAGCGAACCAGGGGGCAGAAGCCATGTTCGATCAACGCCTGTTCAACAATTCTAAAGGGATGGATAGCGGTAAGATAGTTTTTTTTTAAATAATATAATGTAATCGGTAGTTTACGCATTAAAATAAAACACTTTTAACGGTTTAAATGAGTAATGTATCAGTTAACTTATTTTTTATTTACTTGAAATAAGACAGGATGTCTCGAATGCTTTACAACAGCGTTATAAACCGGTAAAAGTGTTTTATTTTAAATATGTATATTGTTTTTAAGCATGTATAAAATCTCTGTACCTTCAAAGTCTTGTACTCAGTAGTCTGAAATAATGCCTTACTTATTCCATAAGCAAATAAAATTTGTCTTGCTTTTTTATATTTTATTTTAAAATTAAATACTGTAGGTTACGGTGACGATGAAGCATACAACGTATACGACAAGGCCTGGCGTTCCGGTGACGCGGTCGCGTCGCACATCTATAGGCCGTCGCGCAACGCCGACTCGGATAACTATGGCGGCGATTTGGAGACCATCGCTAATACTAGACGGTAGTTTTTTTTTTAATTTTATCAATCCGTTAAAATTGGCGTTTCTTAGAAAGTTGAATGATGGATTGTTAATTAAAGTCTCACAGTAAAGTTATTTGGGAGAAGGATAATTATTTATTTATAATAAGATTTGGACAACATAAATTAATTTCAGGTTCGTCGCGGATAAAGAGTTCGCTGGAACAAGTAGTAGCAACACGCGCTCCGGACCCGTTCAGTTTGAGAAAAACCCGTCTCGGGCTGAACCACCCGTAAGTCTAAGTTATTTTATTCCTTTTTGGCTTTGGATATTCGGAAATAGACAGACTGAATCCGAAACACAATTATACTTCGCGTCATTTCATTTGATGAAATCTTTGACCCGGACGGAATTTTGATATTCCTCACTCACTTATTAGCCAGATTTCCAGATGAGGTCCAACGTGTTTCAGAAAGATAACACAACACAAACATGTTGAACCTGATGGAAATCGAATCCACTATCCGTTTAGCTATACAGGGCTGTCATTAGACCAAGGAACTCGTCAAAATAATAGTTTCTCTTTCATGTTTAAAACTGTTTTAAATACTTTTAAACGTTCGTGTATGTAACTGCAATATAGTGAGAATTTCGTAGTTTCATATATACCTTTTTGTTAAACTTAATTTAATACGACCACCCTCTATGGTAACCCTTAGTAGACCATTAAAGATCGTTAACTGACAAGCCCCCCTTCATTTAATTAATATAATCTACCTCCAGAGCCGCGGGAACCAACCAGAAGCTGACTTCGATCCGTTCGGTTTGGATCGGTTCTTGAGCGAAGCCAAGCGGGCCGACAAGAGCTCGAGGAAGAGCCATCACGAGCCACACGCCAAGAAACGACGGGAATGAAGTAAGCTATGTTGAGTACTTTTATGATAGAAGAGTACAAATATGGTTAACACTTGATGGAAGGCAAATCTTAGTCCAGAAATATAGTTACAATGTGCTGACCTTTTTTTTGGATACATTAACGTATAGTTAAATTACATTGCCGACCAATTATTGGATATTCTACATTCCTAAATTTGTTTTATTTGTAGTGTTATTAAATGATAATTATAATATTTTATTAAATTTCAAGCCTATATCTTTGTTATCTGAAATAATTCTGTTTCAGGTGCTTTAGACGTCGCTTTAGATAAGATGTAAAAATGTAATGTAAGCTTTTTTAGTGTAATTAAATAATTGATTGTATGTCTGACTTATTATTGTTACAGTATAACTATTATCAAAAAATAGTTATTCAAAATTACTAAAAAATATTACAATATGCAATGGAGAGATGCTACTAGCCTGACTTTTAATCTACTATATACCTTATTAAAAACGATATGCATTTATAAGTAGCGGCACGGACCTTTAGCGCTGAACGAATCCTGCGCAGAAGTAAAAAATAAGGTATCGAAGGGACGGAAGCGGGCGCGGGGCGAGTGGACGTCATGTGCGCTAGCGTTGATTGACCCATACGACGCTCCGCTTGCTTCTCAAGTAGTCACGTTTTCCAATCAATTACGTGATTGTACAGATGCGCAACTATCCTCTCTACATTTCGTTCAGCGTTAAACATTGTGCCGCTACCTATAAATACGTGAGATAAAGGGAATCGCAAAAAGCAGTTCTTTGTTTTTAAATAAATAATTATTTCGTTTGAATCTTTGCTTATAGTTAATAGTTATAGAACAGCAACCTAATATATATTTCCTTTTAACTTTACATTTTTTACTATCAAGTTGAGGAGATAAATAAAGCACAACCGTTTATTAATAAATACAATTTATTAGCAAGTCATAGTGTGTTAGTTGCAACACTTACGTTATTGTAAAATTTGTACAAGGCCTTTACAATAATTATAATGAGAAGCAAATATCTACAATGGAAACGGACCTTCGATTTGCCTCTAGTGCGTATGCGCATGATTCGGCCAAGTATGTATAACACAATGAAAAATAAAAATCGAAGAAAACAATGAAGTAAGTACTTTTGCATTTTAGGAATGTCATAGGTAAAATTTGGTGTATTAATGTTTAAGTAAAAAATACAGTAATTTCAGTGTAGAGGTTAATAGTAAAAAAAAATGGATACAAAAAACGAAGTGTTATTTACAAGAAATAATAATTATTAATAATACTAAGTGCACAACCTACACTAAAACATTTTGATGAAGTAATACCTTTTCCACGATATATGAATCTAGGAATCTCAAAGAAACATTAAAATGAACTCATCAAAAAACTCTGATCCAGTGGAAAGTGACAATAAATGCATATTTGAGCTCTAGTCTCGTTAAAATATTCTAAAAACATAATATAGAAGGAGTGAGTAACAATAGTGTTGAGATAAATCTATCTATAAACAAACAAGACAAGTTTCTTAGGTTACCAAATAAAATATGAGTGATTGAATGTAAGCAATAACTTGTTATGGTGATATAGAATTATTTTCACATCTTTTATTTACTTTCAAATAAGCTGTTCTATATCGGTTCTAAATACCGTATGAAATACAAATTAAAATAGGCGAAAATAAAGTCATGTTAGCAAGTATGGTCCAAGACCATAAGTTGATAGGCAATCAAATTCATTCCTATAATAGACCTAACTTCAACGCCCGAATAATTCTTTACTCATACTAAAAATTTAACAGTACAGTCAATTTGAGCGTATATTTCATGAATATAATCCGAACATTCGAAACAGGCCTCTATATTGAACACAATAAGATCTAAAGTGCTCTGAATTAGTCGGCCTTCCGCGGCCTGCGCTTACGCACCTCCTGCTTGTCGCATTTGTCTTCCCCGTCCCCCTGCGGCGCGCCTTCCCCCGCTCCCACATCCTTGGACTTATCATCGTCCGATGTCTGAAAACGACGTTATTTTAGGATTTTAAGAGAACTTAGGAATATCAAGTGGCACAATGTATTTTTCGATTTATTTTAATCAGCTTAGTAATGGCGACACCTCTATTCGTTATTTAATTTACAGGAATCATTTTAAGCATTTACTCTACAACAGATATTGACCCAAGTTGATACTTTTTATAGGTAACAAATGCGTCAAAACTTGTAACATATAATAATTATTATAACAAAACATGTTAACATTTTGAGACTGCTATTATAGGTAAAGAAATGTACCAAAAAGCTAATTGATTATATAGCGTGGGATTATTTATAATTGACCAGGTAAGAATGAATAGTGACTTACATCGCTGGGAGAGTTCTTCTCAGCATCGCTGTCGTTGCCGTTCTCAGCTTCGTCTACAATGTCATCGTTGATTAACTCCTGTAAATTATAAACCATACTTTATAAATATTACTTTCGACAGATAAGTAATAATTTTCTTTGTTTATTTTGCAGTTGTATAGTTACTTGGCAACATTATTCTCATTTTAAATACACAAATATTTTATTTCCTACCTGATATAGACTGTACCTGGAGTAATTCATAAAAAAACAATATTGCAGAATCAAATTAAAAAAAAGAAATGAGATATATACTTACATCATCAGACTTTTTGTCACCCTTTCTTTCAGCTTCAGCCCTTGATACGAAGACCTTCTCCCGACGAGGAGGGTACAATAGATCAATAACACATACTAGCATCTGAAAAAAAAGTTGTCCAGCAATAAAGTTTTTCACACATATATAGAAGTTAAGCTGCCTCCTATTGAATTACATCAAAAAACCTTGTAATGTGGACTTGTAATAACAAGGTCTTTTTTAATTGAAAAAATCACAATGTCATGCATACACTATGATTTCAACGATGAAAAAGAAATATTGTCAAGAGGTACATTTCTGTCATCGCTGTATGCATCATGAGGCAAGTTATATTTTAACACAAAAAGGAAAATGATATTAAATATAATTTCTATTTTGAGTAATTTATTCACTTATTACCACTTCATGAAAACTTAGAGCGTGAATAATAATATTATTTTCTATTTGAACATCGATAGAAGACCAAGTGATAAGCCCATAACCATACCACCTGACTATTTTACCTTTTTCCCAAATTCCTCCTTACCGAGGACTATGGGTTATAGAACTCTCTCATGGGACTATGTTGATAACAATATAACATTTACATGATTTTAATTTCCTTCCTCAAGAAAACTTTATTCAAAGATGACTCACCAATCCAAGTAGAGCTCCAATGAATATGGTACCAATGGCAAAAATGAGATAAGACCCCCACGTTGGCAGACCATATGTTTCCATCAGCATGTTGTGTATACTCTGGAGGAAAAAGACAAGAAATATAAATCACTAAGTACATTTCATGGCCACAAACATTGGCATCCATATTTACCATATCATTTAGGTGTGAAATGGTACTACATACAATTAATCTATACTAATATATAGAGCTAAAGAGTTTGTTCGTTTGTATGAACGCGCTAATCTTAGGAACAACTGGTTTCTTGTTGTGATGGTTAGAGCATGGAAGGCTATAAAACATAGCGCTGTGTCTATTACAAGCAAAGGTACAGCGGAAAATGTGTAAAAAAATTAGGAAAATTATCCATCATCATTATCTTTATTGGGCGTACGCTGCGAAAACGGTTCAAGATACCCGAAACATATGTATGTAAGAATTTTATTCTCATGATCTTTAAAAAAGAGTCCGCGGCAATAATTAAGATAAACTGCAACGCGAAAGAAATCGTGAGTTGTTGGTGCCCAAATTAACTATTCTACGCTTACGAAGTCGCTGACTCAGCTAGTAATACATATAATTATTTTGGAACTTGTTTGAATCTTATTTTTGTAACTTTTTTGTGGTGATAATTTTTTTTGTTTGTCTTATTGAACATACATTGGTGAAGCACAAAACAAGACTTTATGTAACTGGAAACCAGTTTTTCATATAAAAACAAGATGTTTAAATAAGCTCTATTTGTTTTTGGATTTGTCATGCTCAAACAATACAAGTAAACCTCTCTTTGTAGTCTTAAATAGGATCTCACCCTTAGCGCCTGACTGAGCTTGAAGAAGAAAGCGACAAAACCCATTTGCCAAGAGTCTGGAGCCTTCCAAGAGGGCACTGGTTCCGTTTGCTTCCAACGAGCCTTCTCTACATATTCCAACATCGAGTCAGCGTCACGCGGACCCTTATACTGACGGAATTCTCCTTCTTTCACACTGTAATCATTGTACTCTTATTAGTATTTAAAGTAAGCACTGACAAATTTTTTGCCCAAAATTAAATGGGTGGTATGAATATCGAAATTCTGTCCGAACCACCGTCACAGATAAACAAGCCGTGAAGTTTAATCGCAGTAAAATCTGTTGATTTCCGAATATCCAAAACTAAAACAGGTTGACAGCTGATTTTGTGTAGATTGTTATATTCCTGGGGTATTCCACCTGCCATTAAGTGAATATCATGCTTGTCCATCCTCCTCTATCATAAAAAAATGACAATTTAAATGACCTAATAAAAACTATTACTATATTTCAGCAGGTTGCTATAAAATGTAAGGTGTAACTTACACCAGAAGAATTACAATTATATATCATATCGGACTTTATCACATTGTCAATTGAGACAAACTACTACATATAATAAAACTCTACATCAAGAGAATGGAAAAAAATCTCTACAATATTCCTGTCTTAGATTCAAGAATTGATTAAATACAATACTAACTGGAATATAGTAGGCAACGCTGTCACAACAAATCGTCCACTAAGTCCAGGAGTTTGAGTAACATCCACAGCTGCTGTTTTCATTGGAACTTTCTTGTTCTGAGCTTTGTTCGTTAGCTCCTTCCATGCTGGTGCTAGTCCAGTGCATGCTGGACACCATGGCGCATAGCTACAAAATAAGGTTAAAAGGATGCATATAAATAACTTGATTTTAAATTTGTACTAAATAAATACATGTCTTCGCTTTGATTTATGTATTTTCTTTCATGTTTCTCTAAATGGTTGAACTACAGTGCAGTGGTTGCATATGATATGCTATAAGGGAGAGGCCCTGAGTTTAAAGCTTAGGATATAGTCACTGTCAAGAGGACAGAAAAGTCTAGTAAACAATCTATCTGTAAATAAAGCCACAAACATCGGCATTTGACAAATCTACTGTTTTATTTCATTGCTGTTGCTTGGAAGATATAGTTATTTATCTGTAAAGCTGTTATGATCTTTAATTTTATTCATTTAATTGTGATGTGGTATTTTTTTCCGCAACCGTAAAAAATATATGGTTTTCAAACAGACAGTTTTATTTAAACCAAACATAATATTACATAAATCAATCGGGTCAAATCACTTTCAATTACAAATGCATGCTACATTGCTCAATCAAATATACATAGTAATGATCGCATCCATGGAGAATAAATTATTTCCTTCATAGATGATATCATACATGAATGAATATTCAAATATTTCTCTTACATTCACTATTCATATACCAATTGTTATATGGTAGTTGAGTAAGTATAAAATTGATTAGTAACAGATACTAAATAAAATCGGTTCCTACTTAAATTACAAAATAGTTTCAAAAGTTCAAGTCTTATATAAATTTAAGAATTTTTTCCACATATAATGGCCTTACTAAGAACTTATTATGTTCTTTAAAGCCAGGCATTATTGCAAAACAATATACAATCGGTTCCTTATAGAGGTATTAGGTGTTGCGTAGGATTCATAAAAAAACCTGCTTTGCATATTGCAAGTCTAGTGCATCCCACACTACTAAAGAATTCGATGACTCAAATAAGCTTTCGGTCACCTTAAATAGAGTTACAATGAGTTTAAATTAAAATTTAAAGTCTGAAAAAGCTCTCGTCACAGTAAATGAATAAACGACTCGGGAGTTGACCTTGCTAGGGTTTATTGAACCCGACTACGACTACTCTTCAAAACAATAAAACAACCTTGTGAAACGTTAACATTGTTACTTATCTAATTAATTATATAGACCTGAATTCTCCAGCGTATCACTGACGTAATTATTGCGAGAAATGCGTCTAATTAAAAATTTTGACACGTTACTTTCGGCAATGCGCCGGTAGGATAAATACGTACAATTCCACCATCCATTCTCCGTCCAGAATCTGTCTCCAGTTGTCCTCATCAAGCTCGATACTAGCACTAGTATTTGGACAGTAGAATAAAATTAACGACGAATAAATGAGAAAACTTAACACTAAAGGGATTCCTGCGACGCGCGCCATGTCTGGTTTTTAATTTTTTACTCTATACCAATGTTGCTAGCTATCCTTCTTTTAGTAAAAAGCCTTTTCGGGGCTGCCAGTTCAATTAAATCAAAATGTATGTCATTATGTCAAACATATAAAAACAACTTTATTATAACTATTTCAATTTATTAAAGTCACCAAAATAAATTAAATTATTAATTTTTAGATAGCTAAAATGTTAGGTTGCTTTTTATAAACTTTCTTAATAATACATTTAAAATGTAGATGGTGTTAAACACAAGTCATTGTAAGGTTTTACCTGATCAAATACAGATAGCGTTAGTAGTACTCGAAAACATGAATTTACAGTTCTTAATTAGTATGTTGCACCTGAATTAAAGACAAGCCTATGGTAAAACTAGTACCTATAATAATATCAAGTGTGGTTCTATAGAAGAATATTTTCAATATAATTATATAATTTTTAAATAATCAATCAAACTATCAAGGAATTAATACATAAACAGTTCAATTATAGGATAAAAACTATTTCTTCTTTACATGTTTTATACGTTATTTAGATTTAACAAGTCTAATATTATTTTCAGATGTCCTAATCCTACAGGGTGAGAGAAACCTACAATTACTTAACATACTGCAAAGCGATGAATTTACAAAGATGGGACTCAAGGGTCATATCATAAAACGAACACTTTTAACAGTTTAAAACGCAGTTTTTAATTCTGACCCCAAATTGATGTTTTGGGCGCGTTAGCCGAGGTCCCAAGGGGGTCTAAGCATTTGAAACGTTAAGTTATAGAATGTAGCAATAGCGGAAACTAAAATACGTATACGTTTGAAAGAATTAAGACGTTGAGAACAACCCTAATTGAATTAAACTGTAAATAGACAAAATTGCGCTTCGATCGATCGTAGACGAAGCCGAATGCTGACGGAAGCCACAGAAACGCTACATGTAACGACATTCGATAGCTCTGTTGGTGATCCCTGGTTAATATTGACTTGGTTTTGTCCGACTGTTTAAAGAGGTAATTCGTAATAATTCTTGAGTATCATCTATATGGATATATAAAGCTGGAGAGTTTGTTTAAACGCACTAATCTTACGAACCACTAGTTTAAATTGAAAATGCTCTTTGTCAATACAAAGTCTAGCCATTGCTAAAGCTTATATATATAACGCTGCGATTCATGGGAGCGAATAGACATCGTGAAATGTAAAAAAAAAACGAGGAAAATTATTCACCTTTTTGGATTTGCGTTGCGTACACTGCAAACACGGTTCAAGATACTAAAAAATAAGTATGAAAGAATCATTCATTTGAAAGATCTGAAAAATGTCTCCTACTCTGTACCTATGGCTATTTTTAAACGAGACCGACGGCTTAATGCGTAAACAATATTAAGTAAACAAAATGCGTAATTTAACTTTTCCCTATGTATAGCAAGGCAATCAACTTTTAATGAGAAATATTTTTTTTACTGGTCGGTCTTTTTAGACAAATATGTCCATCCTTTTGCAAAACACCATAAAATACCATTATTTATTCACCACACCATAGTCACTAAAATACGCGGTATAATGTATTTGTCAGTATGAAACTGGCGGGAAATTTATAAAATGGAGTAATATTCTCTGGTGCCATTAAACATACAACAGATAATAAATATTCAACTTTCCCAATGTATGTCAAACATAAAGCCTATTTGATGTTAAATATTTTATTTATTTTTTACACAGTTTATTCTAATTAAAGTATATACAAAATAGAAATTACTACGGAAAATACTAAAAAAATATATTTTTTTCTTAAAATCATAGAGAATAGTGATAGTAAGTAGATATCAATCAATTCCACTCCGAGAGTTGTCAAATATCAAAATATTTTACGCGCGCTTTTTGTGTTGTTAGCATTGTTTGACGCAGGGCTGAACAAATCAATAATTCGTATTTGTTTAATTGCTTTATTGTGCACTAAAACTAAAAAATGAATGTATAAAGAGGTACATAGCAGAATGCAATATAGGTTATATCAACCCAAAAAAAAAGAAATCTATTACGAAAAATGAGATGTGCAATTTACTGTGCAGTCCTAATATAGGAATGTTTTTAAAGCTTTGTTAATAACTATCTACTTCAAGTTGATGTTTTATGTATAATAGAATATATATATTTTTAATTATTTGACTACCCCACGTTTTTGTACAACGTTGCCAAACTTAATCTCACAAAAGATATTATTATAAATAATACTAATCTAGTCTTTTACAATTGTGGAAAATATTTTATAATCGACAACCCTAGCGGCCGCTCTATTTCTGATTTAAAATCAAACGCGCCTTGTTGTCTATGACGAACTTTTTTTAATTTCAATTGGGATATGGGATGGTAGCCGAAGTTTTTATAATAATACCATTGTCTGTGGACAAGATTGTCTATGTATCGATCTATGGAATCCAGGCACGCCGTACGATATATTGTGACAAAGTTTTTGTGCATGACTATGCATTTTAGGTGTCTTTCTTACCAATCTTTTAGCTATGTTTTTGAATATTTTTAGAGATATATGATAAGAAAATTCTATATAACTGTTATAGGTCTAGATAAATAAATAGATTTTTATAAAAGATTTTCTTAAACGCCCTCGTGGCTCAATGTGTGTATGTTCGCCTACATTACGCAACGCGTGAGGTTTGAATTCCAGAGAATCAGTTAGACAGGACATATACGTGGTCACCTTCTTGTAGGGGAATATGGGATGTCTTTTCTTTTAGATACATAAAATACTTACCTTAGTTTAAGTTGTTAAAACTATCGTGAAAAACCTAGGTATGCATTCCGAACTTTTTGTGAAAGTTGAGAATAATAATTATATTATACCTATTAAAGCCGTCATAAAATTATACCTATTAAAATGTCAACCGTGGCTTTTAAAATTCGAATGTCAAACAAAACTGAAATGCGACACACAATATCAAATATTAAATTTTTTCGTCGCGTTCCGAAGATTTTCGTCCAGTCTCCGTTGTCAAATTAGACAGTGTGTGTTCGATATTTAACACTTTGACACTGACAGCTAATCCCCGTTCAATTATTTTGCTTTTTTACCTTTTAAAATGAGTTCGTGTCACGGCCGCCAAAAATAATCCTTTTAAACGCAGGCATCGTATTTCTACGATAAAGGATGTAATCAGAATCCTATATTGATGGTTGGGTAATTTTTAAAAGCAATGCCTTTTTGGTCGTAAAATAAACAAGTAGTTTTGATCGAACTTTGTCAGAAGACTGATCAACTACTTGCTTGTAGCGAAAATCCATCAGGCAATGAACATTATTGCACCACATGTTCCACTAAAGGAAACCCAAATTTATTCTATAAGTAAGTAATATAGAAGATAAAGAGACCACCAATATAGCTATGATTAAGTACTTTTATTGAACTCAATTTTAAATTTGCTTTAACGAAATGCATAATTGAATAAAGAAGTAGCAAGAACGAACACGTCTACCCGCATCAAACGGCAAATGTCTCAAAACGAGTCATTGTGAAAAATTAACGCCAAATCATTGATCAATGATAAATACGTTTACTTGGACCATTCACACGATCATCACGACAGGTGGCGGCACTTGCGCGCAATGACACTGACATTTGAATCGATCGAATCACACCCATTGAATTTGTCAAATGGAACTTTTTCAAAATTCGGTTATAGACAATATTTTTAGATTGTTTGTTTTTTTATTTATATTCAGTGTGGCCGCGTTTAAAATGCGTTTGTCGTGTAATCCTCGAGGGAGGTGGATTATTAATCTTTTTTTATCTATCAATAATTTTTTGATGTGGGATATGCTTTTCGGAGATATTTCGTACGCCTTATTAATTTTTTATCGTATTTGATCTCAGGTATGCCGTACTCCAATGTGATGACACGTTTTGATAAAATTTATATCAATTGCATTCAACGTCAATCTCACGGTCATATTAACATCATTCTTATACCTTAGTAGATTAACTAAGCTTAAAGCTCTTCTTAATTTAATTATACTCATAGGAAGATTCTAATACTTGTAATGAATAAATGATTTGCTACTTAAATCTCTTATAAACCTCTCTGATTACATCATTACAAACATGGATATTCCATCCGGGTCACCTACTACGGTCTACACGTAAAACAGCAGTAAAGTAAAACCACGTTTCAGTTTAAGGGTTTTCTGAAAGTCTAAAATTGGTGGACAGAAAGCACATCATGTTTAGTGGTTAATATTTAATCTTTTATCTTTGTTTAATCCAATGCAAACTAGTCTGTCAATCTCTGTTATAAAAAAATAAAGAATACTATAAAAAGCCAAGAGTTGATATTATTAACTTATTACAGGCAGCAACATATTATATTATACTTAAGCAATAATGATTCCGTGTTACACATAAAGAAGGAAAATAAGGGTTAGATAGAGAAGAATACTGAAACAAAGAAAGTGGAGGCTTTTGCCGAAAAAGGGCTAACGGTTCTGTATTTGACGTATTATATAAAAAAAAAACATACTTTTTGTATCGTAATTTGTTATATTACAGATTACGAGACAAAAAAACACTATTGACATTTTTTAAAATACACTAGTTTTGTTGAATTCAGTGTAAAATTCACATACGTATATTTACTGTGCTATCAAGTATCAAAATTTAGTGTATTAGAATTTGCTAAACCTTCGACATGAAAACAATAGACAAAAATACTTGTCTATGTCTTGAAAAAAACGTGGGAACGTGTCCGCGTATATCCTTTGTCCGAACGCAGTTCCGTTTCTTGAATGATTTTTTTTCTGTTTGCACAGGTGTATTTATAGACTACCATCCATCATTGGTACAAAGGAGAGTAAAATGTTATATTACGCGTGTAATCTCGGAGCAATTAAGAGATTTTTTTGTGTGTGTAAAGTCGTGAGGAACATTATATTATGCAATCAAATAATGTTTCGGGATTAAGAAAGTATTTGTAAGTATAATTTGA